ACGTCGGGAGGATTTGCCTTGATATGTGTGTCCCTGGAGCGAGACCCCCAGGACGCCCAAAGAAGCGATGGCTGGACACCGTGAAGCAGGACATGAGAGCCAATGGATTAACCACCGAGGATGCCAAAGACCGGGCAAAGTGGAGGCGTTTGTGTGGGAAGGCAGACCCTAGCTAAAGCTGGGAAATTGCCAGGAAGAAGAAGAAGAAGAAGATATTAACACTGTCAAGTAAATGTGTTATTATATTGTGTTAAATTTATTTCTCGACCCCCATCTAAGATACATAAGTAAAACAAATAAATATAATTATATTGCTGTTTGTAATATTAAAATAAATGTTTTTTAATAAATACATAATATATGTATATGTATTGTATATAACAAAAAAACATATATATACAAAATGTAATAGATGATACCTATGATTTTTTTAATATTAGGTTTATATATTTTCATTAATAAAATTAATAAAAAAAAATCCCAAAAGAGGGTTGATGTCAGGCAGGCGACCGGTCGTAAAAACAATTAGCCAAAACTAATCACAAAATTTAAGGCAGACCCTGGCTAAAGCTGGGAAATTGCCAGGAAGAAGAAGGTATATAAGAGTAAAAAGGGATATTCACTAACTTTCCAGTATCTGTCCTATCCATCTTCTTTTCACAATTAGACCGAATACCAGATAGCATAACAAAAACCTCACGGTTTTACATAAAACAAATATACTACAATATTTTATGGACAACTTATTATTCAATACTCAAAAATATCATTGGTAACTTATGGTGAATGAATACCAAGTATGCATTTATTGATAACTGACAATACTTGACTGACTTGGCTTTGTATATCTGACCTGAAGATGCTAATGAAAAGCTTTTCTTTTTAAACTATACTATACTATAAGATAAATACTAGCAAATCTCAACAACTACGGGCATGAAATAAACTATTATACCACGAAATAAGTCGTCAGCGAGATGTCTTTAAAAGAAATCAATCTCTTAAACTGCCAAATATCCTGCTTGACGAAAATTCAGTATCCGACAGTAGCATGCACACTATAGATGCAAATAAGCACTATACCCAACCCATATAACAACTAAACCTATATTGTTTCATTCTTACTTACATACTTTTAATCATACATTATGAAATACAAATGTATACGGAAATTTAAAATGACATTTGATTCATGATTTAGAAATTGTTATTCAAAAATATTAGTTTCATTTAAATGAATACTCGAAAAAGTCTTAGAGATCTCATTATCAATGTTTTAGAGGAGGAAATTATGATGAGAATTTGTAATTTTTTCAAACAATCTGCTTTCTCTACCCCAAATCTCTGTGCTCGCTACTGGTATCCGGTAATCATCGGTATCCATTGAAAATGTTCATTTCATATATATATACCTAACAATAGCATACTTCACAGCATATATGTAAGACAATGCCGCTACTTTTAAAATAACATTGTATTCAAATACAAAGAAAGATTCGAAACAAACAATCTTATTTAAATAACTATTGAAGCTTTAAGAGTGAAGTAAATTTATTAAAATAATTATATACATATATATATAAGTCTACAATTTCATTTGCATTAATTTCAGAATTAGTAATGTATATCTGACGGGGCGAACTCTATTCCTCCTTAAAGACAGTAAAAAAGAAGTTTTTGGTATTTATCAATCTACTTCTTTTTTCGATCGCATGTTAAGTATCCTACATCCTTTCTATGTTCTAATCTATCTCTCCACCAATCTTCATCCAAACCCGTACAGTCGTTCTTGAGTTATAAATAGTGTGACTAACATGACTTTCTTTTATATATAAAACAGATATACAGATATTTGTGGTATTATGAAACTATGTCAAGGTACTTTTAAGTTTAACAAATATGGCATATAAATTTTTGTCATATCATATACACTAATTATAGAAAAAAATGATACTATTATTAGTTTTTCCTGCTTAATAAATTTAATTGTCTAAATATATGTTAACACTGAAACTTAATTAAATTATTTAAATATACAAATAGAGAACAATGGAAATTTTTTAATAAATATATTTTCATGTATACCTTAAATGGTTTAAATTTAAATCAATTTTATCTTATTTCTATCAAATATTTTGTATTTCAAATCATATTGGATAAAACAAAAACTATATTCATATATATATTTTACAAACAAATGAAATCTTTTTATTTATTCATAATAATTTCTTAACTATATACATAAATATATTCATAAGATAAAATAAAATATATTAGATAACAGACTGAATTTAGTTTTAAATATTTATATTGTTTTTTATTCATTAAAAAGTTCCCATATGAATAATTCTATGTAAAATCCATAAATTATCTACTAAATATAACAAAAACTCATCCCTATATATGAAAAAGATAAAAGTATCGTAATATTATGTTCATTCTTATTAGAATCTACTAAATACTAAAAGCCAAGTGGTATTGGCAGTTAGTTTAGTTCAATACATTGTTTTAACACCCCCACCTTATACTTAATTAGATTATATACATATTACGTGATATATTGTAAAACTTTTACATACCAGATAATTCACAGGCGATGTTATCCGTGTTGTTCATGAATTTAAATTTATGTACATTTGCAAATTTTGCACCGGTTTAGGACGCAATCTTAAAGGTTATAGTTTGTTTTTTTTTTTATTGTCACCACAATCAACCCAAGGCGGACACAAACAGCCGAGTTACCTAATTATATTATTAAACACTATTATTAAGATGCGACTTTAGTCTTTAATAACACCAGTCACCGACACAAAACACAAGGTTTTTAAGTTTTACTAAAGTTGTCGTCCTATATTCGATACACTATGTGTGCGTCCAAAGATGTTGTAACTAAATGTTTTATTAATTTTCTGCTTCAAGGCACAAAAATTATAATATCTGACGCGAGTACGACATAAGTGCGTTTGATACGTGAAGCACAATGTAACAAACGACAATCCGTCGAGCGATGTTGGCAGTATCGAAATAAATTCATCGATAAATAAAGCTTATAACGTGACTTACTGAATATTAAAAAAATATTCATGAAACTATTTGCTATTAGCTTTGTATTAAAAAATACTTATCAATTATCTTCAAGTTTTTAATTCACTTTATTTTATGAACATCGCAATTTTTATTAACAAACTCACAAAAAATATAAAATGAATTCAGGATAAATTGTGTAAACTTTTGTATAAAAGGAACTTTTACATTCTCCATTATTGATACGATGAAAATAAAATAAGAGAAAAGAATATTTTTCAAAAATAGGAATTAATTAAAACTGATTTATAAGTTTGTAATGGCTGTCTAATTATTAAAAGAATTTATAATTTAATAAATATAAGTTCTAACGAAATATTTATTCATTAGTAAATAAAATGTCGTGAATTGCTATGGAAACGGCCACAATACATTTAGCATTTTATATAATTGTACTACTAAAATATGACTTTGAATTTTTAATAATTATATTGTATTTACTTTAAGATTAATATCAATTGAACAAATTTCATCGCGGTCATTAATGTGGATCTATTATATTGAAGTTCGTTCTTATGATAGTGAGAAATTAGTTTTAGAATGCACCGTATAAACTTATCTAAAAGTCATAACAAAGTTATATGACATTTGTCATTTTCAAAATAATATTTGTTTTCAAAACAATTTAACATTTATAATATTAAAATATAATTCTTTCCATTATCATATTTAAGTTATAGTTAAATAAGTAATACATACACATCAGATCTCGAGAAATAATATGTGATAGAATAATAAAAAACTTGCTTCTAAGAATTATTGAAAGAAAAATGTCCAATTTCTTGTGTTTTGTATGCCACGGCACAGTTTATTCGGATATCAGTGAAGAAATACGAGATAAATACCGCGACTTCATCGGCATTAACGTATGTTTACTCTTAATTTTACTTAAATATATATAAACATAACATATGAATCCTAAATAAAACTATTATTATTCGTATAACTTCGCTACTACTAGTAATTTTTAAATAAAGAAATATGCGTAGTAATCCGAATAATATTAGTTTCATTTAAATGAATAGTCACAAGTCTTAGATTTCCTTATGTGAAACCTGTTTATCATAATTGAAATTGCAATTTATTTTTTGTAAGTTGCTAAGCACGTCAAATAACATCATAGTGTCTACTTTATTGTAATAAAAATTAGCAGCATCTAGTCGCAATATATGAGTGGTGGCCGATAGGTTGAAGTAGAGAATGTGGGTTCAAATCCTGGCAAGTACAAATATGAGTTTTCGAAAATAACCCAAATAGTTTTATATATATATATATATTTATTTATAACACTAAATGAATATAGATGAGTAACGTCAGTGGTTGACCAGTGGTTAAAGGGCCCGCCTCTCGTTGCCGAGGGCGTGGGTTCGATCCTGGCCCAGGCAAGCACCAATGTGATTTTTCCGAATCATATGTACTTTCTAAGAATATTTAGACATCACTGATTAATGTTGATTCCCAAAAGAGGGTTGATGTCAGGCAGGCAGCCGGTCGTAAAAACAAATAGCCAAAACCATTCACAACATGTAAGGCAGACCCTGGCTATAGCTGGGAAAATTGCCAGGTAGAAGAAGTAAATGAATATAGATGAGTACATACAATAGTATTAAATTTTCATTTTTAATAGTAATTTTTTTCCATCTAATCTCATTAAATAAATATATATATATATATATATATATATATATATATATATATATATATATATGAACAAACTAGAGCCACAGCTAGTATATTATATATAAATGATAATTAATGTATTTCGTATTGAGTCCTAGGTTTTTATACAATATTTTGTTACAATCAAACAAAACTATTTTAATATAATTCTAAAATCTCTATATTTTTATATTTAATTATTTCAGCTATGTCCAGAATCCCAACTTTGCTATATTTGCTGTCATATGCTCAACAAGATGTGCATTTTCAAAGCGCTATGTCTTAAAAGGAGTATGGACTATCCTATATTAATTAGGTAAGTATATTATTTCGATTATGTAAATTAAACATTCAGCCCTAGTAGGTTTGTATCATATTGTGTTAGGTAGAGAGAGGAGCTTGTACGGTGGAGGTGATCGTTTAACGTTAGATAGGGTCCCTTAAACCTTCACCTGGGTCACAAGTACCAGTCACTGTTGAAGCTCCTCTCACTACAACGATGGACACAACACACACACCGTGAATATATTGAATGATGAGAAGTCTCGTCTCTTTTTGTTATTAAATCATGTTCATGTGTATATATGTATATGTATATGATGAATATATAAATGTTTATATACATATAAACTGGAAAAATTATTTGTCATAATATATAGTAGGTACCAATATATTGATGAAATATTCTTAATCTGAGATAGCAAGCTTGTTGGCTTTGGCTAAATGTTTTTTACCTATCAGTAAGTATAATAACCAAGTATTATATATATGTACATATATAATCTTTTTATGTTCCAGTGAAAAAGATGCATTAAAATTACATATAACTGAAATAAAAATACAAACAATTTGTGACGATGGATGTTGTGAACAATCTTTACCGATGTATGATATAAAAAATGACAATGAGAATTATGATGAAAATCTAGATTATGGGGATAACAAACATATTGATACTAATGAGAATTTAAATGATTATGAAACATATAATGATAATAATGATAATAATGATGACATTAGTTATGATAATGATTATGATGACAATGATTATATACACCAAGATAAACATACAGAGGTGGATTTAAAAGAAAATGACACTGAACATTTAAATAATGTTAATGAAAATATTAATGATAAGAATGATAATAATGATAATGTTAATGAGAAGAAAAGAAAGAATAGATTAAAGAAATCTAAAAGAAGAGGACTTAAGAAGATTATTCTTAGTATAGAAGAACAGAAGGCAGAATTAGAAGCGAAAAGAAAGGATAAGAAGTATATTGAAGCAGAGTTTAAGTGTTTTAATTGTGCTATAGGTTTCTTATTTAAGGATACCTATCAGGCGCATATGATGAGGCATGAAGAGGTGAGAATATACCTACTAATATTATAAATGCGAAAGTTACTCTGTCTGTCTGTCTGTTACGCTTTCACGCCTAAACCACGGAACTGATTTTAATGAAATTTGGCAAAGAGATAGAGTTGACCTTGAGAAAGAACATAGGATAGTTTTTATCTCAGACTTCTGAAAGGTTCTCTTGGAAACGCGATATAACCGAACTCCACGCGGGTGAAGCTGCGGGCGGAAAGTACGAAAAGTACGAACGAAATGTACGAAACTTAGTTTCATTTAAATGTGTACATGCAAATCTTAGATATAATTTGTGACACAATTAATTATACAAATACAAAATATCTGGATTCAATGCATTTTAATATGATCCAAGTTGTGTTTAATTCTGGCTTATTCTTACATGTGAAATACACTTGGACAAATATAGTTGTTAAATAAATATTTGTGTAACTGTTACTCGTTCTTATAACATATAAGTGAAGGTCAAAAATATTATTAAGATACTCTGTATTATTAATATTGTTTCAATGAAAAAATATAGGGATTGAAATAAATGGAATGCAAAAAATAACTATCACAATGTCTTACAAAAAATAACTCCCAATACCCACACAAAATAACTCTCAATACCCACAAAAAATAACTCTAAATACCCACAAAAATAACTTGAAATACCCAAAATAACTCTAAATACCCTTCCAGTCTAACGGTCAGTACTCATGCCCTATCTGCACCCTCCGCGTGTCATCTCTATCTCTCCTCCGCGCGCACACGTCGCGTCACTCGGAGCGCTCCGTGTGTGTGAGGTGCGGGGTTCGAGTCCCGGGCAGGCAACATGTTTGTAAACACACGAGAACCCGCTCGTTACCATGCCATATGTGCGCTAGATTGTTCACGTGAGTACACTACGTATAAAGTAACTTGGGAAATTGGATGTTAATATATTTGCTTCAATTTTTGTCGCATACACAAACTTATAACCTACACCTAAGACTACATGATTGTCCCGATGTTATGATAGCAATACCATTCCATAGCTTGTGTGTATCAGGAATCTTCTGGTTCACACGCTTGGGGTTCGTTCCGCGGAGTCAGCGGCCTCAAGAGTTATATATTATACATACAACGATGTCGCCCCGGCGATGTTCATTTTTTTTCATATGTAGCGCGTACGTAACATGTTTGTAAATTGAATGTAACTTATTTTATGTGTTTTGGGTTAAGATAATAATTAGTTTGATCTAATTATTGTTTGATTTGTTATTTAATAATCCTGGCTTTTGTTAGAATCCTAAATATATTATGTACAGGGACGCGAGTGGTCTCCAACAGCATTTAAAGCGAGTCCACACAAGCAAGACTAGCGGCAGACTACACAACTGTACCGTCTGTGGGGAGACGTACAACACACAGGGGGCGCTGAGGACGCACATGATGTGAGATACACGCACGCACGCACACACACAAGGACATGTGTATACATATATATACGCAGTCTGAACACAGTTTATTATAAATATTAAGTACTTAATAAAAAAATAATACATTTTTTATTGAAAATACAGTAAACTATAATTTGCATTAAGTACTTTAAACATGAAACAAAGTTAAAAAAAAAATTAAACATAGACACAGTACAGGTTACATCCCTACTAATATTATAAATGCGAAAGTAATTCTGTCTGTCTGTTACGCTTTCACAAATTTGGTACAGAGATAGAGTTGATCTTGAGAAAGAACATAGGATAGTTTTTATCCCAGACTTTTGAAAGGTTCTCTTGGAAACGCGATATAACCGAACTCCACGCGGGCGAAGCTGCGGGCGGAAAGCTAGTGTAAAATTAAATATCTTTTCATTGCCTATCTTTGGTTGGTTAGTTTTAAATATAGCCTTCATCCGTGCAAAGATGTGCACTATATTCTGTTAGATCGCATTTCTTTAATGAGCTAAATAAAAATATCTCTGACTACCTTCATATATAATGACAATCATATATGTGTGTGTTTATATGTTACAGTAAACACATCAACCGTAAGTTCCCGTGCGAGCTGTGCCCGTCTGTGTACAGTAGTCCGTACACACTCAACCAGCACATGAAGACACACAGCCAAGTACCGGAGACATACTACTGTGAGACATGTGACGCTAGCTTCACTAGTAGGAAGGGGTTGATGGCTCATAGACGAAATACGATTAAACATCAACAGACACTGTTAGTATATATATATATATACAGGGTTAAGTCCACCGAAATACTTATAAACCAATTTTCCTTATATACTAATACCAATTTACGTTATATATTTATTTATTTATACAGGGTGACTGGTGAATTACTATCAATATTTATGGAGAATACTCGGTACATGATTCTCATTCGAATTATGTAAAAAAAATAGGTACTTAATTTTTGACCAAATTTCCGTATAAATAAATAAAGTGTGGACACGTTCCAAGTGTGGACGCGTGCGGCGGCGTGCTGATACAACAACACGCCGCCGCGCGCGAGTGTGTGTGTGAGTGTATACCTAATCTGTAGGGTGCTCACACGATGCGTAATTAATTACATAACTTTTGGTTAACTTTACTTAGAAGTTTATTAATATTTATGTTATATTAATTTTTATTTTGTCATATATGATCGTCAAATATCACGTCCTCAAGTATCGATAGTAATTCACCAGTCACCCTGTATAGTTGTACATTTAGAATGTAATATGTATTTAAATTAATACATTGTATCTTCAAAATGTAACAACTGCTAGCAAACCTAATAATAAATAAATAAATAATAATGGGTGACGGTAACTACCTACCATCAAGTAGGCCGTCTGCTCGGTTACCCCCTTTTCCCATAAAAAAAAAATTCCTTATATACTAATTTTCCTTATATACCAATTTCCCTTAAATACCAAATGTCCTTATATACCAATTTTCGTTATATAACAATTTTCCTTAAATACTGTTTTTCTTATATACCAATTTTCCTTTTATACCAATAGACGGAAAACTCCGAAACTGCATCTGGCTGGACCGATTCGTATGAAATTTTGAGAGCATATTGAGTAGGTCTGAGAATCGACCAACATCTATTTTCCATACTCCTAAGTCATAAGGGTTGTTTAAAAAATACGTACACCCCAAGATTTATAATTTTTTATCACCAACCCCTATTTTTTTATATTGCAAAACAACGTTTGCCGGGTCAGCTAGTATATACTATATATTTAAATTCACAGTTTCGAGTGTCCTATATGCGGTCGCGTGTGTCCCAACCAGCGATCTTTGGCCTCTCATATACAGGCTGTTCACTCTGCTAGTAAGGAGTACGTCTGTTCTCTGTGCAGCGCAAGTTATACTAGCCGGAAGTCGCTCGTACGACACTTGGGCACGCACAGAAATAGCACAGGAGGGACGCTGGCTGTGTGCCATCTGTGCGGGAATTGTTTCAAGGTAGGATATTATGAGTTATTTGTATGGAACGTTTTATTTGCGAGTTATTTTATACGTAGGTCGAGTTATTTTATGTGTGGGTCGAGTTATTTTATGTGTAGGTTGAATAAATTTGTATTGGTTGAGTTATTTTATTTATGGGTTATTTTGTTCATCAGGTAGATAGTTTTTTTTATATCTTGGATTATCTGATATGTTATGTTTTAAATTTCAATTAAGTCTTTGTCTCAAATACGTTAACCGTGAATGTCGAATTTCAATTTATTTTATTATGTTAATATATTAATTCTGATATTTACACTAATACCGATTTTATATATCTGGTATGCTCTGCTTTTAAAGACTAGCACCACTTAAATCACATATTAGTTTGATAATTCATTATTAATTACAACAAAACCTCTACATTTTTTATTGATTTGTCAAGAACGATTTACGTTTGAAATTGTATGATATAAAAATATAACAGAATTAAATTTTATACATGAAATATTTCAACAATAAATCTTATTTAATGAATGATAATATTTATTTAAAAATATTTTCATTAACATTATCAAATCGGCCATAGCGCTTTAAAAATTCGATTTAAATGTTATAACGAGAGTTTCGTATAGTTTTTTATCAGTTCATTTCCCAAGAATGTATAAAAGTGTATCAAATACTTACTTTTCCGTCGATATTTTTATTATAACTCATAATTTTTACATAAGCTTGATTATTATTTGTAGTTTTGATATATTCATATAAGAACCGCAATATATTTTTTTACCAATTATCGTTATATGTACATGTTTGACTTAAATAACTCAATTTACAATTAATATTTTGTATTATTAAATAAGCAATTCTTGTATATATATTTATATATAATCGGAATCGGCTCCGATTTTCATTAAATTTAGTATATAGAGGGTTTCGGGGTCGATAAATTGATTTAGCTAGGAATCACTCTTAGAAAATTTAATTTTATGAAAAAAATTATAAAAAGGAGGCGTTTGAGTAGTCCCAATTTAAAATATGACTCTTCCTGACATCTATTGGCGAATAGTAATACTACTTTACTAATTGCTTTAACGACACAACAGCAGATGGCGTTGTGAAGTACCAGGAAGTCAATGAGTGTTTGTTTTGAAGTTAGACTAAGAAATTAATTGTTGATTTATATATATACTAGTTTTTGCCCGCGACTTCGTCCGCGTTAATTTCGTCATTAGTAATATAGGTATAGCTGACCGGGCGAACTCTATTCCGTCTTCAATAACCCGGTATTGGTATTTATTAAATTTCTAATGTTTCAATCGAACAGAATGATTGACATATTAGTTAGTTGTCAAGTCTAATGTCAAAAAATCGTTTGTATGGGAAATAGAAAAGGGCTGTTTTTAGGGTTTTCCCGGCAATAATTCCAATTTTTCTCACCTTTTAAACCTTCCCTGGACTTCCAGGAGTATTTCAAGACTAAAATTAGCCAAATCAGTTCAGCCGTTCTCGAGTTTTAGCGAGACTAAGGAACAGCAATCCATTTTTATATATATAGAAGAAGATTGTGTCTTCTTAACGTGTTCACTTAAAAATGCCTAACCGAAATAAAAAAAAACACTAAATAAATACATACTAATAACTCCTAAATACCGACCAAAGCTAGGTAACTAGATATTATATATATGTAATTTAATATTATATTTAATTTAATATTTTATATATTTCAGGGTAACAACAAACTCAACAGACACTTAAGAGATGTTTGCGAGAAGGCGAAAATTGAAGAAACAACTAATAATTATGAATAATTTATATTATATAAATACATATTTACATAAAAGTTTCAGACATTTCATTCATTGTTAATATAACAACTTTCAACTAAAAATAATCTCAATTCATCTTTATTTTATTATATATAATTATATTCTGTTATTTACTATTATTGGATAAATTAAACAGATTTTAATGTAACTTTTACTAGTCAAATAGTTTTATGAAAATTGGAGTTCAACAATTTTGTATGATAATGGGCATCTTTTTACAATAAAGCGCTTCTTTTTAAAATAAGGCGCTTCTATTTACAATTAAGCGCATCTTTTTACATTAAAGCTCTTCTTTTTACAATAAAGCTCTTCTTTATTTCTGTATCACATTAAAGCACTGTAAAGCACTAAACGATATTAAGCTATAGTTATCAATAGAGTCAACTATTATTTTATTAAGTATAGCCCTACATTGAGTGATGATACACTTTTTTTCACTCACTATGACGTCACTCTCACTCAAATTCCACTTCTTCCTCCATATATCTGTGAGTGAGTTTTTTCTTAACACACTCTCCTGTGATTCTAGCGTCGATTGGCTCATATTGTCATATGTTATGTATCTTTTGAGTAATATTTCTAGTATGTGCAACATATAGCACATATTCTCTGTGCTCACAGTCTGTGTGATTTCGATCACATCGCACAGTTTTGTGTGAATTTCTTCCAATTTCTTTGTGATATTTTCTATAGTGAACTTCATTATGTGATGTGATCTGTTCAATAGGAATATTCTTTGGATCTTCTCGTCTATTTGTAAAATCTGTAATATAAATGAAATTTACTTAAATTTGATCATTGAAGAGCAGATTTTGATACAATTTTTGTAATTTGTATTAAATATCAACGACTAATTTGTTTCATCATCATCATCCTATCAGAGCCCACTGCTAAGTATCTTCTCACATGGAGAAGGTTAGAGCATTAATTGATTAATTGATTAAGACGGATTGATTATTTCAAATTTATAATATGAAATTATAAGTCCATGTTTCCTCACGATGTTTTCCTTCATCAGTCAGTGGTGTCTAAATATTCTTATAAAGTACATATGACTCGGAACATCACATTGGTACTTGCCAGGATCGAACCCACGCCCTCATACTTGAGAGGCGGGCCTTTTAACCACTAGGCCACCACTAACTTATTTGTTTACTTATATTAATTAATGTTTTAGTTTTGATTTTAATATATATATATATATATATATATATATATATATATATATATATATATATATATGTGCATTACCATATCTCCGTCCACACCAGTTTCATATAATTCATTAACCAATCCTCCAACACTGTCCAACATCTCGTCCAAGAACTTTGGATACTTCTCAGCATCATGTAGCTTGTCTATAAACCTTCCTAACACCTGAAATAATACAATATTGGTATATATTCACAAAATGTAAGGATATTTATGATACAACTAGAAAATTATACTTTTTGTCTAGTTTTTACATAAAATAAACATATATACTGATAAGTATGTGTATGTATGTGAATATGGAAATCAGTAACTTAAATCATTCATAATACATTTGATTAATATATTAGAAGGTACTGCAAAATTATATATCGTCGAGGATAGTGCAAGTCCTCGTAACTACCATTGTATAATTCCGAGTATCTACATTAGAAGCAGATTATCACAAGAAAGTTTGGGCTGAAATATTTTCTATATTAACGACTTTTAAGTTAAATTTTTCATAATTAGTAATTATTTTGTGTTTATTACCTTTGAAATCTCTTCAATAATATCCATAATGTTGACAGCCAGTGGACAAGTCTTGAGGAAGCTCATCAAACAATAAGCTGACTCGTTCAAACAACTAGACTGAGACGCTGGAATTAATGGTGTTATGTTACATATTTTGTTGGAACAAACACACATACATATATATAAAATGTTGTATCATGTGTGTAATATTAAAATAGCCTGCTTTTCGATTTAATGTTAAATATATATGAACCAACAGTCAGCGCCATCTATCGTGTGTCGTTACTTCATACAATACATCTGTTGTGAAGTGTTCCGGGAACTACATGGACTGAACGATACATTATATACTATGTGTTATTATAATATATGACATATATTATTGTGAAGACATATTCAGTAGTTTTTGCATTAAATTGTAACAAACATACATACAAACTTTACAAATATATATATATAAATATTCTCACCACTTTTAGAACTTCTCTTCCAACTCCTATATCCAGAATCCTCAGTCATTTTATTATCTACTTTATTCAAATAACTCTTTATTCTACTTAATTCCTCTAAAACCTTAAACGAGACCATCTCCACTTGTGACTCAGTAATATCATCATCCGATTCATCATCGGATTGTGATAGAAAATTATGATTTTTTAGGATATTTTGACTAATTTCATTATATAATTTCTTATTATCCAATTTTGTATTTGAACAATACTCGTGTTCGTCCAATGAAAAGCTGTTTTGTGTTAATGAAGTAAATTTCTTTGGTGTCTCCGAGCTTAATATATTTTCTTTCCCGTTATCTATTGATACTAATATTTCTGATTCATTCAATCCATGTATTTGAGAGTTTGTAGTTAAATTTTCTTGTGTATTATTTAAATTATCAAAGCCATTGTTTTCTTGTTCACAGTTTAAAGAATCATTTAAACTATTGATATTCTCCGGTTTCTCATGAGTTCCTTCCAAATTTATATCTTTATCTTTTTCAATATCTTTCTTTCCATTTAAATATTTATTTTTGACCACAATAACATCTTCACTCTGGCTTATATGTGTGTTTGTATCATGTACAGTGTATAAAACAGTTTTTTGGGAATCGATTTGAGTTTTCGGTATATCATTATTTTGGTAATCATTAACGTCATCCGCTTCCATAAAATCATCAGACTCGCAGAAAGTTTTATCATTATCTGTACAGCCACTTAATGTCTCTTGTGTACATTGTGTTTCTCCGACTGAACTATGTATTTTATCCTGTAATAGAAGATATATTTAATGAGTATTTAATGTAATATTATTTATTTAGTATATTTTTATATGTATATTAATTTTGTACAACATTTTAACCCCATCTTTGCTTGCATTTAGGCTATACATATATGAACTACCTTCATTTTAGAATGACTATTTTATAATATTTTTGTTTATTGCATTATATCAGTAATATTTCTTTATGTGGTACAGTAATTTCTATGTTGTTTGATAATAAATATACAAACTTTGATATATATAAATGGGATATAAAGATTTATGTATATAGAAATTTACAAAAATATATATAAAAGTAATAAGAGGATATTAAAGCATTTAGCATATTATTCTAGAAAAAATAGACTAAAAGCGTTTAAAATTATAATTTACATACTAATATGATTTAAAATATATATATTTCATTCTATTAAAAATAAGAATATACATACAATACAAAATCATAAAAAATACCTCTTTTTGTTCATCATTGTTAATTCCATCATTACAAAACATATTTTCACCATTCATTTCATCAATACGTTCCTCATTTTGAACAAAATCTTTTAAAATGGTTACACTATCGTTAAAATTATTGAAATCTTGAACATCGGGTTCATTATCGTTGTAATTAAAGTCTTCTTCACATATACCATCATCCAAGGTTGTAAAATCATTTAAACTATTTATTATAGAATTTAGATGATCAATTACGTGTGTACCACTTGGTTTTGTCTTGATGACCGCTAGTGTAATGGCTAGGCGATATTTTTGTTGCATATACTGAGCTGAAATGCATGAATTTCAAATGGTCATAATAGTTTAATATTTTCGTAATTTATATTAGTTTTATAATAAAGGATATCAGAAGAGACTGGCGATTTAAATGGTTTTTATAGTTACTACAAAATTCTTAGAGAAACACTGTAATAAGTGTTTTTAAATATTTTGTAGCACTTCGGGTTTTTATGGATTTTCTGTTTGCTAATAATTAATAAATATAAAAAAATAGAAAGTTAACAATGCTGAATACTATGTAAAGGTTATAATTAATAATTAAAATAATATTTCGTTAATAGACACCTTAAAATTTAGTTAAAATAGCAACAACAGAAAAACGATTTTTAAAAACTTTACACTTACCGTAACCATCGAAATTCATGGTGGATGATAATTTTTCATAAAATAACTTTGATATAAACTTTAAATATTATATTTAAGTACATAATAATAGCAAATTTAAAGGATTAATTACTATTAAGAAATATGATTACACTTCGCGCCACTTTTCAAGTTCTCTTCGTGTACAGATTTCAAATCTTATTACATGATACAGATAATATATGAATATTTATGACTTTAATATGAAAAGGGTTTTATTTATGTGACAATTTTTGTTGTCATCAAAAATGGCATCTAAATAAACATTACCACGGAAAAATGATTTCAAAACAAATTATTGATGGCACTTTACACAATTCTATTCGGTATGAGTTTATTTATGATAGCACTGGTGATGGCAATCATAAAGAAAATGTTTTTCCATTGGAAACAGGAGCATAAAATTGAGAGGACCGTATTCACCACCGTACAAAGACCAGGTATTATTGTAAATGGCGCTTATTTAATAGCATTTAGCGTTTAGATTAGAAAGTTTTGAAATAAATCTGTAAGCTAAGCTATATTTTATATACGCTTAAGGATTTTTTTTCTATAATATTTAGTGATTAAAATCTCAAAGGTGGCATTTTACTTGGCGTTTATTTGTTGTGTCCTACTAAATAAGAACATGTGTGGTTGATTTATTTCTCTTCATTTGACATATTTACACAAATAAGCGCAAACGCTTAAAGACGTGTCGGCATGCCAAGTGTGGATGTCGTATTTGGACTACGTACAAATATTTGGACAAATGCGGCGAATACACAACGTCAAGTGAAGTGCCACCTTTAGATTAATATATAGAGAAGAAATAAATATTAATCTGCTTAATATTTCCAGCCGTCAGTATAATGATAAGCGTGGAAAAGTGTCTTGTAAAAAAGCGGCAATATCCAGAAAATGTTATTATTTATGACATCATTAGCAAAAGCGACATAAGCTTGAAGCAAACTTTCTAATATCCATGTAATTTTCTCTTTATATATTTTCAATAAACACCGATTAATAACAGAATATATTATCTGTGAGTTGTAACTTGACTTTATTCGTTTATGGACATTAAAATTTCAGTTTTAAAACATTTCTATATATACTGTATATAAATAAAATGCCCTATTAATGAGATCTAAGATTTTTGCAAGTACCTACTCATTTAAATGAAACTAGGTAATATTTTCGGATTTACTACGCAATTATTTATTTTTGAAAGGTTGCTACAAAGTAGTTGAAAAGTCGGGAGTATGTAGTTTATAGTCAAAAATTAAAAAATCGCGTAGTAAATCCGGAAATATAAGTTTCATTTAAAATGGCCTATTATTTTAGTGGATTACTGTATACAGGAACAAGAAATTGCTAATTCATTTTTTTTTTACCCAGACTAAGAGTAATTTAATTAAAATTAATTTCTATTGCATTCTTTACGTATATATAGAAATATTATGGCAGCACACTACAATCTATACTATGATTCTCAAAAGTACTCGTATCCAGAGCAGTAAAAACATAAAAAAAATGCTTTATTGACAAGTCAGACCAAAATTCTCACAAACATTAAATTTGTTTAATATATAGTATAAATAATACAAGATTTATTCCCAAAGAGGGTTGATGTCAGACAGGTCGTAAAAACAATTAGCCAAAACTATTCACAACATGTAAGACAGACTCTGGCTGAAGCTGGGAAATAGACAGGTAGAAGAATAGCATAAATAATACCACTAATTTATTTATAAACATTTTATTCCACAGTTCTCGTGTATCTAATCTTCATTCGTCGTTGGCTCTTAAAACATTTAACACCGTAGACACTGTTTATTTTTATAATATCTCCATCTGACAATAGCTTGGTGTTCTGACCCAAGGATTTCATTACAGAGCCGTCCGGGTCCTTGAGGTTTAAAATTAATTTTAATTATCTTTTTATATATATAATTCTTCTGTGAGTGTGTATGTCACTGAACTTCTCTCAAACAACGTGACCGATTTAGATGAAATTTTTTGTGTGTTCAAATGGATCTGGGAATGGTTTAGATTCACAATTTTGTCCGCTGGACAATGTTTTTTTAATTAATTTTTAATTTATTAGTAGTTGTTGATACAAACGTTTTTTTTGACATTAGATTTGACAACTAATATGTCAATCATTCTGTCGCACTTCAAAACACGGAGATTTATGGCTTTAATAGGTAAACTCCAAAAATATAAATTAAAAAAACGTAACAGATATTTCTTGATTATAGGGCGATACGAAGTTCGCCGGGTCTTCTAGTATATGTATATATGTTTAACTTTGTAGTGTAAATTTCAGAAGCCCAATCAACGTTATATTACGATTTTATCTAATAGGATAGTATTTCTTTTAAAGGAAAAATATTACTTTTGCAATTAGCGACATCTGTCGTTTCATACACAAAACAAACTTTATACCTCGATCCAACCTGAATCCCTACTAATATTATAAATGCAAAAGTAACTCTGTCAGTCTGTCTGTTACGCTTTCACGCCTAAACCACTGAACTGATTTTAATGAAATTTAGTACAGACATAGAGTTGACCTTGAGAAAGAACATAGGATAGTTTTTATCTCAGACTTTTGAGAAGTTTTCTTGGAAACGCGATATAACCGAACTCCACGCGGGCGAAGCTGCGGGCGGAAAGCTAGTTATATATAATTATGTTATCCCTCTGTCTAAACTACGTTATTAAAAAAGTTTCATCAAAATATCTTCAATTAAATTTGAAGAACAACAAATATAACCACAAAACCTTCACAATTATACTATTACTAATATAATTTCCGTCTGTGTAGTTCTTATATACTACATACTAGTGTGATTCCAGTCTTTCCCTGTAATTTACCTGTTCCTTGTACGTAGCGACGCTTGATATTCCCGTTTTGCCGACTACCCTCCAGTACTGCCAGGCGGGGTGGGTGGCGCTAGCGTAGTCATAAGGCAGAGGGAGGGTAGCTTCAGAACGAATCTTCTCGAAGTGATGCAGTTTGTCTGTTTATTTGTATTTATAACTCGACTTTTTTGATTTTTTATTTATTATATATCAACTCATTAAGTTAATTATTAATAATTATTTAGGTTTTATATGATTTTAATTAAGGTAAAGCGAAAATATTGTTATTTAACCATTGAGGGTAGTTCTAAACTGATTTTTTGTTATATTTACATTCTTTTTACTAACATTTACTTATTTAAATGTTGCTATTAGCGATAAATATGTTAATATCTAGTATGGGTAGGAAAAAAAATTGAATTCTATTATAACAAAGCAGCCAATTACAATACAATTTGTAAATACATTTCAATATATATGTGTATGAAATACAATACGCACACACAGTGCCGGCGTTAGGGGGTGCGATGGGGCGACGGCCCAGGGCGCTAAATTTGGGGGGGCGATTAGTGGAGGTAGGATACTTATAAATGAAAAAATAAAAAATAGGAGCTACATAACTTTCTACGTCCACGTAATTAGCTCTGGGTCACGCTAAAGGAAAGATGGAATATAGAATTCTTAATACACGTTCAGTGTTCACATTGGTTCAGAAAAACTTAATACTCGATTTTGATTTCTTCAAGTGGGTGCCAAAATACTCTTGCCCAGGGTCAGTCCCTCTAGCGCCGGCACTGCACACATATACACACACAGACCTGGTCGTATGTGTCTGTTGTGCACTCGTATGTACTTGTCTCTGTCGTGTCGCGACACCTCGAAGTAGAAGCCGAGCATGGCCATCACCATCATAGCAGCGTGCTGTCTATGTTGACCGCCCTCGAATAGCTCTAAGCTACCGAAATTCTATAAAACAATATGTTATATAAATAAATAAGTATACTTTTTACGTAAGCTTACTGTATACAAAATTTTATCAAAATCGGTTCAGCCGTTTGAAAGTAAAGAAGTAACAAACATAAACACACTCACAAACTTTCGCAATTATAATATTAGTAGGATTTAGAATATTGTTAATCTCTACATGTTAAAAATAAATGAACATCGCCGGGGCGACATCGTTGTATGTATAATGTATATAACTCTTGACGCCGCTGACTCCGCGGAACGAACACCAAGCGGGTGAACCAGAAGATTCCTGATACACACAAGCTATGGAATGGTATTGTTATCCTAACATCGGGTCAATCATGTAGTCTTAGGTGTAGGTTATAAGTTTTATTATGTAATTCTTATAGTGCGTCGAGTTCCTTCGAGCTAAGGAAGTGAAATTTCTTATCGTTTAAATGAAAATACTAAGGGGTAGAGTAAATTTTTTGTAAACTACATAATATTGTTTCTTTAATACAATCTTTATAAACATTGCTTACAATTACAATTGACCCCCATTTATTGAATCCGTCTCTTTCTATCCCCCCTCCACTAGCGTTAAACGTTTAACGCAACCTTGTTTAAAGTCGCATTAGAAGTTCCACTTCAAAAATATCGCGTGTACAGTAATAAAGTATAGGGGAATATGTAAATGAAAACACCATATTATTCTTTTTATTACTTTATTATTAAGAACCAGGGCAATTTGAAATATTCTAATGAATTCCGTAGTGTTAACCTAATTGTAATTTCTGAACAGTTTTCCATAATATTTGACAAGAATCTCTAAATATCAATGAGTTGAATTGTTCTAGAACATTTGAAATTATTACGCGTTAAAACATTTGAAATTCACCACTGATAGATATAGTTACATTAACCTGAAATTTGGTTAACAATTCGACTTCTACTTCTAATACATAGAAGACATAAAATCAAGAAGAATACTCACCATATTCTTCTTTCAGTGCTCAGATAATTCTTCTATAATAGTCTTATCACAAACAGACTCTCCTCTATGCCTCTTGGCTCTATGCGCGTCTAATTTCCGTATATCATAGGACCAACGCTGCAGTAATTCCGTCATTTTCCTCTCATACTCCTCTCTCAAGCAATCTTGATTTTCATCTAGCCAAGTTAAAGCATTTTTGCATTCTCCAATCATATCTCTAAACTCCTCCCCGCTTAAGCTATCCAAATTCTCAACTACAGATCTTTTTACATTATATATATATGACTCCAATTGATTTCTTACTTCCAAGCGTATTTTATTTTCCATGTCTTCTTCTTTGAATCTATCAGCATTGGATATCATTCTGCTGACCTCGTTTTGATGTAATCTATTTATATTTTCGATAATAATGCTGTTGCTATTTCCAGTAGTTCTGTCAACCGCTGATACTTTAAGTATACCATTTACATCAACTTCGAAGATCACATCTAATTTGGCGACTCCTCGCGGTACAGGCGGGATGTTTTGCATCTCGAAAACTCCTAAACAGTGATTATCTTTGGTAAGAGTTCGTTCACCCTCAAATATTTCTATCGTCATAGCGTTCTGATAATCTTCTAATGTAGTTATTTCCTTAACAACCCGGCAAGGAATCGGCGTGTTCCTTTCTATGACTTTGTACATTAAACCTCTAGCGGTTTCTAATCCTAGGGATAATGGCACGACATCAACTAGCAATAGCTCCTGTATCCGCTCGTGAGTATCCCCGGATAGCACTGCAGCTTGGATAGCTGCGCCACAAGCTACAGCTTCATCTGGATTTATCGAGCTGGATATCTTCCTACCGAAATATTCCTTCAAAATCCTCTTTACTATGGGAATCCTAGTGCTTCCTCCGACTAATATAACCTCGTGTAAATCATTCTTAGTCATGCCAGCATCCACCAACGCCTGATCTATAGGTTTGAGGGTATCTTTGAATAAGTCCAGGCAAAGGTGCTCGTATGTGACGCGCGATATTTTTCCAATATAGTTTATACCGCAAAGTCCTTCTATGAACACTTCAGCATTATTCGATGAAGTCAAAGCCTTTTTTGCTTTTTCCGCAGCAAATTTCAACCTTCTCATAGACCGTGCGCTGTTAATTTCCGTTTTATATCGTTTTCGAATGTCTTCAAGGAAGTACGCGACCAGACGATTGTCAATATCTTCGCCCCCAAGCCTAGTATTGCCAGCGGTAGCTTTCACTTCGTACACACAACCTTTACCTATTTTCAGAATCGACACATCGAAAGTCCCGCCGCCGAAATCGTAGACTAAAATATTTCTATCAGATTTGATGTTTTTATGGAGCCCATACGCAAACGCCGCTGCGGTCGGCTCGTTTATAATTCTAATAACTTCCAAACCAGCTATACGCCCTGCTAATTTAGTCGCCTGTCTTTGAGAATCGTTGAAATAAGCCGGCACAGTCACCACAGCTTTATCAACACTACAACCTAACCATAACTCCGCCAGCCCCTTCATCCTGAAAAGAATCATAGCACTTATTTCCTCAGGCGCAAAACATTTCCGTCCTTTATAATTAACAATAATGCGTGGCTTACCATTCTTATTGATTACTTCGTATGGGAAGTGACGTAAATCCATCTGTAAGCCGATATTATCGTACTTCCGCCCGATTAAGCGTTTCGCGCCATAAATCGTATTTGTAGCGTTGAGAGATGCTTGATTTTTCGCGCTCTCGCCTACAAGCCGCCCGCTAGCAGTGAATGCTACGTACGATGGAGTTGTTTTATTACCTTGTTCATTAGGTATAACTTCGATTGCACCATTCTTCCAAACGGCCACACATGATGAAGACGTGCCTAAATCTATACCCACAGCCACCATTTTCAATTAAAATTAATTCAGATACTTCTTTGATATTTTCAAAAACGTACAACTTCCCGCGTTCTCTTATATACCAGCCAATGGGAGCGCGGAATTTTCGAGAAATTATCAACCAATCAGAGCGCGTTATGAATAGAGATTTCTAGAAATGTGTTACCAGATTCTATACACAAAACTTGTCCAGAAATTACTATTTCAGAATAACAAAGTTTTTATTTTTAGGTATGAAAAACTTATATGCGTCTCCAAATGTAAAATAGTTTAGTTATAATAGATAATTTGAAAACTACGTCCATTATAAAAAATGCATATACAGGGTGACTGGTGAATAATATCAATATTTAAGGAGAATACTCGGTACATGATTCTCATTCGAATTATGTAAAAAAAATAGGTACTTAATTTTTGACCAAATTTCTGTATAAATAAATAAAGCGTGTACACGTTCCAAGTGTTCCAAGCGTGGACGCGTGTGGCGGCGTGCTGATACAACACCACGCCGCCGCACGCGTGTGTGTGTTTGTGTGTGTGTGTGTGTGTGTGTGTGTGTTTGTGTATACCTAATCTGTAGGGTGTTCACACGATGCGTAATTAATTACATAGCTTTTGGTTAACTTTACTTAGAAGTTTATTAATATTTATGTTATATTAATTTTTATTTCGTCATATATGATCGTCAAATATCACGTCCTCAAGTATCAATAGTAATTCACCAGTCACCCTGTATATATAACAATATGAAGACAATATAAATCTTTAAAATATTATAGTAAAAATATACTGTAGCCTTATTAACAATAACTATGTAGGTAATCAAAAAAAACGATTTCATTGTCTTATGTTCATAGAAAATAAAATCATTTATTTTATTTTACCTATCAAATAGGGATATTTCTAGAAGCTTGCAACACAAACCTATGATAAGTTTTGACGTCACAGTATTTTCTGTCCCTTACTATCATATACAAGATCATATCTTTTGTTGTGTTATTGTCTCTCTCCTATTTCGAATCTATTACGCCAATAAATATCAACATTATTTCAAATTAATAGGCTTAATAAAAAGTTTTAAATTACTATGATTAGATTATCGCCACACTACATACTAATAGTTTCCCGTTTCTCATTAATACGTTAATACTTTGAGAAGTTACGAATTAATACTGTTGACGTGGAGTATGTAGTGACGATGTACACTTAGAGTAAGCATATTAAAAGATTATTTTTTCAAAATTAAAACGCTTTTTTGAATATAAAAATAAATTCAACATTAATGGAGGGATATTACGCTCGTGAATATTGAACCATATTTAATTTATAAGTATATAATTTTGAATGCGGTTATGTATATATCGATTATCGACGATTTAATAAATTATTTTTTTAACGATATGAAATTAAACGTTCATAATATTATAATGGGAAAGAAAATATGTAGATTTAAATAATTTTGTTTTTGATTCTCGTTCTATAAAATTTTTGTATAGTCCTTGGTGTTTCTTTTGAAAAAATCTCCAATTAGTGAAAGAATAAATTGTATTTTATCGATTTAAAAGACATATTTATTAAAACAATACAATCTTATTGGATGAAAAATTTAAACTCAATACTTTTTTAATACTTATAAATAAAATCTATGTCTTTTAATCATTTCAATTTGTAATGTTTGACTATCTATATGAGTATGACTTAGGTAGGTAATATAATAGTAATATAAGGAATAACTTAGGTAATTATTTAACCTACTTAAAAATGAGGAACTTCTCAATACGACTTCATTTAACATCAAGTCATGATCTTTAGAGATAATTTCGAATATCTTTGAGAAATATATATACAGGGTGACTGGTGAATTACTATCGATACTTGATGACGTGATATTTGACGATCATATATGACAAAATAAAAATTAATATAACATAAATATTAATAAACTTCTAAGTAAAGGTAACCGAAAGTTATGTAATTAATTACGCATCGTGTGAACACCCTACAGATTAGGTATACACACACACATACGCGTGTCGTGACGTGGTGTTGTATCAGCACGCCGCCGCACGCGTCCACACTTGGAACACTTGGAATGTGTACACACTTTATTTATTTATACGGAAATTTTGTCAAAAATTAAGTGCCTATTTTTTTTACATAATTCGAATGAGAATCATGTACAGAGTATGCTCCTTAAATATTGATAGTAATTCACCAGTCACCCTGTATATATATATATATACGTCACCTGTTTCCCGCCAACCCGCCCCGTGACGTAGTCCCGGCTTGTGTCTAGAAGGAGATAGTCTGTCAGCCGTCTCGCTCCCTCCTCGCTCACTTCGTTCAGCCTCACACAAGTCCGCCGGCGTAATATCCTGTTCACCTCCGCCAGCCGTTCGCGGACTTTGTTCGTATCGTCTGTAAACATTCTAAATTTGAATTTCGAATTCCATTTTTAAAAATTCTTATAAAGGAGCTTGTTAATGTTTTTATTTTGTTAAGGCGTTTGCGGACTTAATCGAATATTCTGTTTATATTCCAAATTTGAATTGAGATTTCCATTTTTAAAAATTGTTATAAACAAGGTTGTTAATGTTATGTTTTTATTTCGTTCAGGCGTTTGCGGACCTTGATCGTATATTCCAAATTTGAATTGAGAATTCCATTTGAAAAATTCTACAAAGGAGGTTTTTTTTATCGTGAGTCAATATTTTTGAATTTGAATTCCATTTTTAAAAATTCTCACCAAGAAGGTTTTGAATGTACAATTTTTATTTTTTTATTTTGCTCAGGTATTCGCGGTTTTCATTCGAATCATCTATAATATTTTTAATAAGAAGTCTATTTTTAAAAATTCTCACCAAGAAGGTTTTGAATGTCCTGTTTTTTTTTTAAATTATAATTTTAAATATACGGCACAGATTTTTGATATTCAATTTAGAACTGTTTAAAGAGGTTTACTAATGGGTTTAAATATCAAATATTATTTAATGTAGGAACTATTATACTATCTCATACATAATACGTACAATTCACGTCTTCTTTTATCACATAGTTAACAACCCCATCCGGCCATATTCTCTCCGCGTAGAACTCTTTGTTTTGCTTTGAAATCTGCACTGTTTGAGGGACGCGGAACAATTTTCTCTCCTTTCTCTCTTTCCTTTTTTTCTCTCTGGGTCTAAAATTAGTAATAGCTTTTACTAAAATGTAATTTTATGTGTAAATACATACATTTAAGAATTATATTTTTTCGTTTCAACGAATTTTGATAGTTATTCCTACTTATTCTTTTCTTTTATTAAAAAGATTAAGTCGATTGTAACATACTAGGTACTTATAAAAAATGGACAAAATAACATAAACAAAAATTCCTAATAACTAAAAATAATTAAGATAAAACTAATTTCTTATTTGATAATAATAATTATATAATATATTTGTACGTTTATTATTATTATTTTCATTTTCAACTTAATGAAGTAATACATTATATTTTATAGGCCATAGACAATTTGAAATATCTGCATATTTTTTTCTACTTTATCTGTGCATTAAAAAGATATATTACCTTTCTTCTACATATCTCTCAACTCGTTCATCTATATTCTTCTTTTTTCTCTCTCCTTCTTCGTCGAACGACGTAACTCTCTTCTCTTCTGGACGGTGACGTGATTTTAATTTCTTTTTTCTTGGTTTTTCAAGAGTATTGGAATCTTCTTTTTCTTTCCTATATATATTATAACACATATTTTATGTATGTATATTTCTGATGGATTTTCAATAGAACAATAATTTTTTTAGTAATTAGCGAAAAACTTTTTATATTTACAAAGCATGGCGCAAAACATATAATGTATCAGACTCAAAAAGGCGCGAAATTTTAGTCATATTTATCAAGCAGAAGACTTATTACTAGAGTTAAGAAGTGTAGAAAGAAGAGTCATAAGGATAATTTCAAAACATAATGAGTACAAATACATAGACGACGAATATACCAAAGATTTATATACAGGGTGACTGGTGAATTACTATCAATATTTAAGGAGCATACTCGGTACATGATTCTCATTCGAATTATGTAAAAAAAATAGGTATTTAATTTTTGACCAAATTTCCGTATAAATAAATAAAGTGTGGACACGTTCCAAGTGTTCCAAGTGTGGACGCGTGCGGCGGCGTGCTGATACAACACCACGTCACGACACGCGTATGTGTGAGTGTGTGTGTATACCTAATCTGTAGGGTGTTCACACGATGCGTAATTAATTACATAACTTTTGGTTAACTTTACTCAGAAGTTTATTAATATTTATGTTATATTAATTTTTATTTTGTCATATATGATCGTCAAATATCACGTCCTCAAGTATCGATAGTAATTCACCAGTCACCCTGTATAATTCCGCCTCAGGTCGTTGACCTTTCGTTCTAAGCAATATTTTTATGGCACATTTTAGTAGCAAATATATTGTATATTATTTCAATACTTTGAGTATATATTATTACTCATAAGGACGCATTTGCTGGTGGTATTTTGATACAAGTTAGGGTAATCTTATAAGCCAAAAAATGGAAATCAAGTGCCCATTATAGTGTAATTTTTATGAGATGTTCAAACTTTAAGATAATGATATTTAAATAATCAATAATTATAACATATAAATCATAACAGATTTAAATGAAACTAATATATTTCTGATTATTACGCTTTATTTTATTATTTTCTCATCTCTGCCCGTGATCACGATTGCTGCAAAGTAATAAAAACGTATGAAGAATGCAGTTAATATAATAAATAATTAAGTAATTCGATAATATCAGTTTCATTTAAATGAATTTCTGTGAAAAATTAGTTGACAATTTATATTGGTAATTTAGGCAGATAGAATATTTTATTGTGTATGGACTACCAGAGTATGCATATGCAAGTGTATGCATGAGGTCGCGGGCTCGAAACCTGACAAGTACCAATGATTGTTTCGAGTCATATGTACTTTATAAGAGTATTTAGACACCACTGACTGATGAAGGAAAACGTCGTGAGGAAACATGGACTTATATCAAATTATAAGTTTGAAATCACCAACCCGTCTTGGGCGATGGTGATTAATGCTCTAACCTTCTTATGAGAAGAGGCTCAGCATTGGCTCTGATAGGCTGATTATGATGGAGTTTAGTTAAAAATAACTCACCCAAAATGTTGATAGCTGCGTCTGATAGGTGCAAAATCAGTCTTCTTATCACTAACTATTCTTGTTGCCATTCGTAAAATTTCTTTGCCAGTCACATTGGCTGGTCCAGAATCTGTCAAATTCACGTCACGCTTCTCCCTCGTCAAATTCTTCCCTTCCGTAATATTTGACCTTAGCAATGGGACGAATTGGTGTTTCTTTCCTCTACCCTCATGTTTGGTCGATTGTCGTATCAACGGACGGTGTTGGGTCGAATGTTTTACCGGTCCTGGCATAGTTGAACGGAAATTCACAGGACATCTACTGTTCGGACCCCATTGGCATCTACCTATTTGAAATTTCTCCATAGAATTTGCATCGTCGCAGAAAACTGTCATGTTTGTTAGGGCGTTCTGAACGATAGCTCTTGCGTATTCATTAACTTTGTATATAATTTCTTTTAAATCTGCTTTCTTGGTGTCTACACTGCTATTAGTGGTGCTATTGCAGTGCTTTAGTTTAGCGTTAGTCAGCGCTGTAGCTGTTATTTTGTGTATTTGCTCAATAAGTAGCTGTACATCATCATCGATTCCGAGTTCTTTAAGATTATTTGTCAAATCGTCAGTCAGATTCTCTTGATTGCTTTCCGGTGGTGGAGTTATTTCAGGATTTACTCTAAGACTTCCGACTGTAGCGAAATCGATTTCACGCTTTCGTCTAACTGCCGGGAAGTTCCTACATATATCGATTTTAGCTTGGCGTTCCCGTTTAAGACATTCGGGTCCGTAAACTAATTCTATTTTCTTTAAATCGGTTTTCGATAGACCGATCCTTTTCTGTGGATTCTTGTCGTTCTAAATATTAATTATAATATTAATGAAATTTGGATAATTAATAGACATTTAAAAGTACTCTTCTGTAATAAATGCAAAGATTTTTCCACAATACTAGTTTGGGAGATACAATAATGAATAATTTCTTAGAAGACATTTAAAATAAGGAAAAACTTAAACGATTTATATTTCATTGTATTAAGTTTAAAGATAAATTAGTTATTTTATTTAATTTTGCGAGTAGATAAACATATAGATAATTCATTCTTAACTTATCTTTCATAATTATATCTATTGATACGAAAAATTTAATTTTTTCTCATTAAGTCCGAGTACTCAACCATTGCCGAGAATTTGCGTTATTTAAAAAAATCCTTCAATTATTTTGTCCATGTATATAATATTTTTTGTAGAAGTTTCATTTATCCCTACTAATATTATAAATGCGAAAGTAACTCTGTCTGTCTGTTACGCTTTCACGCCTAAACCACTGAACTGATTTTAATGAAATTTGGTACAGACAGAGTTGACCTTGAGAAAGAACATAGGATAGTTTTTATGCCAGACTTTTGAAAGGTTCTCTTGGAAACGCGATATAATTGAACTCCACGCGGACGAAGCTGCGGGCGGAAAGCTAGTGTTATTATATATATATTTACCCTGAAAAGTAATGTTCTGTGGCCGTTCTTGCTGAAATCTCTGTCACTGAAATGCATCACACTGTCTATGTCGTAGGGCAGAGCTCGCAGCTCTAGAGGGAGAATCTTCTCTTTGGTGAATAAAGGAATTGAACCTAGAAATATATTTAGCATATATATATATGATCACGAGTAAGTACCGGGCAAGTACCAATGTGATTTTTCGGAATCATATGTACTTTCTAAGAGTATTTAGACATCACTGGATTAATGTTGATTCCCAAAAGAGGGTTGATGTCAGGCAGGCGGCCGGTCGTAAAAACAAATAGCCAAAAACTATTCACAACATGAAAGGCGGACCCTGGCTATAGCTGGGAAAATTGCCAGGTAGAAGAAGATGAAGTCTTTTTACACTGGCCTATAACGCCCCACTTGTGAGCGCTAAGGACCAAAGGGGGGAATATATAACATATATATATATTTAGGGAACACACTTTTTATTCGAACCTAACCTTTACATTCCCGAACGCATCCTAAGTGATATTATATCGATGACGCTTGGCTTGTTCTTTTTTAACGCGGGAAAGTATGTTGTGAACACGACTTGTATTATTGTAAATAGAATTTAACTCATTTACGGTGTTTTGGCTTAAGATAATAATAATTAGTTTGCTCTAGTTAAGGATTTATTGTTATTTAAAAGCTTTATAAGAAAACTATATTTTTAATGATTTTGTTAGATTCCTAAATATATGCTTATAAAACAAATACCTCGAAATATTCCAAAAAAATTTAGTTAAGTACTTTTTTATGTCTATTTTTTAGATTCAAACCATTGGGGGCGTATTACAGTATCTCCTTATAAATAATAATTTTATTTAATTCTCTTATCGTATGCGATAAAATGTAGCAATAATCTAAATTATCGCATGAATTAATATTATCCAGATATACAAAGATAAAGTAATTATAAAATATTATTTATTTTAACTTAAATTATTACTACAGAAAGAGAATTTTTTACAAAAATATTTATTAAGAACATAATATCTTATTTTTGTTAAAATATCTTAATTGTTACGAAAAATTTAAAGAAAATCATAAAATTCAGAAATCGTAGTGGTCTAGTGGTTAAAGGCCTGCCTCTTATGCATGAGGGTTGGTTCGATCCTGGCAAGTATCAATGTGATGTTCCGAGTCATATGTACTTTATACGAGTATTTAGACATCACTGACTGATGAAGGAAAACATCGTGAGGAAACATGGACTTATCAAATTATAAGTTTGAAATCACCAACCCGTCTTGAGTAGTGGTGATTAATGCTCTAATCTTCTCCATGTGAGAAGAGGCTCAGCAGTGGGCTCTGATAGGATGATGATGATTAAGATCAGTCATATATTTATTTCAGTAGCTTTCCTTAATACGAGTTTACGTCATTACTCAAAAGTTATCGTCTCTGTTTTATTCGTAACTATACTTTCATATTATCGTATGTGGTTATTATATAACAAAGAACGAAAAACTATCCGTATTTAGTTTGTAAGGAAAACGAACGGTTTGATGGTTTAGGTCTTAAGAATGTTTATTCATTAAAACATTTTATTTTTATCATATGATTTTAATGTTCAATATATATATATATACAGGGTGACTGGTGAATTACTATCAATATTTAAGGAGAATACTCGGGTGTTCACACGATGCGTAATTAATTACATAACTTTTGGTTAACTTTACTTAGAAGTTTATTAATATTTATGTTATATTAATTTTTATTTTGTCATATATGGTCGTCAAATGTCACGTCCTCAAGTATTGATAGTAATTCACCAGTCACCCTGTATATATATATATATATATATATATATATTATAAATAATTTAAAGTGATATAAAACCCATATAAATTCTTATAAATTATTATATTGGCATTAAATTTAAGATTTCCGACTGGACATATGTTTAATGAAAAAATAATAATGTCATCTGTCAACTGTCATGTATTACTGAATAAAAATGACATCATTTTTTGATATAGAACTAGCTGACCCGGCAAACGTTGTTTTGCAGTATAAAAAATAGGGATTGGTGATAAAAAAGTAAAAATTTTGAGTTGTATGTATTTTTTAATTAAAAAGTAAAACCAAAAAATCGTAACAAAATAAAAAAAATTAGGGTGAACAACCCTTATGACTTAGGGGTATGAAAAATAGATGTTAGCCGATTCTCAGACCTACTCAATATGCTCATAAAATTTTATGACAATCGGTCCAGCCGTTTCAGAGAGAATTTTATACAGGGTGACTGGTGAATTACTATCGATACTTGAGGACGTGATATTTGACGATCATATATGACAAAATAAAAGTTAATATAACATATTAGATAAACATATAAAATTTATAAACGTTTAAATAATAATAATCAAATAATAATTATCTATATCTATGTAGCAACTGTCATTAGCACTATCCATCACTCCTATCATATTTATTCATCTAATCTGAACTATGTTTATTTGGATGATAACACATATATTAGATATATATATACGACCAATTATATATATACACATATAATACATGACAAAAAGCAAATAAATAATCAAATAAAAAAAACATGACAAGTGACATATGACATTTCTTTTTGACATTTACCAGACGTCCCGATTACTTTATAGCTCTTAAAAAACTTTAAAATGATTATAATAAAAATAGCTAGTAATACTATAAAAATATTATATTTGTACCCGCGAAAATATATACAATTATAAATTTGACTTTCCTTATGACATTAAAATATTTCTAAATGAAAAATTGGCCCAATAATTACTAGTCATTGTTACAATACATTTAATTTAATTTGTGTTGTTTTAGATCTACTAAAAAAGTTCTAATTGTGACTTTCAGTAAAAGATGTTAAAATTTATTACATTTATAATTTATTCCCGGATTTTATTTTCATTCTGTAAAACATTAGTAGAATATACTGTGCAGGTAAATGAAACTAATATTTTTCAGATTACTCGCGTATTTATAACCCTTAAACCTACACCTGGGTCACAAGTCCCAGTCACTGTTGAAGCTCCTCTCACTACAACGATGGACTCGACACACGCATTTAAATACATGGAATGATGAGAGGATTCGTCTCTTAAATAAAGATATCTCATCTTGCCTAGCTGTGATCACGGTTGTAAAGTAACCGAAACGTCAGGAGTATGTAGTTAAAATACTAAAAACGCGTAGTGATCAAAATAATATTAGTTTCATTTAAATGAATCGTAAGCCTGCATAAATGAATTGCCATATTTATACCAACGAAAATTACAATAAGACTTTGTGTAAGTGACATAAAGACAATATAGGCGTCGCTGTTGGTTCCTCTGGCGGAGACCCCGCAGCGCCAGCAATATCCAGATGAGTGTATTTTATGTTCTTGTCTTCCAAACCAGCAACCCTGATTAGAAAACCTGCTGCTAGCTGATGGTTGCGGCACTTTGCGTCTGTATCATACTGAACTAGATCATCACCGCTACACTTTCCATCATTGACAGCCAAATCTTCAGCCCTAATTGTGGAAATCTCGAAACCTTCTCCAAGTCTTGATCCACTGAACTGCAATTTGCTCGAATGGTTTGTCCCTTTCGCGCTGTGATTATCCATAGCGGCGGTATAATTACCGTAGCATGCTCTAGCGTGGCCAGTTAAAGTCGCTATGGTATATAAATGTGGGTTAAGCTCTTTTTCTGCCATATTCGCCAGCATATATAAAGAATCTGCCATAGCCAGTCTACCTTCAGCATCCGTATTGGTAACTCTGACCAGTTTTCCGCTACTCGAAGTAAGTAATTCATCAGAAACATAAGCATCTGAGCCGATAGAATTGCGACATAAACACATGACCCCAATGACTTTGAGGTGAGGTGGTTTTAATATGGAACAGGCCTTCAAGAACCCAGCTACAGCCGCCGCCCCGCATTTATCCCTGGACATGCCTGCCATCTTGCCAGATATTTTTATATCCGCGCCGCCAGTGTCGTATGTGACTCCTTTGCCAACTAGCATTAAGGTTTCTGTGACTCTGACAGGGTTAGACGAATTGTACTCCAATATAACAACTCTAGCTTTATGTCTCTCTACGTTATTCGCTGCTCGTGAGACAGCTGCTAATAGTGGATATTTCTGAGCTATAATATCGTCATTGTCAATAATTTTGATGGACACACAAGGGTCTTCAGCGAATACTTTGACTATATAATCAGCAATTTTTCCAGGAGCCATTCTTTCTGGATCTCCGCCAGCGATATCTCTTGCTATTATCCTGGCTCGCTCCAAAGCTATAGCATTTCTAATGATCCTTTCAAAAGATTCTGTAGCTTTTTCCTCTGCGTGGAGCCCAATTCTGTATATATGCTTCCGATTTTTAATCTCCCTTATTTGTATTGGCACGTACAAAGATTCAAGAGCTCCCAAAATACAAACTAACTGCCCGTCAGGGTAATGCACGACATTTTCGACGATTAGCAAAGGTTTCGTCATTCCAGCTTCCATTGCTCGTAGCATTCCTCTTTTCGCTGCTTCTTTGACCACTTTGACGTCATGATAAGGGGATACATTTCCAACTGGTGATAGCACCAATCGACCACCAGAAACGTAATCACAATTCCATACACTAGGTGTCTTATAAATGCTTTTATCCAGGGTATAAATTTTGTCAATAAAACTGGATACATGCCTAGGTAATTCCACATTCATGTCCCTGGGATATAAAATAAGGATGACGCCGTCATAGTCCGGGGATAGAAGATTTGTTTCAATGAAAATATTCTCGTATAATTTAAATGGCGACATATCGACACAAGTTGTAAGTCCCAACTGATATTATTATGTATTGCTTTCACTAATTATTTTATTTGTTATCAGATAAGATAGATATTGCATGATTTATGTTTTGTGTAATTTATGTGTGTGTGTGTAATCCAAATAATGCGTTCAATAAAATTAATCTTACTGTTTGTAGAATTTATTGAAATTTTATGAGCCGTATTTTATGTTATGCTACACATAACAGAAAATCTTTAGCACCATCTAGTATAAAATAACATTTTATCTACATCCCAATAATTAAGGTATTTTATAAAGCGGTACAATTTTTTTATTTAATTTTCAAAAAAAAAACAAGTAATTTACGTCCAGTCAAAGTAACTTCACACATTTTTATCTCGTTTTCGTGATCACGACTGAAAGGAACCGAAAAATCGGGATTGTGTAGATATAAAAAATAAAAAATATTATAAGTACGTCGAGTCCCTCCGCACGGAAGAAGTGAAACTTCGTAATGTTTAAATGAAAATAGGAAAGCGTAGAAATTTAGTTTTAAGAAATGTTTAATGTTTCTTTAAAACAAACTTTACTAACATTACTGACAAGTCACAATTACTATACAGGGTGACTGGTGAATTACTATCAATATTTAAGGAGAATACTCGGTACATGATTCTCATTCAATTTTGTAAAAAAAATAGGCACTTAATTTTTGACAAAATTTCCGTATAAATAAATAAAGTGTGTACACGTTCCAAGTGTTCCAAGTGTGGACGCGTGCGGCGGCGTGCTGATACAACACCACGCCACCGCACGCGCGTGTGTGTGTGTGTGTGTATACCTAATCTGTAGGGTGTTCACACGATGCGTAATTAGTTACATAACTTTTGGTTAACTTTACTCAGAAGTTTATTAATATTTATGTTATATTAATTTTTATTTTGTCATATATGATCGTCAAATATCACGTCCTCAAATATCGATAGTAATTCACCAGTCACCCTGTATATGTTCGAGCGCCACGAATACACTCTCGCTCTATCTTTTCATCCCCAGCAGTAGCGTTAAACGTTTAACACAACATTGTTAGACGTCGCATAAGAAGTTTCACTTCAAAAACATTTACAACCGAAAACGTTTCATTTAAAAACATGGAAATTGAAGTTAAAATCTCGTTTAAATATAATCATCATCCTATCAGAGCCCACTGCTGAGCTGTCTCTCACATGGAGAAGATTAGAGCATTAATCACCACGCTCGCTCAAGACGGATTGGTGATTTCAAACTTATTTAATATAAGTCCATGTTTCCTCATATTTTCCTTCATCTGTCAGTGTCTAAATACTCTTATAAAGTACATATGACTCGGAACAATCACCGGTACTTGCCAGGATCGAACCAACCCTCATGCATGAGAGGTCATTTAACCACTAGGCTACAATGACACGAATGATATACAGGGTGACTGGTGAATTACTATCGATACTTGAGGACGTGATATTTGACGATCATATATGACAAAATAGTGACAAAATAAAAAACATAAATATTAATAAACTTCTAACTTTAAGTACATATGTAATTCACCAGTCACCCTGTATATGTTAAATATTTAATTATAATCTCACCGCTTTCGATGTTTTCAAACTGGACGTCCACGAATAGATCTCTACTCGCTCTATTGTGTTCGAAAGGAAATCCCAGAGCCTTCATAATCATCATATCTATGTCCGGACTTCGCAGACACTCGTAGCCAAGAGTTACACGCTGTGGTTAAAATAACATGGACTTAAAATAATTTATTATATCATAGCGTAATATAATTAATTTTAATTAATATGTAATATTATTTTAAGTACATGTATTGAGAATTTATAGTAATTTTTTTCATGTAGCAACACTAGAATTGTAATTTATATACGTTTGTGTGTGTGTGTGTGTGTGCGTGTGTGCAAAGGCTTCATTTACACAGGAATCTCGGAAAGCATTCAAAATAATAATATATTATAACTGACACTGACAGATGTCAATACTTCGACGTTAAACCAAAATTATGTCGTATTATAAAATGTAGTTGTTAGAAGCAAATGATTATACTATTTTAGTACTTTAGGGCTATTCATTGAATAAAATCTTTTTATGTAATGACATATAAAATAAATACGAAAGCTTATAGGGACGTATGTTTGATCGTATACACGAAAATAATTCAACGGATTTTGATGAATCTTTACAATAATATATGTCATACATCATAATAACACATCCCTACTAATATTATAAATGCGAAAGTAACTCTGTCTGTCTGTCTGTTTGTTACGCTTTGACGCCTAAACCACTGGACTGATTTTAATGAAATTTGGTACAGACATAGAGTTGACCTTGAGAAAGAACATAGAATAGTTTTTATCCTAAACTTTTGAAAGGTTCTCTTGGAGACGCTATATAACCGAACTCCACGCGGGCGGAGCTGCGGGCGGAAAGCTAGTAGTATATAATGTATCGTTCAGTCCGTGTAGTTCCCGGGAACACTTCATAACAAATGTATTGTATGAAGTAACGACACGCGATAGATGGCGCTGACTGTTGGTTCATATGTTTTAACACACTATCCTACTAATATTATAATTTCGAAAGTATGTGAGTGTATGTTTGTTACTTCTTCACGCTCAAACGGCTGAAGCGATTTTGATAAAATTTTGTATACAGGAAGCTGATATCCAGGATTATAACATAGGCTACTTTACATGCCGGAAATCCCGAAAATACTAGTATATAACAAACTCCGTACATGCGGCTCATCTTTCCCATGTCCCTCCATTCCGATGACGCATTTCCTGACGCCATTAGGATTCTCGAAGACCAAGACGTGTTGGTTTAACCCTGGTTCCGCCATTACTGGGTTGAATTGTAGGCAGGTTTTAAACGAGTACAGCGATAAAGATGACATTATCGCCAGCATTTGTTCTTTGTCTGTCAAATGTTATATAAATTTTGATACAGCCATATAAAAGCATATTATTATCCTATGAAATCATTTAATCTGAAATTGTGTAATATTTTGACAATATCAAAGTTTTTATTTATTAAATTATTTATATTTTAATTATTGTGTGGAAAACACGAAGGTGTATGCAACATAACATTATAATATGCAACCATTTAACATATATTCAATTGTACATCATTATACTCTCACATTCATACAATCGTACATTTCTATCCGTACAACCGTAAATCATGACATCCGTACATTCAAACAACCGTACCTCAAATACTCATACCTCTATTGCTTACGGAAATCTAAATAATTTTATACATATACAGGGTGACTGGTGAATTACTATCAATATTTAAGGAGAATACTCGGTACATGATTCTCATTCGAATTATGTAAAAAAATAGGTACTTAATTTTTGACCAAATTTCCGTATAAATAAATAAAGTGTGGACACGTTCCAAGTGTTCCAAGTGTGGACGCGTGCGGCGGCGTGCTGATACAACACCACGCCGCCGCACGCGTGAGTGTGTGTGTGTGTGTATACCTAATCTGTAGGGTGTTCACACGATGCGTAATTAATTACATAACTTTTGGTTAACTTTACTTAGAAGTTTATTAATATTTATGTTATATTATTTTTTATTTTGTCATATATGATCGTCAAATATCACGTCCTCAAGTATCGATAGTAATTCACCAGTCACCCTGTATACATTTAATCTCTTGAAAAACCTTACATACGATACTTTTACATAAAATAACTTTAATTCTCTCTTAGTTTTCAACCAAACCTTCAAAAGACATTTTATTCTAGACTTTATAGTTTCGTTGCTATAATATTTCAACTAAACGTAGACAAAAACTCACCATAATGATACGGGTTGATATAAAATGGTATGGTACCATTCGGCCAATAAACGAAATTATTAAGTTGAAATGTGACTGTAAAAAATACATTAAAAATAAAATAAATATATTTTTTTAACATTCAGACCTGAAAGGGATTTGTAATAGTAATAATAATAAAATTTTATGGATAGGTACAGTCAAAAACTTGCTTTTGTTTAAAAAGGCGGGAAAACAAAACACAGAAGAAATATATTTGTATACCTATTGTGTCGGTATACAGCCAATGTCTCATGAATTATAGTATTCAGTCGTGACAAAATTGAAATATTTACGAAATCTTTAATGAATTTAAAAATAATCAATTTTAAGCATTTTTAATTTAATAATATGTTATAAAATTATATAAGGTTGGCTTTTTATTTTTTTTAATTTGGGGTCACAGGCTTTTTAAATTAGGCACAACTTCACGTAATGCATATGAATACTAAATGTTTCCTAACTAAACACAATTTTTATCTATATACTTAAATGTTGTAAATAATAATTATATGAACTTGTTTTTTCAAGAAAACTCGCATTACAGTACAAGTATAGTTTTATGCTAAGCTAAGATGTCGATTTTTTATGTGAGTGTTTTTTCTATGCTATACTTCATTTACACTGAAATTGTGGAATATGCTGCCAATGTCAACGTTTTTATTTAAAGAAGTTGTTATATCATAATTTTAATACTGCGCGGAGAAAATTTGTATGCCTAATTGTGTAATATATAAAACTTATCAAATGTAATTGAAATCTATCCAGCGATTGTCATAATGAGTGCGCAACTTTGACAATTATCATTTTACTCATATAATGTAATGTACGTAATGGGTATACCATTACGACTTTTATAATATTGTTGCTCTTGATAATGTTAAAAATAATAAATTCCCATATTAAATAGAAAAAAATTACGTTACTAATACTTACACACATTTTTTTTAACAACCTCAGATAAAGATGGCACGATAATCATAAATTTTAAAATATAAAGTAACAAAATTATTTGCGCCGCCATTTTTCGATCGAATTCTCAAACGTATTGTTATTATTAATTTTTTTACGATTTTGATAACATTTATTGAAGTGTTCAATAATATTTAGATTAGAATTTGAATGTTTCGTTATTGTTTGAAATATTCTTGTAACCTACTTCATTGAAATTGCTGTCGTCAAATAGCTGTAAATATTATTGTATGTGGACAAAAAAATATTTTTCTTGTAACTATTCCTTGAACCTGAATTATCATCAGCCTATCCGAGCCCACTGCTGAGCTGCCTCTTCTCATATGGAGAAGGTTAGAGCCTTAATAACCACGCTCGCTCAAGACGGATTGACGATTTCAAACTAATAATTCGGTATTATAAGTTTACGAGAATGGTATCCAACCGGTATCCAGTTAAAAAAAATTGGATTATTTTGCACTAGCTGTAGACTTTAGCAATATCCCTACTAATATTTTGTTCAGGTTTTAATCCTTCCTCCTCCTTCCTCCTGAACCTAAACGAACATTTCAAGACTAATATAAACCCGTTCAGCCGTTCTCGAGTTTTAGTGAGACTAAGGAACAGCAATTCATTTGTATATTCGTTTCTGTCTTTTTCTAGTGTCTAAGCTTCATTAGTGCTAAGTTTGATTACAAACTGTTAAAGAATTATTACATGAAATGGCAACAAACATAATTCCTAATTTGTCTTATTTACAATAACAGTAAGATTAATGTGAATAATCATTCAATTCAAAACTTTAATATTTTTTCTTCTTCAAAGATACTTATAAATGATGGAATTTAATAACATACATCCAAAAACAGCAAGGAGGTTGTATATAAAGTAAATAAAACACAATACAGCAACTATACATATATTATTGATCACTGAGCTACTTTTTTCTCAGGCAGACCAAGCAATTTTCTTACAGCGGCATCATAATCTTGAAGAGTTTGATCACTTTCTGAGTTGTTGAACAAATCAGAAACAGCTTTCTTATATTCTGGGCCGTGTGGTATATTATTTATATCAAAAACCTTGATTTCTTCATCAGATAAATCACCTTTCTTCGATACCCTCATGAACCAAGACACTAAATTAGCTTTAGACGGATTCTGGTCAAAATCATAATACTCCATATCTTCTAGAGTTTTATCTTTCTCCCAATCTTCTACATTCCAGCTTTCATAATAGCATGCTGTTAACAGATAATTGACATAATCCAGATTCTGTTTTCTTATCGGACATCTGTCCGCTGTGATTGTCACCAAATCGGTGCTCTCATTATATTTATCACCGACCAATCTTAAAAACTTGTCCCTAGCATGCTTATCTAGCTTAAGATCTGACAATTTGATCCTCAATGTAGCTATTCTTGATAGTGGGTTACGAATCGTTGGGCTGGCATGACAGTAATCCGATGTAATGATTTCTACTGGGTAGTTTTTTTCTATAGCCTCTTCGTTATTCAATAGCTCGGGCCATGGTGTGCAGAATTTTTTTATAGCTTCGCACTGCATTTTTATCACTGGAGGCGTTAGATGAAGGAAGTTTGGGACTTTCATTAGTTCGGCATTTGCTTTTTTTCCTGGTGGAGCCTGACCTTTGGGTACATATCCTTGCCTCATCGGTAGTGGAACTGATGATGGGTGAAACGATCTCGGACCCGGCCATACGTTGCCCCAATTCTGAAAATGATATGAATATTACTTTTGACAAGTTTGAAGCCATCTATATAGTATGTCACACGTTAAGGAAAGAGCTTGTAGTGTTTGTATGTATACGATATATAATACACTGTCTCAGGTACCCCACTAGAGGAGCGGCATGCGCTCGGCAGTGTCACGACTAGCGCGGAGCAGAACGGGGACGTGCGTCGCTCTAGCGGGGTAGTAGTGAGACAGTGACTAGTTATTTTTATATATAAGACCAGGGATCCTACAGGAGGTATGACTGAAGTGTTACATTGTGCAACGATTCTCATGGGGGGCAATAGTTTGGTGATATAACATGTTAAAATTTAAAACACTACAACACGAAGTTTGAATATTCTATAAAAATATGTAAAAAATTATATTAGTTGTTTTCTCTCAATTAAAATTAAATTGTAGATATATTTTTATGTGTGATATCAAATCAGGAAGGATTATAAAAATCTGACAACCTGTGACGAGAATAGGGGAAGGGATTCAGGTATAAAATTTGTGCGACATACTTTATACATGTATCCTGTCTAATATATAAATATATACATATAATATTTCCATATATCTAAATAACGGTCATGTCTACATTGATTTGAGAATACATTTCAGTTTAAATTAATAACTATAAGATCACCGCTAACTTTACCGAGGCTTCAAATCGCCAGTTATACTCTAATCAATACTTAGTACATTCAATACTTGGGAACTGATGACAAAAACAAGCCAAGTCTTCTTTGAAACAACCATAATTACTACTCATTACTCCAGCAACATATAGGATGTCTTTTGATTATTACAATCAATATATGCTCTAGCATTGATAATTTATATCTAAGAGTAAGTTTAAATATTAACAAAATTGTAAAAATGATTTTTTAGTTCCACAAATGCCATAAAGTTATTTGTGTATTTTATTTATTATAAAGTCCTAACACAGAATAATCAACATAAAATTTATTTAGACATGTCCTTCTACATAGTAATCACGACTATATAATTAAGGCCATATCGAATTGCTATTTTAGCCACTACTTATAGAGAATGCTAGTGAGAGAATACCTCATTGCATTGCAAATTTCTATATTACCAAGTAAATCATGTGAAATAATGACTAAATAATATGATTATTAAACATTTAACCTAATCAGAGAATATTTTTAACTAAGATAGTACTTAGTTCACACAAAAACGATGTTTATGTCTATCGTAACATTATTTTAAGCAATATATATGTATTTTAAAAATAACCTGATCCGTCTTCATTTTTTCCGATCTATCCGGCTGTATATCAGTCCTCCTGGCCACTTTTTTCTGTAATCTCGTCCTAGTCTTCAGAATGTCCAATACTCTAAATTCTTCTTCTTCCTCCTTCTTGGCCATATCAACTTTGTTTGAATGGTAACGCCATATTATCTGAGCGTTGTAAACGCTACCCGGCTTGTAGTTACGAATAAATAAACTCATTTTCACTTATTAATGCAATATTCTGTGTTTAAATTACTTTAAATAAACATTATTATTCAATCGTTTGTTTTTCAATTTCAGGTTATATGGAAGTGTATTTTTATGTCATGTGTGAAATAGCGACTGTCAAAATATCTATTAAAAATTAAATTATTGATTTAAATATGTGTTGTAAATAATATTCTCACTATATAAATACATAACATTATGCATATAATGTTATGTATTTTTTGCGAGTAATTAATTTTGTCAATATTTATAACAACAGATTTGTTGATAATTTTTAAATGTTAAATATTTAAGAGAAATATTTTATTTACAACTTGTAAAACAATTATATATATATTTAACATTAAAATTCTGAAGATATTATTATAAATTTTCAATATAGTTAATTTCCAAACGACCTTAAAATACTGACGAACTACCCGTCTGATGTAAAGATAAGTTGACCATTTTAAAATGGTACTAAAGAAATATGTCAAAACACATTTCAGTTATAATAAGCTAAAGTTAGACAAAGACAGGATATAAACATTATGTGCATTTAAAATAGCAGTATTATAAATCACAAAGTTGATTGTTAGCAAGATTCAAGTTTTAATGGTCGTAGGTAATAATTAGTTAATTCCAAAGTTGACGTAGAATGTAGTGACCTGTTTGAGTTATTTTTAAGTGAAATTTATTATAAAATGGAGGATAATTCTAAGAAACGGAGTCGTAAGTCGAGGTTGGTGCCGCGGGAATGCTTGGATTCAGATGACGAATATATAGCGGTTATGCAGGTAGGCGACCATTTTGAAAGCAAAAGAATTATGTACTATGAAATGAAAATGAATATGCATTTAACAACTTAATAATATATTATCAGGCTTACATGTTACAATTTAAACCTAATTTTGATATTAAAAAAACGTATTTTTTATTTTTTCTGTGGGTAGATTTGATTTTTGATGGCACTTTATTCATATTTATAGAAATCCCAAAAACGTCAAAGTAACCACGTCGCGGACATGTTTTGAAACAATAAGCTTATTTTTATGATATATAAAATATAAAACCTTCACTACTTAACCTTTTTTTTAATTACATATATACAGTAACTTTATTTAAAGATTTTTTTAAATTCTTTTTCAATATATTGCAAACATTTTATTAATATTCAAATCTCATTAAATATATAAAGATATATGTTTGCTAATTGTAAACTTATTTTATTCCCTTTAACTCCAGAACATAAATTACAATTCTCTTATAAAAATATGTACTCAAAAATTTTTATTAATTAAATACCTGAAATCTCCATGTGAAGAAGCCTTTGTTCAGAAGTGGGCTCTGATAGGCTGATGATGATGATGAAATAGCATCACCATTTAGTTAAAAATATTTTGTATATGAGTGAATTAAGTTGAAATAATTCTTCATATAACTCTTAAGTTTTATTGTCAGTGAGTAAGACTAAAAGAATCAACTAGTGCTAATAATATACTCAACACTATGTTAATACCATGGATTTTTTTGTTTTCTGTTAAAATATTTAATCTCTATATCTAGAGTTTATTATCAAATTCTCAAATAATTACAACTTTTATTTGAAAACAAATTTAGAAGTTGTTTGAACAGTTAGAAGTTTATACTTATTTCTTGATTAGATAGTTTGAAACTTACTTGTAGGTCAATAAATTTGTTAAACGGACTTTTAATTTGAGATTTCCTTTTCTATATATGTAAAAATACTTAATATAATATAAGAACTTCACTTTGTAGTAAACTTCTTATATATCTTATATATCTATTATTAAACAATACTCGATTCTCATTATATATAATGATATTTAGACATGGTAATCGATTTGATTGTGCAAATATAATTGTAACTGCAAATACATGCGGGCATTCTTTTCCGATCATGTGCTCGTGATTAATAAAGATTAATGTTCAATATATATTATGATAAGTTCTGGAACTTTATAATAAGTATTATGACTATTTTTCTAGCTTATAAGATTTAGAGGAATATTTTTTTAATACATTCTTATACCCTTTGTCTACCAATGTTGCCATAGCAATCACGTCTTGAAATTATATCTATATTTTATATGTAAATGTTGCTAGATCAATTAATTTTAATGGTACAGCTAGTTGCAATGAAATAAAATTATATAGATGTTTTAATTTTCTAGTATTAAATAGTGGGGTGTGATAAAGTTTTAACTACTCAGTTAATTCTATTTGTTTTAGGACTTTGTCATTTTAAGTTGAAATATGTATATGAAAAATTTTGCCGTTGTCTATAAATTCTTTGTATGTAGTTCATATTTGAAGTTTTATGGAAAAAGTAAGCTTAAATCTTAGGCATTTGAAGATTTTTTATACACTCTTGTAGCTTTTATAAGGTGTCCTAACAATTTCAATGCATTTTTTTATATAGTTATTTTTTTATAGTCTGGGCAATTAAGACATTTGAAGTCACACAATTTTACAACAATCTGAAATTTGGGCAAATCGCTGATAGACGAAAGTTCAATATATTCACGGTGCGTGTGTCGGGTCCATCGTTGTAGAGAGGAGCTTCAACAGTGACTGGTACTTGTGACCCAGGTGTATGTTTAAGGGACACTATCTAACGTTAAACGCTCATCTCCACTATCCAAACTCCTCTCTCTACCTAAGACAATTTGAAACGACCCTACTAGGGCTGCTTTCGAAGTACGTTCCAAGAATTAATTGATGTTAGGTCTGGAAAGGCCCAAGTCTCTTTGTAGGTTGTAAAGAGATTTAACTGTTACATCTCTCGTTCTTATTTCCATCGCGTACAAAGTCACGACTAACCTATTTTAGTGAGGATATAATACCTATTGACCTTGATGGCATGGTCTTTGGGGTGTTGGTTTCCCAATTATCTGTAAACTCTTTTAGCACAACGCTCTCACAAAATTCGCGAATACATAAATATGTCTGGTCTGATACCGACGCACTAATATCTTCGGGGATTTTGTATTGTTTCTCATACGTGTCCATCATTATAGTCCAATCCGAAGCCGCTTTAAGAATGGAGTAAGGCTTGACGTTTGATTTTGTAGCCCTAGTGCCTTCTCTCACAAAACCTACAGATCGCTTGTTTGTGGTTAATTCCCTTTACGCTCTGGCTACCGAAAGACTAACCGCTTCACGTATGATTTCTAGAACCCTATCGTGACGACACGAGTATTGACCGCTGTCCAGGAGAACCTTACATCCCACCAGCAGATGCTTAGCAGTTCCAACTGCCTTTCTACAGATATAGCAAGCTTTTCGGTACCTCTACCCCATTTTACTAAATGACTCTGATCTGGGAAATAAAACTTCAAAATTTTTTGAATCGTTTTATCTCTAAAACAGTGGCTCGTCGGAAAAAAAATCAGTCATTTTTGACAGATAATTTTATGATCTACAATTTCTATCTACAGTCTTAGAAAATTTTGTGATTAAACTAACCTTTTCCCTGAAAATTACAAAAAAAAAACCTAATGTTTTACCTTTCACATTGAATTTAAATATTTTTCAATACATTGAAAAGATGGTGAACTTTCAAATTTTATTATGATCAATCTCACCAATTTTCAGCTTGTAAAATTATTTTAATTTTTTTGTCTAATTCGGTCTAATTTAATTAATTGAACCACATTAATAGTACATATGGAAGCTCAGTTTCATGATAATAAACTAACTACCAGCTATTCTTAAGAAAAATGGATACCTAATATACTATAAAGTTGGAATATAAATATAATTTAATATTATTATGTATAGCTAGTTTATGATTCAGACTAATTCCTAGGATTTTTGGCTTGATTTACCTTAATTTTTATTAGAAGAAACGAAAATGACGGTATTTGAAACATTCAAATATGACTCAGAGCCTTGAAGCACTCCTGATGTCGTTGTAAATGTATCTGACTCCAAAAATAATATACATTCAAAGTATTAAATAAGTTGTTAAATACTTATAAAAAATTCCATCATAAAAGAAACAAAGTTTCTTCAGTATAATACGTTGAAAGAAAATACCAAATTGACTTTCTAGGTACGCGTAGTCTTTTCAAGTTATACCACCGACAGTAATCACTAATTTTGACGTAATAAACATGTTTATTATTAATTTAATAACTATATAAGTATATACCTTAGTAGTAGTTTGTGTTGTCAAACTCAAAACAACTAGTTTTCAGTTTTCAATATACCTACATACGTTGATATTGTCATGAGAAAATATTTCAAGTTTATTTTCTTTAAACTTTTTTCTGTCTAAACGTTACTTTATTATTTCAAATAATGAATCTTTATAAAACTTCTATTGACCATTGTCTTAAAGACCAGATCTTTTTTTATATTTTTTCTTATCGTAAAAGAGAAGCTCCTAAAGAATTAATATATTGACGCTTCTTAAAAACAGTTCACAGTCAGAGCAATCTACCTCCATCAGTGTATAATAAGCCTCAAATAAAACTAAACAAATGTTATTTCATAAAATATAAATAAAATAATATAATTGCAATATTTTTTGTAAAACAATGTCCACTTTTATCATATTATGTAATTTCCCTAAAATTAAACACAACATTATTTAAAATCATTAAAACAAATTAATGTTTGCAAAATTTCTGTGTGAAACGAAACGCATTTGTTGTCAAGTTGGCATCCTTGCAGAGGGAGGCGGGAAGATGTCATTTTGTTTAGTGAGTCTCATTTGTATGGTGGAAATACGAATTGAGAAGTACCAGCAAGTTTGAAAGGTACTTACAGTCCCCTGGTAAGTAGTGACATTTCTTTTACTGTAATATTACCTATATTTAATTAGCTATTTCATTATCTTTGTGTATATTTATTCGTAAACTTAAATACTATTTTGTATTGATTAAGTAGACATTTTTAAAATTTTATGAAATTACAGTCCCCTTGTACTATTCGCTGAAAGAACCATTGTTTATTAAAGTACCCTTACTACAAGTTAGTAAGGTTAAATACTTACTACATAGAAAGCGTTTTCAGTTTAATTAGTAATCGATCGTGATACTAATATGCGAATATTTTTGAATGAACAATTTTATAAAATAAACACGCTTCATGTATTCGTACACCATTCGAACTTGTGGTAAGCATAGAGATCGTAATGTTTTTATTATAGACTCAAGATTATTATCGAATTTATTAAAGCCAATATCAACTACATATATATTATTATTTTATAAACCTTAATTATTTTAAACAGGCTGATCACAGAAAATGGCTCCCAAAAAAAACAAACAATCTCGCGAGGAACTTTTAAAGAAAAAGAGAGAAGCAGAGCGTTTAAGATACTACAGACAAAGAAATGACCCGCAGAAAAGAGAACAAATGAGGGAAAAACACAAGTTGAAGTATTTACAGAGGAAAGAGAAAGGCTTCAGAAAACTGGCCAAAGATATGACACCCCACGAGCACAGCAGGGCTCTGCAGAAGTGGAAAGAATATTGTAGAGCTTACCGAGAGAGGAAACGGGCAGAAGAAAACAACGATGATGATTCTGTATGAAAATATTTATATAGTAACATACATACAAATTACTACGAGTCTGCATTGTCTAACTACATACATAGTCAGAAGTTTTTTATTTATACATATATATATTATGAATTTTGAACTATGATCTATGTTTAGTTATACAAGGCAAAGCCACATATATATATATATATATATATATATATATATATATATGTTTATAAAGTTCAAATCAATTAAAAGTTTTTATGCAGTGGACAAATAGACATATATAAATATATATATTTTTTGACAACATCTAAAGTAAAGCTATGTAATTATTATGTTTCACAGTGACTTAGGAATTAGGTATTGAAGAGTAAGTATGGAAGTAGTGTCTCGGTAAAGACATACATTACACATGAGAACCTAACTTAATATTTTGTTTAATATAATATTTTGTTTCAAAGAGCATATAATTTAAGTCAGCGGCTGTAAAATATTAGTTCTACAAATAGAATGATTACATAGCATTAAAGAAAACCTTAGAATTCTTGTATTTTTTTTTTCTGTTTATCCTATTCCTCTATTATTATTTTCTCAATCTTTTTTATTATTTTATTTCTTTATTATGTGATTCTTAATTTTATTTAATCACACTATCCAAGTATGGAAGGGTTGAGAAATAAATAAATATTATAAAACAATTCATTCGATACATAATAAACATTACCAAATATTATGTTTATAAATCTAATATATTATTAAAATCCTGTTTAATTTTAACAAATTTTGGTAATGTTTAGGATGTGTTTGTAATTTTGTAACTACCCACAGATAATAAAATACAAAAAAAAATTAAATAGATAATAAATATTGACAATTGTAATATATGTTACTGTTATAATAATTTCAGGATGAAATCGAAGAGACAATAGCTCAGATGACCTCACACTCCATCCTCAAGAAGTTGAACCAGAGAAGTGAAGATAATCTGAAGTTTGACGTTAAAGTTGAAGTTGAGGAAGTTGAGGAGCAGACAAACGATTTGAATATAACCATCGGTTCAGTCGTCAGTCTGAAGGGCACTGATGAAGCGGCCCTGGCTGATGATGGAAAGGATCTAAATGTCGTAAGTCTGCAGGGCACTGATGAAGCGGAACTGATTAATGATGAAGAAAATGTAAATGAAACAGTCTCGAAAAAATCTATAGAAAATCAATACAACTTCAATTGTACTACTGTTATAGATAAGTTGAACAAAACGAAGAACAGAACTAATATAGCCGATGTACTAATAGATGTGCATATTAGGAATTATTTTGGAAGATATTTCTTTCAATTCGATGCTAAAGTGAAAGACGCGAAATTGTTAGCGGTTTTTGATAAATGGCAGGCCTGGTGCAGGAATAATCCCGACGATAGGGACGCACCTCTCATGTATAAATGCTTCATATGCCGTTCGTCCTGGTGGCATTTGTACGAATTTAGACAGCATTTGGATAAACACAAAGATTTTCTTCTAGATATGGAGGAATACGGCCAAGAATGTGTCGTTTTTGCGTATATAAACGAAATATATGTAGATGATATTAGTGTTGATGGAAATTGCTGGCGTTGCGGCAAAGATTTTGCATTCCACCAGTTCAAGAGCAGATATAGAAAGCTATATGGATGTTTTGGGTGTATGGCTAAATTTACAACATGTTTGAAATTAGCCAATCATTTGGGAGGCTGTATTTATTACAAGAGAACTCTTCAGAGTAGAGGAGAGTTCGTTACTCGAGTCTACCCTTGCTGGGTGTGTCCAGTGAAATGTTTTAATCTAAAAGATTTAGATGTTCACATAAAAGACAGGCATTCAGTTAGATCGGATTTGCCTATAATGACGAATCAGCAAGAATGCGGTCACTGTACCCAACTATGTGATCCGCTAACACACGAATGTATCACCCAAAAGTATATAAAATGCTGCGAATTATGCGACAGAAAATTCCAAAGGTCTATAAATTACGAGATTCATATGAAAAATAGCAGAAATATTTACAAATGCAAGATATGTGATGAACAATTATTAGGAAAGTGTACGGAGTTGAAACATTTGATGAAGCACACAAATAATTATATATATCTATACAAATGTCTCCTATGTCCACAAGCAGTTTATTTTAGCGAGAAAAGTCTTATTGAAGAACACAACAATATGACTCACGAAGATAATAATAATAAATATTGCTTTGATGAGGTAAGTTATTGTTTTATAAGTAATGAGTCAGTAAGTTACTTGCAAAGTTATTTCTTTTCAGTTAATTTTGATTATCAAATATATTTTGGAATATAATTATATTTTTTACACTGTTGCTTAGGAATAATATATATATTAAAGCTATACACTTGGATTAAAGTCATAAAACGATATACATATAAAAATTCATAGAGACAAACAGGATTTGAACCTGCGACTGTCGAAAAATCGCATCTCAGTCAATTACACTACTGAGCTATCATGATCAATAGATTTTTGTTATATTTTGTACCTAAATTACATTACCTTTTATTTCCTATATTTAAAGGTACAATTGTACCATAAATATTGTATCATTTTGTACCTTAAACCAATCTAATCCTTACAGGTCGTTGTACCAAAGTCTCTGCTCAGAAAGAAGACAACAAATTCCACGAGTAGACCAAAGATAAAACGGAAAGACCAACTAAACAACAAGCCTGTCGAACAAGTACAGAATAATATGGCATCTTCCATTCCAGAGAATATAGGTAAATATAATACTAATAACCATTATAATGATAAATTTCATGAAAATTGGTTCAGCAGTTTTTGTTTTAACCAAACATAGATACTTCATACTAATTTTTAGTATATATTTGTTAGATCTCCAGAAAATTTATTACATTTTCTTAAAAATACATCATACATTTAATTGTATAAAATGCGAATCTTCAAGACGAATTTTATTTTATATTATACTAGCTTTCCGTCCGCAGCTTCGCTCGCGTGGAGTTCGGTTATATCGCGTTCCCAAGAGAACCTTTCAAAAGTCTGGGACAAAAACTATCCTATGTTCTTTCTCAAGGTCAACTCTATATCTGTACCAAATTTCATTAAAATCAGTTCAGTGGTTTAGGCGTGAAAGCGTAACAGATAGACAGACAGAGTTACTTTGGCATTTATAATACTAGTACGGATTGTAAATCAATCATGAGACATATCTTAACATATATCACAAGATTTCATTACATAACCAAAAAAATTTTCAAATATCAATTATAATATCTTATAACCGCTGCATAATTTACATTCCAGGTCAAATCCAGAACACTGAAAACCTGGAATCCAATGTTACATACAACATTGAAACCGAGATTCCAATAAAGAAAGAATTGACCGATGATGATTTGATAACAGAAATAAAGCAAGAAGCCGATGAACGTATTTATGATAACATCGGTGATGAAATGGTGATCAAACAGGAAATAGTGGAACATGTGATACAAGTGTGTGAATATGATGATGTAAATGTGGGAATAAAGACTGAACCGACCGAGGTTGATGAAGAAAATGATGAATATCTTTTAGATATAAGGAATCTGGCTTATAATTGTACTAAGTAAGTATATATTAGACAAAACCTCTCATCATTCAATGTATTCATATGCGTGTGTCGGGTCCATTGTAGTGAGAGGAGCTTCAACAGTGACTGTGACTTGTGACCCAGGTGTAGGTTTAAGGGACTCTATCTAACGTTAAACGATCACCTCCACCGTACAAGCTCCTCTCTTTACTAAATTTGAAAAGAACCTACTAGGGCTGCCTTTGAAGTATGTTCCAAGAATGTATTAATGTTAGTTTTGGACAGCTCAAAGTCTTTTAGTAGATTGTAGAGAATATAATTACTGAGATTAATGCCCACATACAAACATATATAAATTCAACTTAATAATAATCCTATATTTTCCAGATTGTACGACTGTAAGAAATGCCTTTTCCAAGGTGTGCATAGAGAATATATGGAGCATTTAAAGAGCAAGTGTCTACATCGGACAAAGTATTACTGTAGTAAATGTGAAACTACATATCTTACAATGAAGAGATATCTGGTTCACTTCCGAAGACATGGCTATCAAGCGAATACTTGTCCACAATGTTTAAGACAATTAGAGATGAATTTACTAATAGCTCATGTGTATCAACATATAAAGAACAACTTCATCGGCTGTCACTACATAAATAAGACGTTACATCCTTTAAATAAATGTTATCAATGCAAAGAATGCAGGGAAGTGGTGCAGTTCTACGAGTTCTTCAAACACTGGGAACTACACTTGGAACTAAAGACATCGGATAACACTGGAAGGATTGAAGTGGTGGAGAATAAACCGCTGCTCAAAGAATTAATAGGTTTGTGGGTTATGCTCTAATCACTACTATCATTCTAATGTTATAAATGCGAAAGAAACTCTATCTGTCTGTTACGCTTTCACGCCTAAACCACTGAACTTATTTTAATGAAATTTGGTACAGATATAGAGTTGACCTTGAGAAAGAACATAGGATATTTTTTATCCCAGACTTTTGAAAGGTTCTCTCGGAAAGGCGATATAACCGAACTCCACGCGGGCGAAGCTGCGGGCGGAAAGCTAATATATTATATATGGGCTATGTTCATTATTATGAGTCACCTAATTCTTACTTTGTTGTTCATACTATCTAGTTGATATAGTTATATAAAATTTTCATAACTTCCACGTAAATCACCATCCTTTATTAAATACCCTATATGCAAAGTTTAATCAAAATTTGTTCATTACAAATTGCCGAAGCCTGCCTAAACCTGCCTAATCCTGTACATCTGCAGCCCTCCTCGTGGGTGAGAACCTGTCCATGAGTGGAGACTTGTTACCGAAGCAGTGCATCATGTGCCTCAAGATGTTTTCAAGAAAGAACGACCTCAAGAGACACCTCATAGAACATTTACTAAACGACGCTTATAGGAACAGACAGCTGTATGAGTGTTTGCGCTGCCAAATATGTAGTGTGGGCTTCAACAAGACGGATATGTGAGTGGGATAGGGATGAACGGGATAGGGATGGCTCAGTGTCTATATTAACGACTTTTAAGGTATTTTTCACAATCAGTAACGAATTAAACACTAAATAATTGCTAATTGTGAAAAAATTTACTTAAAAGTCGTTAATATAGACAATATTTCAGTTTAAACTTTCTTCTGATAATTTGCTTCTAATGTAAATACCAGAAATTACACTATTCCCGACAATATGTATATATATTCAAAATTAAGTGAGACCATATAGTTTAGTTGTTAAATTGTCTGTATCTTATATCCTTATGGTCACTAGTTCTATAAATTTTTAAATTTTTCTTTTTATTAGTTATAGAGTCAGTAAGCGAGATTTACAGAGTAATTGAGTGTCTGTATGTATGTTTGATACTAAAACTCATAAACTAGAGAAAGAACTAGTTTATTTAAATCTATACTATATTAGATGTAGTCTTTTAATATAACATTGAAAACTAATATACAGGGTGGGCCATGAATTAGTTAACATTTGAAATAATCATTTAAAAAAAACTATTTGACATATTTTAAAAATTGTTTTATTAAAAGAAAGCTAATTCGTTGGAAATTTATTTTAAAAATCATATCATCTAAATGACCACCATTTCGATTTTTACACTTTTCTTAGCGAGTAACGAAATTTTCGAATACTCGTCGGCACAGAGACCGTGAGATCGTCGATATCTTTTCGCTGTTTTTTTCTTTTAGTTGACGTAGTGTATTTGGTTTATCGATGTAGACACGACTCTTTAAATAACCCCATAAAAAGAAGTCAGCTGGGGATAGATCTGGACTTCTGGGTGGCCATGTAATGTCACCTCGTCTGGAAATCAGCCTTTTCGGAAACATTTCTTTAACCACCGGCAGGGACTCGTTGGATGTGTGACAAGTGGCTCCATCTTGTTGAAACCATGTGTTACGATTGTAGCTAGAAAATTCCAGTAGCATCGGTGCCAAAAACTCCCGTAACATTTTCACATACCGAGTAGAATTAACAGTAACTGAACGGCCGTGAGAATCTTCAAAAAGTAGAGTCCAATTATTCCTTTTGCTGAAATTGCAGCCCATACAGTTATCTTTGGAGAATGAAGTGGCCTTTCGTGTTTAGCTTTAGGATTGTCACTGCTCAAATATCTGCAATTCTGTTTGTTTACATGTCCGTTAAGATGAAAAAGGGCTTCGTCAGAAAATAAGAGGTTCTCAAAATTACTTAATCGATCTAACATTGTTTCAGCATAGGACTTGCGTAAATTAAATCATTAGGTTTTAGTTCCTACACCAATTGGATCTTATACGGATGCAATTTCAAATCTAACTTCAAAATACGGCGTAACGATGTGCGCGATAATCCTAATTCAGCCGAACGTTTGCGCGTCGATAAACCTGGATCACGTCGAACAGAAGCAGAAACTTGCTGTACGTTCTCTTCGCTCCGAGAAGTCCGTAGGCCGCCGGTTTGCTTTACATTTAGTGTAGATCCCGTCTCTTCGAACTTCTTCACCCGTTTCTTTATTAAAGGACCACTCGGACACTGACTTTAGTCGTGTAAATCATATTCAACACGAATATAACGAATATAAGTATTCGAAAATTTTGTTACTCACTTAGAAGAGTGTAAAAATCGAAATGGTGGTCATTTAGATGATATGATTTTAAAAAAATAATTTCCAACTAATTAGCTTTCTTTTAATAAAACAATTTTTAAAATATGTTAAATAGTTTTTTTTAATGATTACTTCAAATGTTAACTAATTCATGGCCCACCCTGTACAATATGATTCTCAAACACATATATTTCTATATATATTTTAGATTATAATAATATTATATATATTTCAGTTACAAACGCCACATGAGGGAGCACGGATCTCTGCCGCTGTACAAGTGCGAGCTCTGTGACAAGACATTCAGTGACTCGAGCAACTTCTCCAAACACAAGAAAGTACACAACCTGCACGTGGTCATCTGTGACGTGTGCAAAAAGAAGTTCACCTGCAAGAACATACTCGTTAAACATATGGAGGTGATGTATACACACAGACAGACAGACATATATATATATACATATACATATATTTATACAGGGTGACTGGTGAATTACTATCGATACTTGAGGACGTGATATTTGACGATCATATATGACAAAATAAAAATTAATATAACATAAATATTAATAAACTTCTAAGTAAAGTTAACCACAAGTTGTGTAATTAATTACGCATCGTGTGAACACCCTACAGATTAGGTATACACTGACACTCACACATACGCGTGTCGTGACGTAGTATCAGCACGTCGCCGCACGCGTCCACACTTGAACATTTGGAACATGTCAACACTTTACTTATTATTACGGAAATTTTGTCAAAAATTAAGTGCCTATTTTTTTTACATAATTCGAATGAGAATCATGTACCGAGTATTCTCCTTAAATATTGATAGTAATTCACCAGTCACCCTGTATATGATATACAAGAACATACTCGTTAAACATATGGAGGTGATATATACACACAGACAGACATATATATATGTATATATATATATGATAGGTGGCAAAGGCATTACACAGCAAAGATATATACAGATAAATGTTGTCATAGCATGTATTTGTTATATTTAACTATCTATCTACATATATAGATATTTAAACCATTTATGATATACTAGCTGCGCCCTGCGGTGTTACCTGTGGATTTCTGGGATGTAAAATAGCCTATGTGTTATTCCTGGACGTCAGCTTCCTGTATACAAAATTTCATCAAAATCGGTTCAGCCGCTTGAGCGTGAAGAAGTAACAAACATACACACACACTCACAAACTTTCGCAATTATAATATTAGTAGTATCATTTAGTTTCTGTTAGATAATACCATCATTTTTGGCAGCATTATATTTAGTTAGATTTATCATATAAAAATATAATCTAGAATACAGCATAGATTTCTTATCAAATCTGCCAGATGACCTAGTTACAATAACCATTTCATAGATTAGACAGAAAGAAATAGTTAATTAATGTTATAATATACAATATATTTCAGTTTCATAGATTAGACTGAACAAACAGATAGACAGATATAGTTAATTAAAGTTTTAATATATATTTCAGTTACACAAGATTGTGAAGCCAATATCATGTGATTGTTGCTCTCGAGTGTTCCACTCTCAGTCCATGTACCGGAAACATCGTTTGGGGAAGAGCAGGTTCAAGTGTCCGGCCTGTCAGCAAATGTTTAACAAGCTGAAAGACAAGTGGGATCATATGTGGCTGGTAAATATTATATATATATATACTAGAAGACCCGGCGAACTTCGTATCGCCCTATAATCAAGAAATATCTTTTTTATTTTTGGAGTTCACCTATTAAAGCTATAAATCTCCGTGTTCTGAAGTGCGACAGAATGATTGACATATTAGTTAGTTGTTAAATCTAATGTCAAAAAAACGTTTGTATCAACAAGTACTAATAAATTAGAAATTAATTTAAAAAAACATTGTCCAGCAGACAAAATTGTGAATCTAAATCATTCCCAGATCCTCTTGAACACACACAAAAAATTTTGACAAAATCGGTCCAGTCGTTTGAGAGAAGTTCAGTGACATACACACTCACAGAAGAATTATATATATAAAGATAGATAATAATAATAATAATAATAGTTTATTTGCTAGAATAGTGGTTAACAAAGGTATTTCATACATTTACAATGTCCAACATATTCTGCAGATTTGGCGTGCAAATATTTTTGAATAAACTAAAAATACTACACAAATATAAATTTTATAGTTTACAATTTAAATAAATCATTTTCAATATCATCGTTATAAATAAATAGTTATTTTATCGGTTAATTTAAATAAAATTACAATATTATTTAGGGAAATGTATTGAAGGAGTCTTGTATAGGCCTCATCTACTTCATATAGTATAGACTCATACAAAAAAGAGTTAAAATAAGGAGATATAACTTCTTATGTAGCTATTGGTGCAAATTGAATGAAGCAACCTTATTCTGACTTCGGTTCCAAATCTATTTTTGGACATGAGTTTAGTTTTACGGTCATAAAATTTTAATTATTAGTGTGATCTAATTTTTTTTATTAATTACACCAATATAACTGTTCTATGTAACATAAAACCTCTAGTCGATTGTACATTCGGTTGTTGAAATCATCTCCATGGAAATGACCTAAGTCGACAAAATATAAAAGACAGCATTTTCCACCAATTTCATTTTGCTGGTATCTTTATATACGAAAACAACTTAAATGGGGCCAATTAGTACTTAACAGGGACAAATGGAAATGGGGGTTCCTACATAATTAGGTCTACAGAAGTTATGAACTGTAATTTACGATTTAAAAATTGTTTAGACTAAAGTAAACCAAATAAAATAACTTAGAAAAAGAAAACTGCTTATATAAATTATATGTAATATATTTAGAAGTTAGATAGTGAACTTGAAAAAAACTGTTGTTATATTAAGTTATGAAGGCTTTTTATTTATATAACTTAATAATAATTAAATATTTTCAATTCCAGGAACATAAAGAGAGGAAGTACATAGCTGATTGTCCGATCTGTAAGAAATCATTCAGAAAGTATGCTGACGTTAAAGTACATATTAGAAGAGAGCACGACCCCAAGTACGTTTACAGGCCGGTGTTTAATAAAGTTAATGAAGAGGAGATTATAGTGTGTGACTAGTGTACAGGCTGGTGAAGTTGAGCTGAGTCATAGAATATATAGAAGAAAACTGTGCTTACAATAATGGACTTATAGTTAAGAACTTAAGATTGATATTGCATGAACCAAATTAGATGAAAAATTGATTTTTTGTATACAATTGTCTCAGTATGAAGAAATGTGACGTTTAATTGCATTGTTAGTAACTCATATATATATATATATTGTAATATTGTTAATTCCCTTATAAATCCTCTCAATATTCCTGCTCAATGACATTCCTCTTATATTCCTTATTTTTCCTCCCCTTACATATTGTATAATGTCTTTAATCAATCAGTTTACATATAGTTTACATGTTTACAGTTTTCTTATCCTTGTATATATATATAAGGCCAACGGAACAAGATAAATAATTTAAACAAAGATTAAACTTTTATTATGTCAGTATATATTAACTTGTTAAATTATTTAAATATTCTAGACTTATATATTATTAAATTAAAATTTCTATGAAGCAGGATTTGCTTACATAATTTATCTTTTCTCGTTGGACGTCAGTTAGTTATAGTTTTGACATGTTATGAAATAATATGGAATGCTCGTTTCCGTTCTTGTATTTGATGAAGTTCTTTATAAATTTGTGATTATAATGTTAATGTTAATAAAAACATTGTTTTATATTGAATTCTTATTATATTTTCTTCATCTACATAATATATATTTAGACAACACACATTTAATTTGAACCGAACCTTTAAACTCAGAACGCACCCGAAGTGTCGTTAAAGAGATGACGTTTGGTTTGTTCACTTTTACGAGGGAAAGTATTTGTACACGAGACTTGTGTGTTTATAAACTGAATTTAACTTACTGAAGGTGTTTTGGTTTAAGATGATAATTATTTTCTTCTAGTTAAAGTTTGATTAATTATTTAAAAGTACTGGCTTTATAAGACAAATATATATTTTTAAAGATTTTGTTAAAATCCTATATATAGATAAAACTACCCCATCCCTACTACCGATTCTTCCTATCATAAGCTATTCAAGACTTAAAAATGACTGTAAATTGATGAGAGCTCATCCTATTAGTTGTCATTAGTAGGATTGAGAACTACTTAAAAAAATTATAAAATAGTGTAAAGAAAAAGTGGTCAATTACTAAATCAGAGTTTAAAGTGATCACACAATTATTTCGTTAAAATTCACAGTTCGTTAAAATCAGAAGTGGGATTCGTAAGCTTAATCTGCCCTACTAATCAATTATATAATTACACCCATTTAAGACAAATAAACCGAATAATAATATGCAAAACCGAATCAAGGGGAATTACGGCGTATTGCTGAAATTCATCCTCAATTTAAATATATAAGTCAGAAGTTGGAAATAATCTTGAACAAGCGCCTATATGAGACCGCTACTGTCTACTGATCTACGGCGGCTACTACAGAGGTTGCTAAGAAGTTTTTTGTAGTGATAATCTCCTTGAACACGGTGAGACCAACCCAACTAATCTTATATAAATTAACAATTCTTGTAACCCAATTAAAAAATAATACAGTCATTTAAAATATGACTCTTCCTGACATCTATTGGCGAATAGTAATACTACTTTGCTAATTGCTTTAACGACTCAACAACAGATGGCGTTGTTAAGTACCAGGAAACCAATGAGTTTGTTTTGAGATTAGACTAAAAAAATTATTATTGATTTATAGGTGAATATACGCTATTTGAATTCCATTGGTCTATAGACGAATTTTATGTAAAACTCATTATATCATTGTCTCCCCATGCTTAAACAATATAGAATATGGCATTTTATCTGGCCCACAAAGACTATTCACGATAATCATTTAATTATATTTTATAATATTTTTAATAATATTTTAATAATAATTTAAATAATATTTTTAATAATATTTTATATAATATTCTTAATAATATTTTAAAATGTATACTCCTTTGGCCTTCCAATTTTTGAATTAAAATGAACTTATAGCGGAATACTTGCAAAAAGTACAGAATATTATTTTTTATTTAATGTGGCTATACGCTTTAATAAACATCGAAACATATTTTAAACAAAAATTAAGATTAAAAATTATTATTAATATAAAATAATATAACTTATTTTTGAGTCATGTTACAATTCTGTCAATTCATTTAGCGGAATTCTAAAACTTAAAAATTTATTAAAAATCACAACTTTGTGCTTTTGTTCTTAAAGAACGGGCGAAAAACAGTCTGAAATTAGAGGCAAGCTAAATAATTTGAGCAAAATTTAAAAAAATTGGATCATTTTTCGATAAACTTTCGGAAAGTAATTTTGTGTCAGTCGTTGGAGTAATGCCTTTGGTAAGCATATAATATTTGTATTTTATCGTTACAAAATTGTTAATTTTTATAATCAATGTTTATTAACTTAAACTGATGTAAGAAAAGCGAGTGATACTAATTTTAATACTCAAGTCACTCCTCTGGCATATTACATACATGATGCCAGAGGAGTGACAATTTTTAGAGTTACTATCAATATTTAAGGAGAATACTCGGTACATGATTCTCATTCGAATTATGTAAAAAAAATAGGCACTTAATTTTTGACAAAATTTCCGTATAAAGAAATAAAGTGTGGACACGTTCCAAGTGTTCCAAGTGCTGATACAACACCACGCCGCCGCATGCGTGTGTGTGTGTGTGTGTGTATACCTAATCTGTAGGGTGTTCACACGGTGCGTAATTAATTACATAACTTTTGGTTAACTTTACTTAGAAGTTTATTAATATTTATGTTATATTAATTTTTATTTTGTCATATATGATCGTCAAATATCACGTCATCAAGTATCGATAGTAATTCACCAGTCACCCTGTATATAGACGTAATATTATATTTTCATTAATTTGTGATTTTACCCTTTCATATGATATTAATTTTTTCAGTTGAATAAACTCTTTCTGCGTATGGTTAGAAACTCGTACTTAAGGAGTAAGCTCCAGTTTTCAGTCGGAGCTGACACTTACTTTTTTTTAAACGGTTTTATTCAGCTCACCCTGTTTGTTTTATTCTTTATTTTTCTTGGGTCAAATTTAGTAATTCAAATTTCACCCTCTTCCTGTCAACCGATTTATCTGAAATTTTGTATACACTTTGGATTTTGGTGACAATACAATTATGTTTATTCATTATCATTATAAATTCAAGATGGCCGCCGCTACAAAATGGCGGATAATTTATGTTTTACCAATCCCATCAATATGGGTATCAATTGAAAGTGCTCAACCAGTAGAATACAATGTACTATAAAAAATTGAAATCTAAGATGGCGGCCGCTACAAAATGGCGGATAACAATTTTTTAGAGGATTTGGACTGCAATAAACAAATACAATAAATAAGAAACCTTGCAATAATGAAGCACAAATGAATTAAACAGAATGCGAAATAATTACTAAAAACTAGAAAATAAAAATAGGAAAAAAAACTTTTTAAGTTAAACGGTTTTTCGTGAAACATACATTGCAATGTTTAAGATAAATGTACTAAAAACCAAAAAATAATAAAATAGATACAGTCGTGGAAATTATAAACATGCACAGACTAGACTAAAATAAAAGCGTGAGGCACGTCAATTGTCTACAATCCTTGATTAAAAAGTTTGTTTTGTAATGTTACACTATAATTAAGAAAATAGTAAGTATTTTCCTCACCGTCTGCGGGCCAACTGCCTAACGACGAATTAAACGATTCTTCTATAGCACATTAAGTCGATAATTTGTAGACAATTGACTAATTTTAAAATAAATAAATTTTAATATTTAATAGAAATATAAAAAAAATACAAAACAAAACCCCTAAATACCGAGCGTAGCTCGGTATCCAGATAGGGTTTAAATATCTTTATTCTCAACAAGGCAATACATAGTCACTTTGAGAACATTACTAACTTACATATAACTTCGTCACACCAAGTTTTATTAAATCTGTAGTGGTTAGTACAAAATTAATAAGAGAATAAAATAAAAGATATTTACTATAAACTAAATAAACTAACTATGTCTTATAAACTAAGTCTAAAATTTTGACACTAATGTTCATGATATATCGAGGTGTGACGAAGTGGATCAGGTTCGATTTCCTAATAAGTGGGATGATGTAGAATGTTTATCGCGTAGGTATATCCCATTATATTAAGGGTGATGCTCATCTTTACTCTCTGAATGTCCCAGTGGTGATAGATCCTGGTCTAATTTCAAAGAACTAATATCGTTATGCTCGAAACATATAGACATAGCAATTTTTGACGTGACAACGTCTTATAAATTGGTTTGCCGGGTGACACTTCAAGAAACTGCGGTACGCTCCGCTCACGTTATGCGCTCACAATGAGAGCGAGTGAGAGGCACGCGGCCCTTCCACTCGGGCATGGTTAGCCCGCCTAAGAGCGACACAGACAGACATAAAAAGTGATCGTACGTAATTAATGTTTTAAATATAATTCTTTGTATAAATAAATGTTTTAAATTGATACTACAGTAGGACCCCGATTATCCGGACCTCGGTTATCCGAATTCGCGATTATCCGGACTGCCAATCGCGACGAGTTTATTCTAACACTAGCTGACCCGGCAGACTTCGTACTGCCTCAATCAAGAAATAAATTATTTCTTAATAATTTTTTTGGAGTTTCCCTTTAAGCCATAAATCTCCGTGTTCTAAAGTGCGACAGAATGATTGACATGTAAGTTAGTTGTCAAATCTAATGTCAAAAAACCCGTTTGTATGGGAAATAGAACAGCGCTGTTTTTAGGGTTTTCCCGGAAAATTTTTTTTTTTCAGCTTTTATACCTTCGCTGAACCTCCACGAACATTTCAAAACTAAGATAAGATAAATCCGTTCAGCCATTCTCTAGTTTTAGCGAGACTAAGGAACAGCAATCCATTTTTATATGTATAATAGATTAACATGTCAAAACTTGCGTAACGCCACGCCACTTATACGTACATTATGTACAATTTCTTAATAAACGTTGATTTTCGCTCATATGTATTTGGTGTTTTTTAAATAAACACCTAACATTACATATGTGTGGTACAGATTACATATGTACATATGCGAAAAGCCCGTTTTTCTTCATATATTGGATTATCCGGACTTTCAATTATCCGGATGCCTACCGACAACAATTAGTCCGGATAATCGAGGTCCTACTGTATTATTTCATCCTTCTTCCTACTATACGAATGAATATTCACATTAAAATTATTTTACCACTCAAAGTCGTTGTCACGTAAAACTTTCGCCCGTATACCGACTTTATAGGCTACCAATGTTTATAGACATATTATATTCGCCTCTTCATTCATAAATATGAGTTCACGACAGCATTAAAGTTGATATTTGACCAAAAAGCCGCAATAAGTTACAGGTCAGGTGCAAAAGCTAATTATCCAATGCTCCAGGCTAATTTACCTTTTTTTGAAGTCTTGTGTACTAATAGTGATGAATTTAGGGCCCGGATTAATATGTAAATACATATTTTTAATTTACGCGATTTCCGGTCTAGAATGTGTTTTTTACATGTATTGTCATATTTAGACTGTGAAAAACCAACTTTTATTTTCCATATTTTAGAAAATTTCAAAGTTAAGTCCATATTTTACAAGAAAAAGTCATAATCATCCATATATTCACAAAAATACAAAAAATTTACATTCCTGTAATGTTTTGGATAAAAATAAAGAACTTAATACGCTAAAAAAATTAACAAAATTCTGTGCGAAAGTTTCGAGGGCTGTAGACATGGCTTCAGCAGATGTAATGCTATATGTGGACCAAATGGCCAGTTTTCATTTTGATAATTTAAAGAAGCACGTCATTATGTATTGCAACCAATTTGAAAAGGCTAGTGTAATGGAAGTTGAATAAAACTGTTATTTTTTGTTGAAATAAATATTTCACTCCTTTTTTTCATCGTTTTTTAAATGTAATTCAACGATGTATTATACGTCACGAGTGACCCTTTTCTTATAGTAGAACAATGTTTAATTGTGAAAGTATTAATTTTATATTCCATATTTTTGATTTTTTCGTCCATATTTTATGTAGGTACATATTTTAGATTTTTTAATACATATTTATCCAGGCCCTAGACTGATGATTAATCAACTTATGCGGAGTACGATCGAAAGTTATTATTGCGGTTTAAGATAGTCGGAGGTTTAAGTGATGAAATTACTAGTTGCAATAGTATTAGTGTTTGTATTTGTGCTACATTCATTAATTCGAAATTACAATCATCTGCAAAGCTAGCAGATTCAATCGGTTTATATAAAAACAAATTACATTGTCAAAAAGCAGTCCTCACAGGTAGTTTAGGATTTTTGTAACAAAGTCGATTATAATGAATCGAACTGATTTGCTAAAGAACGATCAAATACGGGTAACGTAAATTTTTGTCTAGAAATCGTACCCAATATTAAAAATCATGACGTAATTACGGCGGTAGTAAGTGGCATCCCAACAGATGTATTAATAGACACTGGTCCATAATCTCGTTAATAAGTTCTGATTTAGCTAAGCATTTTTCATGCAAACTACATCCCTGCATCCAAATGTTAAACAGTTTTGGTGGCGCGGAAATAAAATTACTACCTTAATTACCCTACAAATAGAATTCCGCGATATAACATTTGAGATTTTTATATTGTATCGAGTACTTTTTTGAATACTCCAGTAATTATAGGTAGGTACCGATGTATTAAACAGAGAAGGAGTTTCTTACATTCACACTGTGAACTCACAAAAAATCATTCAACCCACTAAATTACCAATTAATATCGTATCCGATTGTAAAGTAAATTTGGATCTTCACTCTATTAAAACCTCACTGGGATGATATAACTAATTTATTTAACGTCATCAACAAATACATTCAATATATTCAAGTAAATTATACAGGGTGCAACCAGAGGTTCCAGGGAAACTACGAAACATACTTATATATGTTTATTGTAATAAGAATTACATATTAAAACTCATAAGTCATAACCTACACCTAAGACTACATGATTGACCCGATGTTAGGATAGCAATACCATTCCATAGCTTGTGTGTATCAGGAATCTTCTGGTTCACACGCTTGGTGTTCGTTCCGCGGAGTCAGCGGCCTCAAGAGTTATATATTATACATACAACGATGTCGCCCCGGCGATGTTCATTTATTTTCTAATATGTTCTTATACGTAACAAGTGGTTCGGCTAATCAACGGGGAAATGTACATACTATTAAACAGTGACATACCTGTTTAATACCAAGCGTATAAAATGTCATACGATGAAAAATTAAATCCGAAATATTATTAACGATCTATTACACAAAACAATTATACAAAAATCTCATTCCGCTTATGTTAGTCCGATTTTATTAGTAAAAAAAGAAAGACGAATTGAATCTAATGGTTGTTGTCTATAGGGCATTAAAGAATTTGACAATTAAGGAACGGTTTACATTCCCGTAAATTAAAGATCACATAGATCTCCTAAGAAACAGCAAGCTGTTCACTGTTTGCGATATAACAACCGGATTTCATCAGATTAAACTTCATAAGGAATCGATAAAGATAGTCTTTGTAACTCCGAAAGGCAACTAAGTCACCTTAAAATGCCATATGACTTGGCGAAAACGTCAGTGGTTTATCAACGTATAATGACATTGTGATGTTACTATGGAGGATCGTGAGGAATGAAACTGGTTTTATTAATTTAATTCGCTATATTTATTTTTCACTCGCTCAACTAACGCCACACACGTTACACACACACACATACATACGTACATCAGCAAATCTTACACGTACGTGATTAGCGTCAGCAAATCCTACACGTACATAGTTCCCTACACTCTGCTATGTTCGCAGAGGCTCACACAGATGGTTTTGCTTCCATCATGCGCAAACGCTGCGCGTCCTTACTTCGACGAGTACGGGACAGTCCCAACACAATCCTGCATGCATTGTGGGATCGGTGGGATTCACCAATTTTAGCACACTGGATACGACTCCACGTAGTCAAGTAAAATATATGTCTTGTTTTAAGATTAGTTAATCATAAATAAAATTGCTTTTCTTTTGTAAATTTACTAACCAATTTATTTATTAAGTTTAATTTGTACTAACACTATAAGGATCTACAATATGGTCTGAAATAAATTATTATTATTATTGTTATAAAATTCATTAAACATTTTACTATTTGTATTTCAATCTTATTAAGGACAGTGCCATCTATTAGTTCTTCAACGGACTATATTATAAGGTTTTGGTTGTTTTAATGTTTTCATCCGTGCAAACGTGCGTAGTATATTCTGCCAGTGTCGTGCAGAATGGAGGAGACAAAGACTAACTGGCGACAGAAAAATTTTACGTGGTTTATAACAATTAAAATGCTTATTAAAATCAAAACTTTTTCAAGATTTGTCTTAAAAGTTTAATTCTGTTGAAACTAAACAACTAGTGTCATGTATAGGAACAGGTAAATAAAAACAGTATTCGAATCGCAAAAATATATTTTTCACTAACGTCCTATGACATACATTAAGATTCCATAACTTAAGATAACACCACACAAACGCTCCGATACTTTATAATACACATATCAATGTTGAAATAAAACATCCGGTTTGTGTTTTTTTTATAATTAATTTATTAATCAGTATAATTATATGTATATAATGTATAACTTAAAGCACTGCCGGCGCCCTGCACCCCCTACCGGTGACAAAGAAACTTACAGCCACTGTTGGCTGACGATTGGCCAACTATTGGTCGTGTTCGGCCACTATGGAACCGAGCTTGGCCACTATGGAACCGAGTTTGGCCACTATGGAACCGAGCTCGACCAACATTGGCCAACGATCAGCCAACACTATATCGGGACGCCGCGCAAGCACACTTAGAAAAAACCACTTTTATAATATACGGCGAGCTATCATCTACGTATTACAAGTCTATAATTACAACAACCAATTTCCTTCACTCGTGGCCAGCTTTACACTTAAACATTAATAGCAAGAATTCATATTTCAATAATTTTATATATTTATTTTTATTTTATTTTAATATTTTTTTTTTGTATCATTTTTCATTTATACAGTAGGGTCATATATATCGTCGTATCATTTGGCGTTCACACGGAAAATAATAATAAAAAAAACATCATGCCTTGCGTCGACTAACACTAGCCCCGGGCCCGACCTAGGTGACTTACTATCAAACTGACAGTATGTAGTTCATCGTAACTCACTAAGTCACCCGGAACTGCTTGGCTCGCTCATGACCTCAAAACCACACACTTAACAGAGCTATCGTATATTTTTTAGCATTTTCACTTATGTTTTATTACAAAAAAAAAAAATCAAAGAAAACCTATAATTTATGCGGGGAAGCGATTCCTGTGTCAAAAATATGTAATAATAAAATTATTAGGAACTATCCATTAAAGATACGAAGCGACCCAAGCTATGTGCAAGTCCATTACGAATATATCTTAAAATAATAATAATAATATATCTATAGTACGGAACGCGCCCAACGATAGAAACCACATTACATTACTACCGGCGACGCGCTCCGTTAAGAAAAAAAGCTTACTTAAAAACTAGAGAAAAAAAAAAACAAAAAAAATAATAAAAAGTAAGAAACACACCTTAGTATTTTAATTAGTGCAATATACACGCTCCGCGATATAACATGTTACCTAAACATAATATAAAAACTAATTCATACCGACTACTGCGACTCGTCTTATTGAGCATGATCTGACGGCCGAGTAGACAGACATACAGACTACACACACTATAGACTGGACCCAGGACTAGACTGGACCCAAACTAGACTGGACAAAGACTAGACTGGGCCCAAACTAGGCTGGATCCAAACTAGATTGAAGCCAAACTAGACTGAACCCAAACTAGACTGGTCCCAAACTAGACTAGACTCAAACTAGACTGGATCCAAACTGGACTGGTCCCAAACTAGACAAGACTGGACCCAGAGGACAGACTATTAAAGGCTCACCGACTAGACCAGCCTGAATCTACATATTGAACTCTTATTCTGAATTAATCTACACCCGTCTGTATCCCCACTACTCGGCCCCATGTTACGTCACATCCGTCACAATAACCAACAGAACAGAACCAGGAGACAAACATAGTGTGTAAATAATATTTGTGTGTTGTTTTGGCAGTATCGTGAACATTATATATTAACCAACAACGAAAACTGTCAGCTGGCTGACTTCACTATACTTACCACCGGTTCGGTACTACATACAGACAGTTCAGAGTATTCGCGAGAACTACGTTCAGACTATCCGTGTGTAGTCAGCGAGCTGGAGGTAAGTCTTTTTTATATATTTTTTTTTTATACATTAAAATTTTAAGCTACTACAACGATAGTTAAATCACTCGAATTTACATAAATATATAAAAGAATGTGTCGTGTTGTATGTGTGTCGCTGTGTTACAGCGAATGCCTCACGTACAACTTGCTACTACTGCGGCTAGGGCATAGCGCTCTTTATTGTCGATGCGTTCAAGCTGGAACAAACAAACAGACATACATTAATATCGGAATAGTCTAAATTTATCTATTATACAGGGTGACTGGTGAATTACTATCAATATTTAAGGAGAATACTCGGTACATGATTCTCATTCGAATTATGTAAAAAAAATAGGTACTTAATTTTTGACCAAATTTAGTAATTCACCAGTCACCCTGTATAAGCTATCTGCTTGTAAAAGATACGTTAAAATCGATCTAACTTTTTTCTTATAGATTTGGCTCAAGAGATTAAAAAAAAATTATCTTATATTTACAACTCCGTGTCGCGGTGTTAGACAGAGAACTCCTCCGAAACGGCTGGACCGATTCTCATGAAATTTTGTGAGCATATTGAGTAGATCTGAGAATCGGACATCTATTTTTCATACCTCTTATATACATTTACTAATTATTGCCCACTACTTCGACTGCGTTATTTTAAGAATTATGAATGTATAAATAACTGGGCAAACTCTGTTTCTTCTTAAAGACAGTACATAACAAGATATTGGATTTGATCAACACATTCTTTTTTCCTATGTCCTTTCTATATTCCAATCTATCTCTCCACCAATCTTCATCCAAACCCGTACAGCCGTTAGAGTTATAAATAGTATAACTAACACGACTTCCCTATATCCTACTAATATTATAATTGCGAAAGTCTGTGAGTGTGTGTGTATGTTTGTTACTTATTCACGCTTAAACGGCTGGAGCGATTTTGATAAAATTTTGTATACAGGAAGCTTACGTCCAGGAGTAACACATAGGTTACTTTACATCCCGGGTAACACCGCGGGGCGCAGCTAGTATGTATTATTGTAACTCACCTCGGGCTCACAGTCATGTCGCCCTCAATCGCTCGTCTCTATATATAAAGTAGTGTTAATATTTTCTTCTTGTATTATATATATATATAAAATGCACTGATCGTCCCTCTATATACACTTATTGCTTCGACTCTTCCACTTTCGGCTTAGTCTTCGCTGGAAAAAAACATTAATTATTAATTAATTAATTATCACATAGAATTAAGTATCCCTACTAATATCATAAATGCGAAACTAACTCAGTCTGTCTGTCTATAAACCACTGAAATGATTTTAATGAAATTTGGTACAGACAGAGTTGACCTTGAGAAAGAACATAGGATAGTTTTTATCTCAGACTTTTGAAAGGTTCTCTTGGAAACACGATATAACCGAGCTCCACGCGGGCGAAGCTGCGAAGGAAAGCTAGTATATACATATATATCTAGCTAAGTTACAAGTCATACTATTTTAATTTCATATACTTATATAACTTCTGAACTTTTGTTATTCCTTTATCAAACACTCAATTAAATTTATATAAAATACAGTCATTCTAACAAGTGAACTATCGCGTCCTAGTCAATATTAAGTATATAATATACTAACGCCTCCTCTCAGCGGCGACTGTACCCTGGGCGCCGCAGGAACCGGCACGACCGCGATTGGTTGAGGCCGCGGGACGACTGATTGCACAAACAAATAATATATATGAAACAATATAAATAATAATGTACATTGTCTATTAGTCCGTTCAAATTAGACATTCGAGGTTATATAAATTCCCACCAAGCTGAAAATCGGTAAGATTGTTTGAAATATCATTAAAAACAAAATTTGAAAGTTCTCCATCTTTCCCCTGTATGGAAAAAAAATTATTCAAGGTCAAAGGTTAACAAAATGAGATTTTCGCGATTTTCAGCAAAACGGTAAGTTTTATGATAAAAATATCTCAGACAAAAATTGTAGATCATAAAATGATCTACAAAGACTTAATTAATACTTTTTGTTCTACGAGCCACCGTTTTTGAGATATAACGTTTCAAAAAGTTGTAATCGTCATAATATGCATGAGTACGCCACGTATATGTATACTCGTACATCTCTATAGTTGTAATATATGTTAAAATACTTTTACACTTTACTTCCAACTGCGCCTAAAAACTGAACTCAGTTCAGTTGTGCATATTATGCCGATTACAACTTATACAACTTTTGTATGTGTGTATTAGTATCATAGTTTTGTTATCAAATGCATGTATTATATTGTGTGTCACGACTCTACTGTGTATGTGTGTATCTGTATGTCTCTCTGTATATATCACCTGAACGCGTTCCTGCACGCCTTGCTCCTCTCGCTCTCGGACACCGAGCGGTGTCTCTCGTACACTCTCGCGTGAGGCCTGCCCGCGCCAGGCGCGCCCGCCGCTAGCAGCTCGTTTAATTGAGGCTGAAACACACATACATACATATATAGTAATTCCATATAAGTTTATACATTCAAACAGTTCACCGAGGACCCGTATTAAGTCCTGTCACCATTGTGTATAAGGAATAATTTTAGTTATTACATCAAATGTATGTTATAATAATATTGTATCAAATGCTATACATGTTTAGTAGCCCAGCTCTTGTCATTAACTTATATAACTTCTATCTATCTTCTATGATAAAAACACTATTTAATTGTTTGTTGAATAAATTATATGACATATTCATCTATATCTGTCTATTCCCTACCAACAACTATATCTCTAGTCACCTATGATAATGGCTTGAACAATCACACTATATAATTATTTGTTAGACTAATTATATGACATATTCCTTCATATCTGGCTATCTATCTATCTATGTATCTATCTATCTATCTATCTATCTCCCCCTACCTCCAGTACTCTGAAGTCTTCCACAGTATTAAAGTTAGCAAGGTGTGCTTTAAGTGTAGGCTCTACATTCAAGGCTGCAGCATGCTTGTAGTATTTCAGGAACGCCCAGAACTTCTCCAGGCCGTACAGCTGACCTGGAAATGAGAAATATATATTATAGAATAGAAAAATAAGAATTTTTCCATATATATACATATATTAGCTGCGCCCCGAGGTGTTACCCGCGGATTTCGAGGATGTAAAGTAGCCTTATTATTCCTGGACGTCAGCTTCCTGTATAAATTTTTTTAACAAAATCGTTTCAACCGTTTGAGCGTGAAGAATTAACAAACATACACACACACTCACTAACTTTCGCAATTATAATATTAGTATTAGTAAATATATACTTTACATAAACTCAGTTATTTACATATATCTTAAATATATATTTTTCTCTTTATTACAATTAATATAACTAAATTTGAGTATTACACAGTATAATCTGAACTTTCAGTTAAATTTAACCAAATATTTATATATTTCAATGTTCTTATATTAATTCTGACAATACTACCAGTATTTACTGCCAGTTAATATGTTTAACTTCATACAGACAGTTAATAGTTTTCCATACATAAATCTTCTCACATAGTATTAGTGTCGTAGATAGCGATCCGCGTAACTACATTGAATAATTCCGAGTAGCTGCTTTTAAATTAGTTTTACAGAGGAAGTTAAAAACTAAATTTTTTAAATTTAATGAGGTTTAAGGAAATTTTTTTCACAGTGAATAATTATGAAGTCTTTAATTTATTACTCATTGTGAAAAACATTACCTTAAAGTCGTTAATATAGACAATATTTCATCTCAAACTTTCTTCTGATAATCTGCTTCTAATGTAGATACGTGGAATTATACAATGATAGTTACGTGGATTTGCACTATCCCCGATATACAGGGTGACTGGTGAATTTCTATCAATATTTAAGGAGAATACTCGGTACATGATTCTCATCGAATTATGTAAAAAAAATAGGTACTTAATTTTTGACAAAATTTCCGTATAAATAAATAAAGTGTGTACACGTTCCAAGTGTTCCAAGTGTTGAGGCGTGCGGCGGCGTGCTGATACAACACAACGCCGCCGCACTCGTATGTGTGAGTGTGGGTGTATACCTAATCTGTAGGGTGTTTACACGATGCGTAATTAATTACATAACTTTTGGTTAACTTTACTTAGAAGTTTATTAATATTTATGTTATATTAATTTTTATTTTGTCATATATGATCGTCACAAATCACGTCCTCAAATATCGATAGTAATTCACCAGTCACCCTGTATATAGTGTATATAGCAAGTACAGTCATCCAAATAAGTTGCATCACCTTTCTCATAGTCAGCCAAAGTCTCCGCTTGGAAGTGTTGGTAAAGCTCGGGTCTAAACTTGCGCTCCAGACCGTACGAGTAGAATCTGAACAGACATTCAAGACCGTAGCGGAAACCTGCCGCGGCGTCCTCGTTTGCTAAATTCCTGGAAATAAAACATATACATATATATTATTAATAGTTTTTGCCCGCGACTTCGTCTGCGTTAATTTCGGAATTTAGTAATACATGTATCTATCTGACTGGGCGAACTATATTCCTTAGAGGCCATAGATAAGAAGATTCTGGAGTTTATTAAGTTTTTTTTAATCGAACAGTATTAAATATATCCTATGTCCTTTCTATGTTCTAATCTATCTCTCCACCAATCTTCATCCAAACCCGTACAGTCGTTAGAGTTATAAATAGAGTAACTAACACGACTTACTTTTATATAAAGATAAAATCTACTTTGATGAACACTTTGTATAATTATTGTATAGAATGTTAACATACAACTAAGCAATTTTGAAAGTAGCATATATGTACATATACATGTATGTATAATTAGATATCCTGTTTTTTATTATTATTATTTTAACATCAAATACATAAAGTATTTCATTTATTTAGACGATTATCAGAATAATAATAATTTACTATTAATTTAACTGCTTAATATAATTCCATTATCAAAATTTTGATAAAATGTTGTTGCCACAAAATTATTCCACATGCTATAATAAAAATATTGCTATTATAACCATTAGATATAAAATCATTTTGTAAAGACATAGATTTTATTCTAACATATTATTTTCATATATCTTATATGTTAGGTGTGTGTGTATGTATGTATTGTTACCTAAACTCGTTGTACATAGTCCTGTTGAAGTGATCTCTGAGGAAGAAGGACCAGAATCTGAACAGAGTATTCATCTCCTGCGATTGGCCTATACCCAGCTTCTTGCGTTCTGAAACATATATATACATATATAATATAATTATAGGACAATATAAACATATGATAGTATATATTAGGCAAAAGATAACATATTAAGAAATTACAGAAAAGTATCTTTAATCTTTATATTTATATATATAAAAATTTCGTGTCACGTGTTTGTCCGCGATGGACTCCTAAACTACTAAACCGATTTTAAGTCTGATTTACATTCTGTATGCATTTTGATCCAACTTGAAATATAGGATAGCTTACATCTCAATTTATGGTCATGATATTATTTTACTGAAAATTATTTGTCTATTAAAGAAAATTATTTGTCATTATTACAATTATCTGTTGACTGAGTTAAGTATTCAATATATGGCGCTATGTTAAAAATACAAACGTCATATTTAATAATAGCATAACCACCGCGTGTTTCTGAGGCTAAGGTATAAGCTAAATTTATTTATCAAAAAAACTTAACAGATATTTCTTGATTATAGGGCGATACGAAGTTCGCCGGGTCTTCTAGTATATATATAAAATATTCTTTAACAAAAACTAAGTCTATATTGCCAAGACCTATAGTGATATATATATTCTCACATGGATTAAATTATATATATACACATGTGTGTGTCTGTCTGTGTGTGTGTGTACCTTTGAGACATCTCGAGTGATACTTGTGGTATGCCTGCTGCGTGAAGTGGTTCTCTCTCAGCAGCCCGTGGCTAGGGTGGTGGAAGGCAGGCAGAGATTGAGGAACGGAGCCGCATGAAGAGCCTAGCGTTGGAGACGTACCCAGGGATGAACTGGAACATATAACATACATATATATAGATATATAAGGTTTTTACAAGTATTTATTTGAATAAAACTAATATTTTAGGATGTAGTATGCGTTTATAACTATTTTTAATTACATACTTCTCATATTTCGATTACTTTATTGTAACCATGATCATTAAGACGAGATGTACCAGTTAAATCTATATCAGTATTAAGAATGTATTAGAGAAAAAATCCACTAAAAATACTAATGATTATTATTGGTCCTTCTATATATAGAATCTATTATAACCATTCATAGACATTTTTCATTAAGGTATACTACACTATCATAAAATCTAAGACAGATCTTTATATCATTTACTGTATGTGTGTCATCATTCTATCAGATCCCACAGCTGAGCCTCTTCTCACATGGAGAAGATTAGAGCATTAATCACCACGCTCGCTCAAGACGGGTTGGTGATTTCAAACTTATAATTTGATATAAGTCCATGTTTCCTCACGATGTTTTCCTTCATCAGTCAGTGATATCTAAATACTCTTATAAAGTACATATGTCTCGGAACAATCATTGGTACTTGCCAGGTTTCGAATCAACCCTCATGCATGAGAGGCGGGCTTTTTAACCACTAGGACACCACTGACTATATATATGTCTGTGTGTGTGTGTTTGTGTATGTCTGTGCACTCACCCTGTACTATCTCTGTGGTGTCTCCTGTGCTCGCGCACATCCATAATCCACCCTACGTGATGCTCGACAGGCGGGTTCAGACTATGGCGAGTCTTGTGCTTCCTACTGCTTCTGTTAACATATATATTGTATAAATATTATATATAAGGTGAATTATTAAAAAAATAGCTTTGTTTCTTTCGTTTTGAAGGTTTGTAAACTGATTTAAAGTTAAAAATTAATGGTTTAGAACATGATGATTTATTCCCAAAGAGGGTTGATGTCAGACAGGCGGCCGGTCGTAAAAACAATTAGCCAAAACCATTCACAACATGTAAGGCACACCCTGGCTGAAGCTGGGAAATTGCCAGGAAGAAGAAGAAGGTTTAGCCCATGATGTAGTTTAATTTAAGAATATACTGAAGTAAACATTTATCTATATATAGTGATTGGTTAAAATATAAGGCATCCTACACATCTTAGACACTGTAAATTTTGTTATATATATATTATATATTACATAACGTCCGTAGCGTGTGGATCCTTGCTGGCCGCGTAGAAACGCGCCGTTCGTCTGCGAGCTGCCTTACCACCGCCTTCTGGCTTTTGCTCATTCGGCTGTGGATAGATTAAGGAGTATCATATAATGAAAAGACGTAGTATATAATGTATATTTATTTTAAATATATACTTTAAATAGTATTCAGAGAGAAATTAATTACATATTCTTAATAAAAAAAGATTTAGTCATCAATCAACAGCAATTTATAGTCTGTCACACGAATTTTCATACCATACACATTAAAAGAAATTATAGTATATGTTCTCCTATATCAAAAGCTGCAAGACTTAAGTTTGATTAAAATCCGTTCAGCATATTTATCCATACATCCTCACATATTTCCACATATTTCCACATTCATAATATTAGGCGGATACCATCGATACCTCCCACGAAAGTGTGCTATAAAAATGCTATTTTGCTTTTGTTCTGAAAAATATCCTTTTATGGATCATTGTATCCATTCAAAGTAAAAAAACAACAAAAACACTATTTTTAAATGATTTGTCACACTCATGCCTAATATTGTAATTTTCAAATTTTGCAGATTTTAGTTTAATTTGAATCTTTGAAAAACTTTACTCTAAATTTACAATTTTGGAGATATAATAACTTACGTGGGAGGTATCGACATGTTTTGTGTCAATTTGTGTCTGATATGTATATCTTAACATCTATCTTCGCATTTCTAACATATGTATATTCGTCTGTATGTGTATATCTCCTGTCCAGTCTCACCGGAGTCGCATATATCCTCACTAATTTTCATATCCCTGCTAATATTATGAATGCGAAAGTAACTCTGTCTGTCTCTTACGCTTTCAGGACTAAACCACTGAACTGATTTTCATGAAATTTGGTACAGACCTAGAGTAGAGTTGACCTTGATAAAGAACATAGGATAGTTTTTATCACAGACTTTTGAAAGGTTCTCTTGGAAACGCGATGTAACCGAACTCCACGCGGGCGAAGCTGCGGGCGGAAAGCTAGTTGGGATATATATGTATGTATATATGTATGTATGTATGTTTCTCACCACAGTCGGCCTGGGCGGGGGCGGAGGCGGCGTCTCTGGGTTCCTATGCTGGTGGGCGGGCGCCGCAGCCTCAAACTGCTCCCTACTGATGACTGACACTGTGCGATACTGAGGCGTGCTGTGTGACTGATAGATAAAACATATATATTAAAATAATGTATAGAATACCAACCAATATATATATGTACATATATTAACCCAAGAAATTATGGTAGATAAGGCAACCCGACATAATTATATCAAGAATGAGAAATATCGATACCTCCCACGTAAGTTGTTGTATGCCACAAAAATGCGATATTGCTTTTTTTCTATTATGGATTGTTATATCCATTCAAAGTAAAACAACAAAAAGACCTATTAAAGGATTTGTCAGGACGCATTATGTTGTAATTTTCGAACACATAATTATTTAATATATATCTATATATATATAAAATGCATATATTTTCCCAGTATGAGAGAAAATGGTCATTATTGTTAGTTATTTTATTACAATATTTCCATCTTGTATTGAGATTTAATACCTCAATAACTTGCATATTTACATATACATACTCATCTACATTTACAATTATATATATTAGCATTAATTTATAAGAAACAGATGTATAAATATATATTTTCTATCCAATATTTATTATGGATATTATATATATATTACCGATGAGAATTCGTTCCATAGATCCTCTTCATAGCGTCGGAGTCCGTCTGTTATCACCTGTGAACATATATATAAAGAAAATTAACATATAGAATTATAAAAAATTTATTAATATGAGAACTTAATACATTGAGTCAGTCGAGACATGATAGTTCAGTAGGGAAAGTAACGGGAACAACATATCGTCGAGGATAGTGCTAGTTCGCTTAACTAGCATTGGATAAATCCGTGTATCTACATTGGAAGCAGATTAACAGAAGTTTGACATGAATTATTTTCTAAGCTGAAATCCCTACTAATATTATAAATACGAAAGTAACTCTGTCTGTCTGTTACGCTTTCACGCCTAAACCACTGAACTGATTTTAATGAAATTTGGTACAGAGATAGAGTTGACCTTCAGAAAGAACATAGGATAGTTTTTAACCCAGACTTTTGAAAGGTTCTCTTGGAAACGCAATATAACCGAACTCCACGCGGGCGAAGCTGCTGGCGGAAAGTTAGTATTTTCTATATTAACGATTTTTAAGGTATTTTTTTCACAATCAGGAATTATCGAATGGTAATTATTAGGATTTGCACTCTCACTGACGATATACAGGCTATGGGTTCTATTCTGAATGTAATCTGATTTGGATATATGAAACTACATATTCATATTCATACAATTATTGTACTAGTAGCGCCATCTGTTGGCATAAACCAAAAACAATTTGATGAGTTAAAGTCTACAACTCCTACGAATTGACTGTGCACCTCGCTCTGTGATGTCATAAGAACGATACCGCTTGCAAAAAAAATGAGAATTATGTAAAAAATATATAAATTATAATTTATTTTTATGTTGATAAAGGGTCATTTTTGTGATAAAGCGTCATAATACTAGGTCATTTTACTCACGAAGTTTTCCAATTAAATAGATACATATGGACCGATATGATATTACAGCTTAGCAATAAAAAAACGGCAAGTGGACGCTAGATTTTTTATTGCGGTGACATTTTTCATAATTTAAGATCATTTTTGTATTTAATAATAAATGAACGTAACAAAGATGCTATCGCTACTGAGCGCTCACGGCGAATGCGGGACGCGGGAGAGGGGTCGCATTCCAGAGAAGTGCACAGTTAATTCGTACGAGTTGTACATACATAAACACACAGGTGTGTGTGTATGTATTTCTAGCTCTCTCTGTGTGTGTCTGTGTCCATGTGTCCACGCCTCACCTGCTCCAGGTCCTGCGTGATCTTGGTCCGTGTGGCCCAGTCTCCCTGCCGGTCGTGTCCGTCGTGTTTATGCGCGCGGGCGGCCGTCTGCGTCACTATCAACAGCCGGCCGATGTCTCGGTCGGATAACTCGAGATCTGACTCCTCATCAGACCTGGAATATACATAAAACTCTATCAAAACCGATCCAGCCATGGTTATTAACTTTATTAAGTGTTCGATATGACTAATTATGAACTAGATATACTTACTTATATACAAACATATTATTATTTAATTTAAACATATTATTTATTGATTGTAGATGTATCTAGTGTCAAAAATATTTAAAAAAAATCTTTCTTTAATCTTTAGTTTATTATCTTACAAATATGTGAAACATGCTTATGTTTGTCATTGCTAGCTGTATTTATTACGATCTATGTGCATTAACTCAAAATATTGATGTTTTTTCCGATTCCTTGTCGAAGTTTAAGCGTAAAATTTGTGATGTTTTGTCAAGTCCTATTAGTAAAATTTAGCTGTAGTAGTTTATCTTGATTGTTTTGTGATATTCTTTCTTCTTTTGTTATCTGTATTTTTTTTCGTAATATTTTTGTAATTGAAAATTCTTTGTTATCTTTATTTTTGTAAGCATCTATACAGTGATCTTCAGCAGTGTGTATGTCTATAACTGGTACACACATCTGTTAAGTGTCAGTTTTAAATGTTTAGTTTTAAGTGTTTAATATATGTACTGTTGATATTGTGTTAGAGGTGGTAGAGCCTATCTGTGGTCAAGTTACTACAGCTCGAACATGTTCTGTCTCGACCGTAAGTTACACCCTCTCACTGAAGATCGGCGTCAAGTAGTCTTTAATGGATGCGTTTCGTCCGATGAGTGAGAGAGACGGTTGCCCTATCCCTTTTCCCTCCCTTTCCCACCTTTTCCCCAATGAAGGGCAGCAACACATCCGCATATCTACGTTGCGGATGTCAATGGGTGACGGTAACTACCTACCATCAAGTAGGCCGTCTGCTCGGTTGCCCCTTTTTCCCATAATAAAAAAAATAAATAAATAGTATTCTTACCAGCCGTCTGTGAATGTGTTGTTTCTAGGTGGAGGTAGTTCCAGCTCCTCATCTAGCTGGAAATGAAGCTCCTCCTTGGGTTCTTCGTCTGCAGCCTCGGGCCGTGGCGCGCGCTCACGGGAACCCGCCTTGGTGCGACGCTTCACCTGCATACAGACATACATACATCTTTATATATATAATTCTTCTGTGAGTGTGTATGTCACTGAACTTCTCTCAAACGACTTAACCGATTTTGATTTTTTTGTGTGTGTTCAATTGGATCTGGGAATGGTTTAGATTCACAATTTTGTCCGCCGGACAATGCTTTTTAATTAATTTTTAATTTATTAATAGTTGTTGATACAAACGTTTTTTTTTGACATTAGATTTGACAACTAACTAATATGTCAATCATTCTGTCGCACTTTAAAACACGGAGATTTATGACTTTAATAGGTGAACTCCAAAAATATAAATAAAAAAACGTAACAGATATTTCTTGATTATAGGGCGATACGAAGTTCGCCGGGTCTTCTAGTATACATATATAATAAAAGGTAGTTTAATAATTTATCAGGTGTCTTGTTGGTATATAAAGAGGCAAGGGTACAGAATAATAAGTCTCGCTCGAGACGTTGTAGGTATAGGACCTCTCGTAGTATGGTATTCGTAAAATCGTGTATGATGTTACCTTCAATAGATAATCAAAAATTGGTGACGTCATTCTTTTTAAAGACACAAAATGGTTCTTTCTCATATATATATATATATATATATATATATATATATATATATATATATATATATATATATATATATATATATATATATATATATATATATATATATATATATATATGTATGTGTGTGTGTGTAGTGACAGTGATGCACCCGTGGCGGTCACAGGAGCGCCCCGGAACGCCTCCCCGTCTCTGTCATGTAGCACATGATCGCAGTGACACACAGGGCTAGGGCAGCATTGTGTGTGGACATGTGTGCACGTATATACAGGGTGACTGGTGAATTACTATCGATATTTGAGGACGTGATATTTGACGATCATATATGACAAAATAAAAATTAATATAACATAAATATTAATAAACTTCTAAGTAAAGTTAACCAAAAGTTATGTAATTAATTACGCATCGTGTGCACACCCTACAGATTAGGTATACACTCACACTCACACATACGCGTGTCGTGACGTAGTGTTGTATCAGCACGCCGCCGCACGCGTCCACACTTGAACACTTGGAACGTGTCAACACTTTATTTATTTATACGGAAATTTTGTCAAAAATTAAGTGCCTATTTTTTTTACATAATTCGAATGAGAATCATGTACCGAGTATTCTCCTTAAATATTGATAGTAATTCACCAGTCACCCTGTATATATATATGTACTCTCTGTATAGTATATATAGTGTATACTGACCTCCGTCCATACATCTGAATCTCCCCTATCCGATGATGCACTGGAACCATTATCCTGCTTCTCCGTTGAATCCATCGGTTCCTCTGAAAATATATGATAAAGTAAATGGATATTATATACTTCGGCTATAAATGGTCGTTAAAAATAAACAAAATGATTTTGATTTTGAAGAACTTTTTCATAGAATGATTTATCGCTGGTAAATAAATTATGTACCCCATAGTTTAAAGATTTCTCAATGAAGAGTGTTGAACTATCACACTGCACTGTCACAGATGTTACTAACACAATGTACTAATTTTATTCACACAGTTCTCATTATACAGTTTTTCACAATAAGTAATTATTTAGTATTTAATTTATTACAAATTGTGAAGAAAATAACTTAAAAATCGTTATATAGAGTACAGACAATATTTCAGCTTAAACTTTCTTTTGATAATCTGCTTCCAATGTAGATGCTAGTTACGCGGATTTGCATTATCCCCGACTATATATCCTACTAATATTATAAATGCGAAAGTAACTGTCTGTCTGTTACGCTTTCACGCCTAAACCACTGAACTGATTTTAATGAAATTTGGTACAGAGATAGAGTTAACCTTGAGAAAGAACATAGGATAGTTTTTATTCCAGACTTTTGGAAGGTTCTCTTGGAAACGCGATATAACCGAACTCCACGCGGGCGAAGCTGCGGGCGGAAAGCTAGTATATAATATATTTAATTCTTTCTTTACTATGTACCTAGTTTCTATATGTTTCTAGTTATATATCAGTTTCTAGTCATACCGTATCTCCTGGCTTGAGGGACGAACTCAGGAACATCAGGGTTGAGGTGATCTACGGGCAGAGGAGCGGCGCCCGGGCGAGTGCGGAACATTCTGTATATACAACACACACATACATACATACAGATATAATATATATGTAATGAATAAAATGTGCTATTATCCCTACTAATATTATAAATGCGAAAGTAACTCTGTCTGTCTGTCTGTCTGTCTGTCTGCTACGCTTTCACGCCTAAACCACTGAACTGATTTTAATGAAATTCGGTACAGAGATAGAGTTGACCTTGAGAAAGAACATAGGATAGTTTTTATCCCAGACTTTTGAAAGGTTCTCTTGGAAACGCGATATAACCGAACTCCACGCGGCGAAGCTGCGGGCGGAAAGCTAGTTATATATAAATCCATTTTATACACCATAGAGATGTTTCCAATATATAAAAGACAATTATTAAAATATTGTGCTATATTGAAATGTTAAATTGTATTTTCTGTCATAATGTTATTAGTTATGTCAATGTTAGTGATTATTATGTAATGTTCTATTAAATTTATTATTATTGTTTTTTTAATTTAAATCTTGATATACCTACTACAATTATATTATATTTTGCATCATGTGATAGACTATAATTAAAAGGATATTAAGGTTATTGTTAATAGTTTGATAATGAAACGAATGTAATCTAATCTTTTGTTGATTATCCAAATAAAATTAAAACCAGACATTGATAGGAGCTTTAAACTTTATTTAGTGTATATTAGTGTGTCTATGTTTCTATAACCAGATTGGTAGAACCATGAATTATTTATCTAACCTGGGCAATGGTGGAGGAGGGACAGCTCTCAGTAGACTGGACACTGGCGCTACTAACGGCCCGCCCATAGTCGCTAGCGGGAAAATACCGACCATTTGTTTTTTACGTCTGAAACAAACAATAATATTAATTATATATCATCATCATCCTATCAGAGCCCACTGCTGAGTCTATTCTCACATGGAGAAGGTTAGAGCATTAATCACCACGCTCGCTCAAGACGGGTTGGTGATTTCAAACTTATAATTTTATTATAAGTCCAGGTTGCTTCACGAAGTTTTGCTCACGAAGTCTAAATACTCTTATAAATTACATATGACTCGGAACATCACGTTAGTACTTGCCAGGATCGAACCCACGCCCTTGTGCATGAGAGGCGGACCTTTAACCACTAGGCCACCACTGACTTATATATCATATATATATATATTTGTGTATGAGTGGTTCGCACCACATATAATCAGTGGTCTATATATCAACACTCCCTGTTCGTGTGACGTCAGTGTTATATATTAACAGATGTGTGTGTGTGTTTACATCTATCATGAGTGTTATATACATATTATTACATTACACGATGACTTTAAATAGAGATAGATAACTTATTGATTTAATATTGTTCTTAGTTTAGAAATTGTATCGAATATTATATAAAAAAAGTAAATTATGATTTTGTTTCAAAATATATGTATATACATATATGTACAATTTATTGTTAAAGTTTATCAGAACCTGTGACTGCCGAGATCACATCTCAGCCGCTCTAACTATTGAGCTATCGCGTCAAAGGCGGTATGAAAATTTTCACTATAATGAGTACTAAAACTAATGAGTATTCATATAAATAAAACTAATATTTTCGTATACCACCCGTTATTTTATTATTTTAAACTACATACTCCCGATGTTTCTGTTACTTTACAGCACCCGTGATCACGGACAGACGAGATTTCAAAATGATTCAAAACACGTAGTAAATACGTATACAGGGTGACTGGTGAATTACTATCAATATTTAAGGAGAATACTCGGTACATGATTCTCATTCGAATTATGTAAAAAAAATAGGTACTTAATTTTTGACCAAATTTCCGTATAAATAAATAAAGCGTGGACACGTTCCAAGTGTTCCTAGTGTGGACGCGTACGGCGGCGTGCTGATTCAACACGACGCGGCCGCGCGCGAGTGTGTGTGTGTGTGTATACCTAATCCGTAGGGTGTTCACACGATGCGTAATTAATTACATAACTTTTGGTTAACTTTACTTAGAAGTTTATTAATATTTATGTTATATTAATTTTTATTTTGTCATATATGATCGTCAAATATCACGTCCTCAAATATTGATAGTAATTCACCAGTCACCCTGTATATTAATTTAATTTAATTTCCAGTATATTAACTAACCTCTTCTCCCCGGGTTTCTCTACGTCAGGTTGTAGCGGCGGGTCGTTATTGATATCCTTGTCCTGGTTGTCTTCCGTTTCCGTTTTCCCTTCAACTTCTTGTTTATCTTGATTCTGTTTTTCTAATTGCGGCTCGGGTTTCGTCTGAAAATTATTATTAAATATATAATATATGAATATATAGTGATCTATTTACTCATCAGCCTATCAGAGCCCACTGCTGAGCCTCTTCTCACATGGAGAAAGTTTGAGCATTAACCACCACGCTCGCTCAAGACGGGTTGGTGATTTCAAACTTACAATTTGAAACTATAAGTCCATGTTTCCTCACGATGTTTTCTTTCATCAGTCAGTGTTGTCTAAATACTCTTATAAAGTACATATGACTTGGAAACAATCACATTGGTACTTGCCAGGTTTGAACCCGCGCCCTCGGCAACGAGAGGCGGACCCTGTAACCACTAAGACACCACTAACTAATTATTTTGTTTATATTATTTATATGTATGTATATATTACCTCATTCTCTTTAGTCGTTTCTTCATCTTTTAACTTCGCATCACCTTCATCCACGACTGTTTTAACCTTCTCAGTATCAACATGTTCGGTTTGATCGTTTTGATCAACTTTTTGCTCAACCCGTTCATCTTTTTGCTCAACCCGATCAACTTTTTGCTCATCCCGATCAATTTTTTGCTCAACCCGATCATCTTTTTGCTCATTCCGGTCAGCTCCCTGTTCTCCCTGCCCCGTCTTCTCTCCGTCTTCGTTATGGTCGTGTATTCTCTCCTCGTCTGTATGTTCGTCTCTCTCGTTTTTCTCCTGCCTCTCTCCGTCATCCGAGTTTGAGGGTAGATCTAGAATAGGCCATTTCGTTGGCTCGAACGCCGTTCTGACCTGTTATAACATTTTAATTAATAATAACTACAAACAGATAAATCGAATACATAAATGATTTTTTTAATAATAATGCACTATTCTCAAAACAAAATTATATTGATCAAAACTTAGACATTTCAAAACTTAAGTGAACACTCATGTCAAACACCGCGTCTTTAAATGTTATTAAAGTTTATCTCGTCTCCGTGGCGCGGGTATATCTTTATGCATGTATGTATGTATGTGTTGTATGTATGTATGTACCTTGAACCCTCCAATAAGCTGCAGCCTGTCCGAGTCCCGTATAGCGTCAAGCACGAGCTGCACGTCTGCCGTCAGCGCCCTCACGCGGTGGAAAGACGCGATGAGTGTCACAGGTATAGTCCCATCCGGAGACATCTTACGACGTAGGAAGAAATCCCGCGCCAGGTTGTCCGGACTGAAGTAGTACTCGCTGTGACATACATATATATATTATTAAAATTACTCTAATTAGTTTGAGTATTTTATTATTTTAAATCTATATACTCGTGACGTATCCGTTTGGGAAAGTCTTAGATCTATTAAGGACTTAATTTTATAAAACCATCGGTACCGAGGAGTTTGTAATTAAGTTATCGTTTAATTTGTAAGTTAAAACTACTTTAGATGATGAAGATGACATGTTACAGCTTATTCGAATTTAGTTTCTAATGATGTAATGAAACAATTTATTATTAATAACACGTGGACTTTAACAATTTGGAGAGATTCTTCGTATTTTTTATTATTAACACTTACAAAAATTATAACTAAAAAAAAACTTCAAAAAGAAATTAAATTGCAATCAATACATATTATTTGTATTTTGTTTTGTATACGTATACAGACATACATCTGTTATGAAGTGTGAACGATACATTATACACTATATTATTATAATGTATGACATATATTATTGTGTACATACAGTACTTTCCATATTAAAGCGTAACAAACATCCAAACATATACATACATCTGTTTCTTGATGAGATCCTTTAGCGTAGCCTGGTCTAATCCAACATAGGGGGCGCTGCCGTAGTAAAAGGCTTGAGCGATGGGCGGAGCGAGGGGCAGGCCTCCGAGACCGTAGCGGAGCACCACCTGCGGCAGGCCCGGCTGAGCGACGCGGAGCTGGGAGGGACATGACATGTGCTAGGGCTCCGGTGACATGGTAACATATACCACACTGCCTTCGCACTCATGAGGAAGCATTAACCACAGCCCGTAATGAGGATTAGTATTTATTTATAATGACATAAGGTTCATTTTATAATTAGTAGTATAGCCCAAACATACAAACTGTTTTAGATATATATGTATATATGATAAGGTTCATTTTATAATTAGTATTACATCCCAGACATACAAACTGCTTTAGATATGTATATGAAACAAAATCCACACCAGTTGAACGATATGATAAATTAAATAAAAAAAAACATTAAATAAATAATGTATAGTATAAATAATCGTGATAACTGATATGATGGGGGGTTGGGGAGGTTTTGGTAAGAAATATCTTATATGGTGATGTAAATAAATTATTTATATATAACTCCTTCTTCTCTGGAGCCTTGTGTAATGATTTTAATATAATAACTTGACAAACATACTATATTTTTATTAATGAATTCATTGAATAATACAGTAAATAAATAATTTTCTATAGTACAATATAAATGGACAAAAATAATCTAGAATTGATATAATATTATTTTAAGCTTGTTGAAGATAAATAAATTAATAAATTCGATGATCGAAATTAATTTTGATATAGTAATTATATGTAGAAGAATAAATATAACATATATGTAGTAACATTATGTTGGCATCCATGTCTGAAGTGGGTTTTGACTTATAAGTTTAAAGTGTCAATAATAATAATATTTACATCACCATAAAAGTATTTAATACCAGGGACCCACACACAGTCCAGCTAATGTGGTGGGCCCTTATAAACAAAAAAAAAAACAGAAAAACACAAGAAAAATTAGAACAAAAAACTGTAACTTAAAAGATCAATAAAAAATTAAAGTGTTTAAAGTTAAAAATCTTATATAATAGCTTATAATGTAAAAAAATCACATAATATGTTGTTATTATAAAAAATAAATAAATAAAAAATTCATTGGAAATCAAATAATAAATTTCTTTACAAAAAAAACGAACGATTTAATTTGACCTCAACTTTTTATCCTACTAATATTATGATTGCGAAAGTTTGTGAGTGCGTGTGTGTGTTTGTTACTTCTTCACGCTCAAACGGCTGGAGCGATTTTGATGAAATTTTGTATACGGGAAGCTGACGTCCAGGAATAGCACATAGGCTACTTTACAATATTATAATTGCGAAAGTTTGTGTGTGTGTGTGTGTGTGTGTTTGTTGCTTCTTCACGCTCAAACGGCTGGAGCGATTTTGATAAAATTTTGTATACAGGAAGCTGACTTCCGGGAATAGCACATAGGCTACTTTACATCCCGGAAATCAGCGGGTAACACCGCGGGGCGCAGCTAGCAATACATATTTCTTATCATGTGTGTGTGTGTGTGTGTGTGTGTTTGTGTTACCTGTGGCAGCTCATGATTAGCTATATCCTGGTGATACACGTGTGAGTGTATGGAGGCGGCCCGCGGAGTCCCCCGCCTGGTGCCGCGGCCACGGACGGAGCCCCGGCCGCGGGGAGCGCCTCTGCCACGAGAATCTTCACCGTTGAGGCTGACTGTATCTATAACATATAAATTAATTAATTAATATTATATGTATATACTAGAAGACCCTGCGAACTTCGTATCGCCCTATAAGCAAGAAATATCTGTTACGTTTTTTGTATTTATATTTTTGGAGTTTGCCTATTAAAGCAATAAATCTCCGTGTTTTGAAGTGCGACAGAATGATTAATAAATTAGTTAGTTGTCAAATCTAATGTAAAAAAAAACGTTTGTATCAACAAGTACTAATAAATTGAAAATTAATTAAAAAAACATTGTCCAGCGGACAAAATTTTGGCTAATTGTTTTTACGACCGGCCGCCTGCCTGACAACCCTCTTTGGGAATGCATTAAACAGTGATGTCTAAATACTCTTATAAAGTACATATGACTCGGAACATCACATTGGTACTTACCAGGATCGAACCCGCGCCCTCGCGCATGAGAGGCGGGCCTCTTAGTCTTCCTTTAGTGTATGGTAGTTACAACTTTTATAGATACTAGACTTGTTAACATTTGTTATTGTTCCAGAATATCTAATATATGTATAGGATGTGGCAACACCGAATGAAAATCGCTCATTAGAAAAATTATATATTTTCTTTGAACATAGATACATTTTTAAATTTAATATAGAAAGAAATCTTTATTTGGTTAAAAAATATATTTTCTCCTATGACAAGTAACACCATACTATGCATAATGTCTGAACATATAGAAAATATTGTTTACCTTACTAACAAACACAAAAAGACTCAATACAATATATTATAACAATATAAAGGATTTAAATTGAATATATGTATATTTTTTTAAGTTACAGTATGTAAGAATTAACTATTATTAAAGTATGTATGTCTCAATTCAAACTCAGTTAAACTTCAGCTACATCAACATCAAACAAGATATACACACTAATTAGGAATCATATCATACACATATCATATCATATGATATGATAATGATGACATACCGTGATCCTGCCTGGGCGCGTGTTGTTGTCCATGTTTAGACCTGCCGGCCTTCACGTCAATATCCAGAGGCACCCACTTGTGCTTCCCGGATTTGTTACCACCTTTACCGGCTGAAAACAAAACATATATAAGTTACTAGCTTTCCGCCCGCAGCTTCGCCCGCGTGGAGTTCAGTTATATCGCGTTTCCAAGAGAACCTTTCAAAAGTCTGTGATAAAAACTGTCCTATGTTCTTTCTCAAGGTCAACTCTATCTCTGTACTAAATTTCATTAAAATCAGTTCAGTGGTTTAGGCGTGAAAGCGTAACAGACAGACAGAGTTACTTTCGAATTTATAATATTAGTAGGGATAGAGAGGAGCTTGTATGGTGGTGATCGTTTAACGTTAGATAGGGTCCCTTAAACCTACACCTGGGTCACAAGTCCCAGTCACTGTTGAAGCTCCTCTCACTACAACGATGGACCCGACACACGCACCGTGAATATATGGAATGATGAGAGGTTTCGTCGTCTCTTTATATATAAATATCCTACTTATATTTTTATCTCCCTATATCAATTTTCTCCAATTACATAAGCCAAGTTCGACCAATGATTTAATAAAAAATATATATGTACCCAAAACCAAAGAAATATTTGATGTTAGTTTATACGAGATAAATTGAAATACAAACAAAATATCTCTCCTTATATTAACTACTAATATTATAATTGCGAAAGTTTGTGAGTGTGTGTGTCTGTTTGTTACTTCTTCACGCTCAAACGGCTGAACCGATTTTGATAAAATTTTGTATACAGAAAGCTGGTATCCAGGAATAACACATAGGCTACTTTACATCCCGGAAATCCCAGAAATCCGGGGGTAACGCCGCGGGGCGCAGCTAGTTTCATATAAAATGAAACATTGAAAAATAAATGTATTTAACTGAAACATGAGGATTGAGGATATTCTGTTTGAGAACCCTCGTTCGTTCCAGTATAAAGGTTGCTCTGCCCGTATCGCGTAACCGACCGTCTCCATGGAGGAGAGACGTCAGGCCTAAAGTACGGGCGCGGAACATACATACATACATACTACACCGAGAACCAGCAACACTTGACGTGCTTGCCGACACACTAACAACTGAACCTACGCGTCATATATATAAAAGAAAGTCGTGTTGGTTACACTATTTATAACTCAAGAACGACTGTACGCGTATGGTTGAAAATTAGTTTATAGATAGATTAGTACCAGGACACTGACAAAGAGTATTTAAATCTATTCGATCGAAACAAAAAAAATACTTAAATAAACTCCAATATCTGGTTATTTACAGCCCCTAAGGCGGAATAGAGTTCGCCCGGTCAGCTATACACATATTACTAATGACGAAATTAACGCTTATAATATTTACCAGCTGTTTTGCTCTTGTCGAAGGCGTGTCTGTCGTAGTGGGCATGGTTATTGCTAGGATCCACCTTTTCCACTTTCATAGGCTGTTCTTCAAGTGGCTTTCTTTCTTGGTCCTGAAAATTATATGGAGATCATTATTTAACAACTGCATTATCATTTAATTTAAATGAAACAAATTTTTTTCTTATTAATACGAGTATTTATTATCGTCAAAACTACATACATACTCCCGATATTTCGTTTACATTTCAGCAACCGTGATCATTAAGACGAGATGTAAAACCTGAATATCATTTAGTTCCATATATCCTGTTTTTAGTGAGAGGTTACATTCTTTAATGAAATATTTAAGCGGAAAACTTTTCATCAAATAGTCTTATAAATGATTAATGCATTCCCAAAGAGGGTTGATGTCAGGCGGCCGGTTTTAAAAACAAATAGCCAAAACTATTCACAGCATGTAAGGCAGACGCTGGCTAAAGCTGGGAAATTGTCAGGTAGAAAAAGTCCTATATAAGGAATTCTTCAAGATTTTCTAATAATTGTAGTATCCTTTAAAATCTATTATATTTACCGCGTTTCCATTATGATGTGCCGAATCTTCATGCGGCGGTGGTGTTGAGTGACAGCGGGCACCTGCAACCGCTGCGCCAAGGGTCGGCCAATCACCGATATCCGTGAAATCAGACGCCTGGAAGAATATGTTCTGGTTAAATAAATCATGTGATACTTCTCTGACAGCTGAAAACCTTATTTATTCTTCGATCAAAATGAAAAACATGTAGATATGATCATTATTTTCAGCTCAGTTAAGTTTTTTGCGTATATGAGCAATTTCTATGGTACATAGGTAAGTATAAGATGAAATCTCATCAAATATAGATGATGATTCCGCTGTTATAATTTCATTCCACACCTGTTCCTGCTCAATCCTGGCCCAGCTTTTCCTGGACCTATTCTTCCTCCTGGTCGCCACGCCGGCTGTCATAATCACTACTTATCGACACTCACTATCATTCCATCACCAACACTATCACACTTAATCACTTTAAAAGTTTCATTTCCAGTTTAAAACAATCAAATTATGATCATGTCCAAACAACAACTGTAAAAAGCCGATCATATGACATATATTTGACATTTTAGCCGTGACATTTTAACATAAGGAAGTCATTCGTTAATTATTCGACTATCATTAAATATTGGACCGGTAATGATGGCATTTCGACTGTTCAAACAACAGAATTATGGATATATTTACATCATTTTTATATAATATTAAAAAATCGCCTGACAACAGTGAGTTACAGTCGTGTGTAACACGTAGAGCGAATTACAGCACGGAGCGATAAAAAAATACTAATGACTCATAAAAGGTAAAAAATATAATAGCAAAACAAATATAAATAAATAAATATCATATATATATTAAATAGGATTTGACCGTCTGGTTGTAACATTAAAATAACAGCTTAATAAGCTTAATGCATACATTAAAATATTTTTTCTGTCTGTCTATCTTTCGTTTCGCCTACCTCTAAAAAGAATGGACCTATTTTGAAGGATTTCTCACTGACGGTATGCTAAATCCAGTTCAAATAAACTACATACTCCACGTCAACAGTATTTCATTCGTAACTTCTCACATAATATTAACGTATTAATGAAAAACGGGAAACTATTAGTATGTAGTGTATACAAACTTGTGGTAAGCGTAACTACTGATAGCTTTTATAATAAGGACTAACTTCAGAAGTTTATTACGTGTTTATGTAAGTAATGAAAAAATAGACAATATTAGTCACGAACCAAGTCGAGAGCAGAGCTTGTACGTATATTTATATATATATGTGTGTGTGTGTATGTGTGTTTTATCAAGCACGTGTTAGATACCTATCCATTATAACCGTATCCAAGGCCAGTCCATATCACACAATTAAATATTATATTGAGGCAGAAAAATAATATACACTAAAATATATTATGTAATTAGAGGATAAAGATGTGTACAGACTGACATACATATAGGAATATATAATATATATGTATATATATAATTTAAAACAAGAAAAAAAACAAGTATTTAATGAATTTAACATATACAGCTCATGTATAAGAATGACAATAAAAATGTTAATAGCAATAATAATACATATATAATATATATTTCGACGAAAAAAAGATATATTATTATATAATGAATTACAATTTAATACACCTCATTGAAATTTTTTAAATATATATGTATTATAATATAAAACTGTTGTAGTTTAACTTATTTTTCATATAAATAAAATTGATTAAAAAATAAAAAAAATTTGTTTAAAAAAATACTATAAATTTAAAAAAAAATATATTAAATAAACATACAAACATTTCATTAAATATATCCCTACTAATATTATAAATGCGAAAGTAACTCTGTCTGTCTGTCTGTCTGTTACGCGTTCACGACTAAACCACTGAACTGATTTAATGAAATTTGTTACAAAGATAGAGTTGACCTTGACAAAGAACATAGGATAGTTTTTATCACAGACTTTTGAAAGGTTCTCTTGGAAACGCGATATAACCGAACTCCACGCGGGCGAAGCTGCGGGCGGAAAGCTAGTGTGTTATATATGTCTTCACATCAGGAATGACTTACTATTATTAAATAATAAAACGATAACAAAAAACTACATATAAATTTTGTATTAAATATACACAAAATTATTTATAATTATGTTTAACCACATATTTAAATATAAATAAATAAATAAATGTATATTTTAATTCGAAGGGTGGAACGAAAAATACATACGTACACCAGCCAATATCTCATATAGTAAAGAAAACTTAGACGAAACCACGGCTCGAGGTTAGTTTTATAATAAAATACATCAATAGGTTGTAATATTTAAAATAATAAATAGTTTCAACTGCCACCGCTATCCGTCAACAGATGGCGCTATCAATAAAGACACTATTACATCATTTTTAAAATAATTTCCTTATACGAAAGAATATTTATCTTTTTGCAATATATATATATATATTACGGAAGATATTTTAATACATATTTCAATACATTTGCGTCACAACCAATAAAATTCTCAACATGTCGCCCAAGGTCGTTTGGACGTCGAGTAAACAGAGACGTATGAAAAATTACAATAAATTAGTGTTTTTATGTAAATTATATTAAAATTATCATATATTAAGTATTATTATTTTAGTGATAATATTATATTGTATGAAGTGACGATATTTTGAACCAACACGTGGTTAGAGCCACGCGGTCATAACCTACAATGTACCACCACGTGCTCAAAAAAAATTATATATATACATATATAATACACATAAATATCTCTATATATATATATATATATATATATATATATATATACTATTCTGCTATCCAAACTACATCATTACAAAGTTTCATCAAAATCCGATTAGAAGTTTGTCTCAGTGAGCAACAAGCATTAAACATAATATTTTTGCATTTTGACTTTTTAGGCAATCAAACAACATTTTCTATCCGAATGACGAATAAAAACAAGACTTCACCTATTCTGAGTCGGTTTAATACATCATAATATATGTATAGGCCAATACTACACCTATTATATATTGAGACAAAAGCTTTACATGTGTGTATGTATATTTACATACACACACACCACACACACACATATAAACGAATAGACGTTGTATATGTTGAAACTCACACAGGGACATGTATACTACACACATATATGCGAGTGTGTGTGTGTGTGTGTGTGTGTGTGTCAATACATTACACACACACACGCTAGATGTAATCCATCACATGAATGTTATAAACACCGGATAAACTACAGATTCCTTGAACATTACTACACAAATATCTTCATACTATACTAGCTTCTATTTTAATGACAATAAGGTCGTTATTGTTATACATGTATAATACAATACATTGAAGTAAACACATATACACACACACACACAATACTGTTGAGAACGCTATTGAATAGTTATATATATTGAGAAAGAAAAAATAATTTAAATATTATGAGATATTTATCAAAAATTATTTAAAAACAAGCTTCGCCCGCGTGGAGTTCGGTTATATCGCGTTTCCAAGAGAACCTTTCAAAAGTCTGGGATAAAAACTATCCTATATTCTTTCTCAAGGTCAACTCTATGTCTGTACCAAATTTCATTAAAATCAGTTCAGTGGTTTAGGCGTGAAAGCGTAACAGACAGACAGAGTTACTTTCGCATTTATAATATTAGTAGGGATTATAGGATTTTCATTAATCCCTAAGCACTAGTTTCAATTATTTACCTACATACCGACAGTTTCGTCGTTTCCGAATAATAATTGAAATACTTATATAACAGCTGACACTTAGATGACAAGATGACTACATAAGTACTTTTATTACAAGTGCTTCACAGATTTAGATGCAACTTTGTCATGACATAAAAAAAAATAGAAAATGTATTAATACTTAACCGATTGCGAACAGTAGAAGGAAGTACGACACAAAATTAATTTAAATTATTATTATTATTATTAAGCTGAAAGTGTTGTGGTAACGTGCATACACATATGAGTTGTCAGAAATACACCATCATACTGTAAGTAATTACGTTTACGTATCAAACTCGTACTAATGAAATTCGTGTAAAATTAAAATAATTAAATTTTTAAATTATTTCTTATAGTATTGCTGGGATTAAAATGTTGAGGATAAAAAAGACACTAACTAACTAATTCACGATTTAATTAAGAGAGAGTACAATAAGACATACTAATTTACATATGCAATGATTCGACTTTTATGCATGACTAGCTGACCCGGCGAACTTCGTATCGCCCTATAATCAAGAAATATCTATTACGTTTTTTTATTTATATTTTTGGAGTTTACCTGTAAGCCATAAATCTCCGTGTTTTGAAGTGAGACAGAATGATTGACATATTAGTTAGTTGTCAAATCTAATGTCAAAAAACGTTTGTATGGGAAATAGAAGAGGGCCGTTTTTATGGTTTTCCCAGTAATGAATCAATTTTTTTTCAGCTTTTATACCTTCCCTGAACCTCCACGAACATTTCAAGACTAAGATAAGATAAATCCGTTCAGCTGTTCTCGAGTTTTAGCGAGACTAAGGAACAGCAATCCATTTTTATATATATAGAAGATAGAAGATTTATATCAATGAATATGTAACTACTAACTGTTTACTTATATACCTATGGGCGTATACGGCACAATAGATTTATTTTAATTTATATTTTAATGAAGATGTCTTGTTAGAGAAGTAACTGCCCGTCATGCAATGCATGCATGCACGTAGATACAGTAGACAATGCATGTGTAGTCAATGCATGGTTAGCATATGAATTGAGCGCCTTCAAATGATTTGGAGCGAGGCTGTGCATTGTGGGGTGCTTTTGACGTCAATGGGTAACACACAAACACACAAACATATATATAAATATATATATTAATAAAAAAAAATTATAAAACTAAATTTCTAAAGGCTTTTTTTTTTGAGTTCTCATCAAGCTCTCTCATTTGATACCCATATTCTTCTTCTTCCTGGCAATTTCCCAGCTTTAGCCAGGGTCTGTCTTACATGTTGTAAATTGTTTTTACGACCGGCCAACTGACATCAACCCTCTTTGGGAATGTATTAATCAGTGATGTCTAAATATTCTTAGAAAGTACATATGACTCGGAAAAATCACATTGGTACTTGCCAGGATCGAACCCGCGCTCTAGAGCATGAGAGGCGGGTCTTTTAACCACTAGGACACCACTGACTATTGATACCCATATTGTTGGAGGAAAATTATACTAGCTGATTTAATTATATGAACAATTATAAAATAACTTAAAAAAATACAAACATATATTTATTAAATGTATTTTTATACATATAAATTATTACATTTAATATTATAAATGATAATAAAAAAATGAAAACTTGATACGAATAAATGAAAGTCGAAATTCTAGATTATATATATGTATATAAAATTAAATGTTTTGGGAAGGTCGAGTGTATAATTATGACATTTATATAAAACTAGTTATATCGAGCGACTTCATCTGAGTTATGTAGATAGAATAGAGTCCGTCCGGCCAGCAATATATCCCTAATAATATTATAAATGCGAATGTAACTCTGTCTGTCTGTTTGTTTGTTACGCTTTCACGCCTAAACCACTGAACTGATTTTAATGAAATTTGGTACAGACATAGAGTTGATCTTGAGTAAGAACATAGGATAGTTTTTATCCTAGACTTTTGAAAGGTTCTCTTGGAAACGCGATATAACCGAACTCCACGCGGGCGAAGCTGCGGGCGGAAAGCTAGTATATATATATATTTATATATATTATGTCGTAACTCGATCTGGTGTCCCGCAAGGTGAACGTCTTGGACCGCTACTTTTTTACTGTCTGCTAACTTGATCAATTTCACAATACTCAATAAATATTACGATTTATATACAGATACATATTTTGAGGATTTGAGTAAAATATTACTACAGATGATGAAAGATGATGAGGAGGAATTACTAAGACAATCATAAAACATGAAAATCTTGCATATTGTTAAATTACGAAAAATAAATATATAATAATTATATTAAGAAATAAATACATATCTCACTTCTGTTCTATCTGTCAATTTCCCAGTTTTAGCCAGGGCCTTATGAACAGTTTTGTCTCATTGTTTTTACGACCGGCCGCCTGCCTGACATCAACCCTCTTTGGGAATGTATTAATCAGTGATGTCTAAATACTCTTATAAAGTACATGTGACTCGGGAACATCACATTGGTACTTGCCAGGATCGAACCCGCGTCCTCGTGCATGAGAGGCCATTTTAACCACTAGGCCACCACTGACTACATATTATGTATAGTATATAAAGGTAATGATAATTTCAGTCTTACAGACCTTCGCGTCTGATGAAATCCATCAATTATAAGTTTCCTAAAGGAAAATGTTATTTGATTACAACTGACGTCATATAAGCAGTTTAATTTGTATCCTTACCACGAGTGCACATCGTCACTACATACTCCACGTCAACAGTATTTCATTCGTAACTTCTCATATGGGATTTTTTATGGTAAATTGGGTATTAGCAGACGGCCTACCTGATGTAGTAGAACCGTCTCCAAAGAATATCCTCAACGTAAATTTGAGAATGTCTTGCAACCTTTGATTGGGGAAAAGGGGGGAGGAAATGGCAGGAAAGGGAGGGAAAAGGGATAGAGCAACTATCTCTCTCACTCATCGGACGAAATTCAACCATTAAAGACTACTTCACGTCTATTTTCAGAGAATTAATTGAATGTTTTATTGAATGAAAAACGGAAAACTTTACGTATGTAGTGTACACTCGTAGTAAACATTATTATCGGATAGCAATTTGATGCATTTAAAATACTAATTGATTTATATTATCTTAATAACTTGGTTGGGTTTATAAATTGGAAACTCCAATTACTGACGGCTTAATCGAAAATTTGATAATAATAAAAAAATACGCTTACAACAAGTAAATGGCAAACTAAAAACCAACAGTTTTTCGTATATATATGTAGTAATGATGGTCTAGAGGTTAAAGGCCCGCCTCTCATGCATGAGGGTTGGTTCGATTCTGTCAAGTACCAATGTGATGTTCCGAGTCATATGTACTTTATAACAGTATTTAGACATCACTGACAGATGAAGGAAAACATCGTGAGGAAACATGGACTTATATCAAATTATAAGTTTGAAATCGACATCCCGTCTTGAGCGAGCGTGGTGATTAATGCTCTAACCTTCTCCATGTGAGAAAGAGGCTCAGCAGTGGGCTCTGATAGGCTGATGATGATGATATATACTAATATTATTTTAAAATACTCAATACTATCAGTATAAGTGTAACGTCGAACCCATAGTAAGTTTATTAATTAATATCATCAAATAGCTATTTATAATTAAATGAAAGGTTTTTCCATACTAATACATTAATATTTAAATCATTGTGACGTATGTTACAAAACATTAAAATAAGGGAAAAACATAACTTTCAAAATATAATCCCTACTAATTCTACTAATATTTTAAATGCGAAGGTAACTCTGTCTGTCTGTCTGTTACGCTTTCACGCCTAAAACACTGAACTGATTTTAATGAAATTTGGTACAGATATAGAGTTGACCTTGAGAAAGAACATAGGATAGTTTTTATGCCAGACCCAGCAAACGTTGTTTTGTCATATAAAAAAAAATAGGGGTTGGTGATAAGAAAGTAAAAATTTTCAGTTGTATGTAATTTTAATGATACAATATAAAAAAAATAAAAACAAAAAATTATCGTCCGAAAAAAAGGTGAAACAATCCTTATGACTTAGAGGTATGAAAAATACATGTTGTCTGATACTCATAGCTACTCAATATGCTCATAAAATTTTATCAAAATCGGTCCAGTCGTTTCGGAGGTGTTCTCTGTCTAACACCGCGACACGAGAATTTTATATACAAGATATATGTATATAAAGGTAATATATTTTCTTATACATATCGTCTTCGTCAGTATTTGAAGGTCAAATCGAATACGTATTATTTAATAGGAGAACCGAAAAAAAATATGCATCGTGCTTACCAATAGTGTACTATGAGACTATATACTGCTGGTTTGACGTTTTTCGTCCACACACACAAACATATACAGGGTGACTGGTGATTTACTATCACACGATGCGTAATTAATTACATAACTTTTGGTTAACTTTACTCAGAAGTTTATTAATATTAATGTTATATTAATTTTTATTTTGTCATATATGATCGTCAAATATCACGTCCTCAAATATCGATAGTAATTCACCAGTCACCCTGTATAATGTTAGTACTTCTTGATCAAAAACTTTAAACTCACTAAGTAGTTTAAGTTTCAAACTTGTACTAAGAATAACGCTTATATAAATAATTAATATACTCTTATGAGTTACGAGACCAAACACCTTTAGTAAGAGTACTTTAGTAAGTAAACACGTTAAAATACGAGTAACATTGAATTTAATAGTTAAATTGGCGGACGAAACTGCACTTCGCAACTAGTGTATAATATATACATATATATTTTTAATAATGTAAGCAATAGCATATTTTAATATACGCTGTATATACGATAAGAACAAACTAATATATATATATAAAAGAAAGTCGTGTTAGTTACACTATTTATAACTCTAACGACTGTATAGGTTTGGATGGAAATTGGCGGAAAAATATCTTAAATAATTAATTCTTAATATATTCCAATACCTGGTTATTTAAGACGGAATAGAGTTCGCCCGGTCAGCTATACATATATTACTAATGACGAAATTAACGCGGTCGAAGTCGCGGGCAAAAACTAGTATAGAACAAAAACAAATATTTTAAAAGCTATTATAAGAATCTGCCAACAAAACACAACCCACGTTCCGATTTCAAATCAGCTAGACGTAATGATATTCCAAATTCAAATGAAATGAATGAAAAAGAACATATTCAAAATGCTTAAACATTTTCAAGGTCGAATGTAATAAATGAATATTCTGTACCTACTTTTGATATATATATACATATATATGTAATTAAAATGTCATACTTCGCATTAAAAAGCAATATCAGTACATTATGAAGGACCTTGTAAACATTCAAACCATAAAACTGCATTCCATATCACCAGAACAAACCAGTAACAAACACTTATCACTAAATGCGCACTTCAGAAAATTTTAGATGATATTCCAAATTTAAAAAATTTGGAATACAATTTGAACACTCGGGTCGTAAATTTTTTGAAGTTGTTCCAAATTTAAAATTAGTTTTCTAAATTCGAACGCGGGCACGTCTTGCGAGCTCGCCGGCGAGCGTCCGACTGGCGTAGTGTTGTTAATGTTATATAAACTTAAATATTTCCCTAGTGCAGTGAAAATATTTTCTTAAATCTAAATTTTATTTGTACATATTTAAGATATATTACTGGTTAAATATTTAAGTAAATTAATGTTAGTTAGTTAGTTAATTACATACAGATAAATGAGACGGTCATTATTTATCAATAATGAATCCAGTTTATAAACATACAGTATCTGAATAATGTATGAAAGAAAACCGATAATTTTTAAATTTAAATCACAATAAAATCGACATGTCACATCACTGCCACGTAAATCTAAATAGTAATGTGACAATCATTTACTATTAGTAGGGATTTTTCCCAAAACAATACACCTAGTATGATAGAATTCGAATAATATTCGATGACTAATTTAAAATCTGGAATGAGGAATAATAATCACATGGTCACAGTACTTTAAAACTTCTAAGTAAAATATACCTTATTGATATATAAATAAAGTCTATTTCAGTCTGAAGCATATAAGTGCAAAACAAATTAAAATATACCTTATTCCTATACATTTAAGGTCCATTTCAGTCTGAAGCATATAAGTGCAAAACAATACCCGTAATGAAATCCGCGTCACTCACACAGAGACAATGGCTTGTTTACTGTTAAAGTCTATTATTCACACACACACACGCACACAATACAAATGGCAACGTTTGTATGTGTGTGTAAAGTAATACTGATGGAACATATTTTGAAATAAGAATTATTTAAGTTTTTTTTTTTTTTTACATTAATTGTTATATAGGCGTGTGCACACAACATTCATCCAATAAGGTTTACTTTGACTTACCTTGTGATTAATTTTGGCGTTTTTCGGTGCTTTTACGATGGCTGGCTTAGCTGGTTGGGCTACCGGTACCGGTTCTGTTGACATAAATTTGCTGTAAATATACATGTTGTTGTGAGATCAATCGGGGATCTCCTACAGGAGACGAGCAAAAATATAATACTATTATCAGGGGTTAATAACATTTTCGAATTGTAACAGGGGTACAAGTCATAAAAGTCAAACTAACTACTGAAAATTAATTTCAAATAATTTATCCAAAAGTTACGAACCGCTGATTAATTCGCTAGATAAAAACGAAAACACCATTAAGGATAAAAAAATAAAGATAAAATTCTTTGCATAGACAATACGTAGCTAACAAAAATATTTCATACATATAGACGATAAAGATATTCAATAGAAATTGTAAATACCCTAATAGGGGAAGTCCCTAATGAGTAGTGTGGCATCTATGTGTGTAGCGTGGCCATGCGTCCGGATAAAGCCGGACATAGTTAGTCTTTTTGATTGCCTGTCCGGCCAAAATAAACGGTGTCCATCTTGTCCGGACTAAGGATCTAAGACTGATTTGGCATTCGATTTTATTTATTAATTCTCTAGAAATTAACAAGATTTATGATAATGATCAAAAAGACTTGAATTTAAATACAAAAAAAATTGTCGTACCTATTAATACTAAGACAAAACCCTCAATAATATAGAGTGTCCGGATTTTTTAACCAAATGTCCGGCCAAACTGGCTGGTCTGTCCGGCTATTAGGTTTGGTGACCTGGCAACGCTATATGTGTGTTTGTGTGTGTGTGTATATGTGTGAGTGTGTGTATGTGTGTGTGTGTGTGTGTCTGTCTCACCTGGAGGCAGCTGAGCCCTGCCTTGCTGCTGGGGCTGCAGTGGCGACCTCTTCTCCTGCTCCAGGATGGCGGGAGGCGCGGGGGGCGGAGCGCCAGTGCTGCCACCTCGCACCTACAGAGATAATATGGTTATAGAGATATGTATAGGGTATATACACATAGTAATGTTTGATAAATGTATAGAATGCTGAATTCATTGATAGGACTATGTCGTGATGGATCAGTTATTAAAATGACCGAGGCATGAGATTGAGCCATTCGCAGGTTCGATTCCATAATATAACTATAATTGTATAAAAGTAACATAGAGTAAATATTATGACGTCATAACCAAAGTTGAATTTCAAATCCATTAACAAATTTAATACAAAAAATCTTTAAAAAATTTCCATACACAGTGCTAAATACATAACTCACTTTCACCAAGTCGATCAAATGCACATCTTAAATAAATATTATTTTCATATGAAACAAGTTTTTTTATACCTGGTCCATATTCCAGCATCACTATATGATGATTACGAGATCGATCAATGAGAGATTAAGACATTTGTATCTGAATCATGAACTTTGATCTTTAGCATTTAAAATTATTGTATGAGAAACAAGATTGAATTAAAATAAATAAAAAAAACACTTTATTACGCATTACTATAGTCTTGTTGTTCATATACAAAAAGAAAAATATATCTATATATATAAAAATGAATTGCTGTTCCTTAGTCTCGCTAAAACTCGAGAACGGCTGAACGGATTTATCTTATCTTAGTCTTGAAATGTTCGTGGAGGTTCAGGGAAGGTTTAAAAGCTGGAAAAATTTTATTAATTTCCGGGAAAACCCTAAAAACAGCGCTTTTTTATTTCCCATACAAACGGGTTTTTTGACATTAGATTTGACAACTAACTAATTTGTCAATCATTCTGTCGCACTTCAGAATATGGAGATTTATGGCTCACAGGTAAACACCAAAAAAATAAATAAGACATAATTTATTTCTTGATTGAGGCAGTACGAAGTCTGCTGGGTCAGCTAGTATATACTTAATAATAATAAAAAAGGAAATTGTACGTATCAATTATTAATAATTCTACCCTACATATATTCTATCAAGATTACATATAGGAAAATGACTAAAAGTATGAATAAATAATATATTTTTATATATGTATGTATATATAATAATTTAATACACCTTTGTAACATAGCACCTGCCAGTCTGTTCTCGTAACCGGCTACGGTTGAAACAAGAAAAAATACGAGTCCAAGTCATAAGCTTATCGCTTATTGAAATTTTAACATACAATATATACTATTGTGAGGAGAATTATTATTATCTGTCTAAACATTTTTTATATTAACTGTCAATTGTTATGCAGTTAAGTGTAACCGTGTAGAGTGTGAAAGAGAGAGATGCAAGATTAGTCATGGTGGGAAAGGGATAGAAAATAGAATAGGTTAGCTAGGAAAAGGATGCAAAAATAAAGACAGTATTAAAATGTCATTCGTAGTTTTAATACGTTTACACTATACTATCTTCTTCTACCTGGCAATTTCCCAGCTTTAGCCAGGGTCTGCCTCACATGTTGTGAATAGTTTTGGCTAATTGTGGGACTGGGAGTTAAAATCAATTATATCAATATTACAGGCAAGTTAAATAGTTACAGTTATTTAAGACATGTAGTGTTTCCAAAAATAAACTAAACTGAATTGTTGACCTTATTTTTTGGGGTATATACATTTTTAACACTCATTACACTATTTCTTTGCCATGCTGTTAGGCCAAAACATTTTATTATATATGCTAGTTATCAAATGAAAGACGGAACTTTACACAGAAATAAATTAATTACAAAAATGTTAAAATTATTAAGTAAAATGCCTTTGTTTTCAGTTATACATTTTTTCTTCTTCAATGACGGTAGTTCTTAATGAGGAATATATTCTAGTTGATAAAGAAAGACCTAGAAAAAATCATTATATCGGATCATTGGAAGTCTAAGCGACTAGAAACGAGTAGAATTTCGTATGTAATATAACGAAAAAATATAAATAAATCAACATTATAGAATATTCGTTATTGATTTTTTTATCAAATCGACATTTCAATAGAATTTTGATAAAGAAAAATCACCATAGAAACAAATTCCCTTCACACGTCGACCACGACCAATCAAATAATCGATTATTTTCAACTAAATTACATATTTTATAGGAATATTAAAGTAGAAAAACAACATTGAGTCATCGTTCATTTATGTAAGTTATTCTATATAATGCTCAAACCTTCTCCATGTGAGAAGAGGCTCAGCAGTGGGCTCTGATAGGCTGATGATGATGAATCCTACATACATATATATATATGTATTATTTGTAATCCACCCAAATACTACTTAAACAAATCTCAGTATATTGTTAAGCATATTACTAAATATAGTACATATCTATATTTCGCACCTCCGCTCAAATAGTGTCACAACTCAAAAAAAGTTGAATTCAATTTTATTGCACTATTGGAATCAGAAAACTTCGAAATAGATGTCAATATTTCGTAAATTATTCGTTTTTTTCATCCGTTATTCGTAATTTTTTTTTAAATATATTCCAAAAGTCTATTACACCATTTTATTGAGTATCAAAAATCATTACAACTTACTTAAAATCATATTGCAGTAACTTTCACAGTTTTTGAGTGATGAGCCGAAAAGTAAAGTTAGCATTAACTTCAAACGCGTTTTATTCGAAAGTTGGGATTTTTGACTTATGACACTATTTGAGCGGAGGTGCGATTTATAGATACCAATAAAATTAATTTGATTTAATATTATAATTAATAGATTTTCAAAAATGTTCTCCTTTGAGACACCTTCGAAAATTGGACGCTTTGTAGCGATAGAAGTATAGATATTCCTACCTACTTCAAAGACTCTTCTCTCATACATACTAATTGTCAAACGCTTACTTTGTTTCGTATAAACTTTATTAACTAGTTTTGGCCTGTGAATTCTTCTAAGTTTCGGAATAGGCTGAATAGAGAAATGTCATATGTGACTCAACAGTCAGCGCTATCTACCGTCCTTGCCACGTAATTTATCAAACACATTACAACTAAAATTATTCAATCCTATAATAACTTCAAGAAATTTCGGAATAAATTTCAGCCTATATCTTAAACTGTTGTTTAAGCTAAATTACTGCAAAGTTTCATCAATATCGGTTAAATAATTATTAATTTTGTGTCATAATCATCATAAATCTACACATCAATAATGTTCGCAATTATAATATGAGTAGGCTATTAATATACAAAAAATAAATAATTAATCTATTGAATTTATTTGTCCCCTAAGCTATTCATTTTGCATTAAGCTGACAAAATAATCCTCTAAAATCTTCAGTTAGGTATATTTTTTATCTCTATAGATATAAAACATCTATACTTATAGTTAAAAAATGAATTATTTTTCACATACAAAAAAAATATTAAAATTATATATATCGCGTAAATTTTCTTATGACTTGTACCACAACCCAACCGATACATTACACACTAATACGAAATTGAACCTTACGCTTAAGCAATAAGTATCAAAATCCTTTCAACTATAATTAATTACTTTAAAATTAGACCTTATTATACATATATAAGTATCAAAATGCTTCGCATCGAGGAAACCAGCGAAATGTCAAGCCGCAGACTGGCGTTGCGTCATAATTTAAGTTACAGTAACATACATTCCGTACTACTTTCATTATATATATATACAGGGTGACTGGTGAATTACTATCGATACTTGAGGACGTGACATTTGACGATCATATATGACAAAATAAAAATTAATATAACATAAATATTAATAAACTTCTAAGTAAAGTTAACCAAAAGTTGTGTAATTAATTACGCATCGTCTGAACACCCTACAGGTTAGGTATATACACACACACACAGACGCGGCGGCGGCGTAGTGTTGTATCAGCACGCCGCCGCACGCGCCCACACTTGGAACACTTGGAACGTGTACACACTTTATTTATTTATACGGAAATTTGGTCAAAAATTAAGTACCTATTTTTTTAACATAATTCGAATGAGAATCATGTACCGAGTATTCTCCTTAAATATTGATAGTAATTCACCAGTCACCCTGTATATATATATATATATAATATCCTTATCATCATCAGCCTATCAGAGTCCACTGCTGAGCTGTCTCTTCTCACATGGAGATTAGAGCATTAATCACCACGCTCGCTCAAGACGGGTTGGTGATTTCAAACTTATAATTTGATTTTAACTCCATATTTCCTCATGATGTTTTCCTTCATCAGTCAGTGATGTCTAAATACTCTTATAAAGTACATATGACTCGGAACATTACAATGGTACTTGATATGGTTTGAACCCGCACTCTCATGCATGAGAGGCGGGCTTTTTCACCACTAGGACACCACTGACTTATATATATGGGTTCTATTAAATAAAATTCAGTTATATATGAATCACTTACGTTTACGACAATTAACTATTACATATTAAAACCTTACTATACGTAGATACGAATAAAAACTATTAAAATCTCAGTATCATCGTTTTTTTTTTCAAACAATCGAGTCATATTTTTATAATGTACATAATAAACACAAAACACATATTTTATTTAAAAGATAAGCCATCTCAAGTGATTATTCCACGGGAGCAAATCAAAATGACAAGACTATAGCAGAAAATGACCACTTCAATTGATCTAGACTGTACAGATAAAATTAATCATCGCTTGTCGATACATGAAAAGTATGCGATTAAAAGAATTGTTGAAATAACATTTAGTCACTACCTACTCCACGTCAACAGTATTTCATTCGTAACTTCTCACATAGTATTAACGTATTAATGAGAAACGGGAAACTATTAGTATGTAGTGTATACAAACATGTGGTAAGCATACAATTTTATTATAACGTGTGAACATTTATTAAGTTTAAACTGGGAAACTATCTGTTTGACGTATCCACGTGATAGGATAATTAAAAATGCTCTGAGAATGTTAAAATATAATGAGATCTAAGATTTTCATTCATTTAAATGAAACTAATATTTACGGATTTACTACGCG